CATGTCCTGTGTTTAAAATGAAACCTGTCGGGTTACTGCTCTACTTGAACATTAATTAGGTAAATATGGTGTTTTCGTTAGATTAATTTTGTAAATATGATGTTTTTGTTGCTGGAGTTGATAAAGAGTTAAGGTTAGGGTTGGGTTAGGGTTAAAATAAAAGTAAGAAAAATAGAAATAAAAATAAACTCTTCACTACAATGTTTCTGTTCATTATCTTAGGTTTTCATTTATCATTGATATTTTATTTCAGAATTATATCAAATACTTGACTATGCTCTATTAGATTCTCTTTGGCATGGTATGAGTCTTATTTTCCGTGACCATTTTTGTTGTTGATAATATCCTTCAGAATTTAGATACTAATACTAAATAGGAAATGTAAAAATTTTACAGATGCAGGAAATGATTGTTTTGAATTCAGTTCACCAATATAACTTATTGACGATTACCAATTTGGCTGCACTAAGGCCCTCTTGGCTTGCAGCTTGCCCTTCACAGGAATTTCCCGTCCTTGAACATGTAGATTGATATCAAATCAGATATAGTACAGTGAGCCTTATGTCTAGTTAACACTTTTAGAGCTTGAGAAAAATGTTTTGCTTTGATGATTTACAGCTTACAAAAGGAGACATATGTTTGACTTGTAAAGGACATATATTATTTAATGTTATTTATTTTTGGTATAAAAGCAAAATTGAAATTCTACCAATCATCATAATAAGCTTGGTTTTGACTGGCTGCTAGATACATTCATTGAGGTGTGTATGTAGAGGACTAGAGGTTTAACTGTAGAACATAATGCTGTTGCTTGTCCCCAGTGTTGTTATATTATGGTATTTCCGTGTAGCCCTTTGTGTAGAGCAGAAAATTAGAGGGATATATACAGTAATACAAGAAGCTGATTTAGCCAGTATAACACAAATGTTGAGTTCTTATCAATAAATTTTTCATAAAAATTTCTTTTTGACAAAACACTAGTAAAGTTATAAGAAATGTATTTAGCACAAATAGATGAAGGTCATCCCAAACCTTTAAGGTTGTGTGCTTTTACTTATGTTTCAATCTATAGATTATTTTTTTGTACAGTACATGCATGTATATAGAATAGTTGTGAATAAAAGTAGAGAGTGAATTGTGAACTTCATGTTTAGTTTGTTTGACTGCCGTCATGAAATTCATGAGTTAAGTGCAATCATACTTGAAGTTAAAATGGGACAAATTATTGAATTTTGAAAAGTTAGGCTATTACTTTGTAAACTTGACAAACAAAAAAATATTATAAAACAATTACCATCAAGTACTTTACCATTGGAGCCAAATAGGTCAGAGAGGTGAAAATCACTTGAAATCGATTGGCATAAAGTGTCTGTCATATTATATTGTAATCTAGATAAGATTTCGAATTGAGAATTTTTCTTTTGGTTGCCAACTGTTACCATTTACTAGGCCCACGCATAAGATAGGAGATATCGTTACAACCTAATGGCATATTCACTTGTGAACTAACTATAGGCAACATGTGGGACAAATTTGCTGAAATATTATAAAGTAAACATCAGTTTGTGCTGAGGTTATAGGTAAATTATAGTAAATCACTGCCCTTTAAACACATACAGAATCTTTGAAAAATCATAGTTTTGCAAATCCTCTTTGTAATGCACCATTCATAGGTTTGCATGAGGCACCTCCACACGAGAAGGGGCGGGCATTTTGACAAAATGAATATTTCGCTGTCAAATGTTTACCCTGGGAGCGCGAGCATCCTAGTGAATCAGTTTCCTACCCTGGGAGCAGTAATAGCTGGTCATCTACATATATAGTCAAAATTCAAAAGTTTACTTTAAGTTATAGTTGTGGGACTAAGTAATTTATCGAAATCCCGCTCCTGGGACAGTATTGCGTGTCAAATGCCCAGCCCTTCCATTTGGGGGGTCTCACTTAAATATCTGCAGGGTACATAGTCTCAAAACATACATACATGTTGCATTTCAGGTTACTCATGAACCTTTAGGTAGATCGTGGCCTTGTGTTTTTACAATAAAAGGGCTGTTTTCAATTTTTTAATATTATATACACACAACCATATGCCAAAATGGTAGTTCCAATCTAACCTCAAACTCTGCCAAAATGGTACCGAAATGGCACCAAATGTTGTAAATGTTGGTTTGCTTTAGAACAGTGTCAAATATTATACTTTTTGCACTTATCGGTGCTGACCAAATGATCTTGGTATTAAACCTCCCTCCATGTTTCTAAGACATCAATGGAAGAAAACTTGCAAGATTTCACAAATGCTTCGGAAGATCTCATGTTCAGTTTGGCATGAATGAGTGCAGTAGGAGTTATACAGGAAACAGTCCCATATATTAGATCTAGTTGGTCTACAATCCACAAATTCAGAGCTTACAAAAAGTCTATGGTTTCATTTTAATGAGAAATTTTCACCTATTGTGATTCTTTGAACAGGAAATGTAAGTGCTCTTTATTAATGTTTATTAATGTAATGTTAAAGGTCTCAAACCACACTTACCATTAATCACCTCCCACCAAACCATACTGGCGACATGACACACTTTAACATAGAATGATAAATTTAATTTCTCAGCATTGAAATGTTATATTATTATTACAAAGGTCATCAATATGAGGTAATAGTGAGCGATGATGATTTGTTTTAGAGTCTTCAATGACTATCGGATGCTGCGGTTTCTCGTTTCCTTTTGTTTTACCTTTATGATTTATGGAAAATAGCATATAGTGGTTTAGAAATTTGAAGCCTGTTGTCTTCATGGCTTGCATTTGTAATGATTAGATGATATTTTGACGGTTGAAGTATTTGTGAAAGAAACATATGTTATAGAAAATAGACCCCAGAATCAGGATAATTCAAATGACGCTGCTTGATTAAGAAAGATGTACAGTTTAAACGATTTAGATCATGCTTATACTGTATCCTGTCTTAGGTAAATGAACTTCCATGAGTTCATTTATTTAAAATCTTGCTTATTTCAAGCATTTTCTTATATAATTACTACTTATTAGAATGACACGGTGTAGAATAAGATAAGTATCTAGAATATGAGAATTTTAATGCAATCATATTTGAAGGTCATCTACATGTACTTTTAAGCCAACTGGGAGCATTTTCAATGTATAAATTCAATTGATAATTTCTGAAATAGGATTTCACAAGATTGGAGGTCATTTTGACTTATCACTAAATATATTAAATGCATAAACTGGTGATTCAACTTCAAATGCAAGAATATTCCTAATACAGTAAAACCTGTCTCAGTAGAACACTTTTGGTACCTTCAAAAAGTGTTCCACTTGGGAGGTGTTCCACTTATAGATGCTCATTCACCATTAATTCAGTTGGTCTTGGCAATATGAAAAGTGTTCAACTGAAATAGCAGTGTTCAACTTAACTGGTTTCACTGCATAACTTTTACAATTGAATATTAATTTAACCTGATGTGATACTAGTCTCTTTTTGGTATCATCTGGAACATAGCAGTGCTCTCGCCGCATTGGAATCTCTGAGGCGCAGTACCTCCATGACTTTTATAAAACTGAAATGATTCTCAATGCAATTAGTTGTGCCTCCTAAAATGTTACGATAAAAAATGAGGAAATTCTAAAATGTTGCACAAAAAATTACAAAATCGTAAAATGTTGCGCAAAAAGTTGCAAAATACTAAAATCTTGCACTAAAAAAATAACAAAATCCTCCACACAAAAAATCCTGGGGAGAGCGTTGTATAGGTATGACAAAAATCGTATACCTCAAACAGGCATGTTCTTTTTTTACCATGGGGCTTTAAGATGAGAAAACCATCTCTAGGTGAATGAACCTTCATTCTTTATTTGTGGTCTAGTGTTGCATTTCTTGAGATATCATAAATTATGATTTGTGACATGTAATAATGTTTCTCAATGCATTTTTATTGCTTTATTGATACCTTTATATTCTATTATCACTGTCTGTAAGATGTGGACACAGGTGATATCACCATAAGAAATGCGGTTAAATGGTTTATTGTGATGTTTGTTTCAGTACCCTGGTTTAGATCCCTACTTAATATAATCTATGTCTCCCATATTCTATCACTTATGTCATATCACCTATATCAACTATATTATATCATACCTGTCCCTTATTCAACTATATTATATCTTATCATCATCTTTATTATATCACATATGTCCATGTAGCCTATATCATATCACCTATTATATCATATCACCCGTTTCATATATCATATGACTTATGCTACCTCTATTTTGTATTTCACCCATGTTCCTAGCCACATCATCTTTATCATATCACTTATGTTCATTTGACCTATATCATGTCACCTATGTTTCATATATCATATGACCTATGCTACCCATTATCATATGTTACCTTTATGACATTACCTGTATTACTTATATCATATCACCTATATGACCTATCATATTACATTTATAACTATATCATATCACCTATGTTACCTCGATCATATCACCATATTACTGTGTCCTGCTAAATGCTTCCTTATATCTTGATGTCACTTTTAAGTGAGGTCATTTAATTGATCATTTGACCCAGTTTATACTATTATGAACAATTGTTATTGTTAGAACCGCAATTGAAATACTCAATTCTGATTGGCTGATGAGCAGTCAACAATATGTACTGTTGACCGCTACTGGGTACTGCTGACCGCTACTTTTGAAAAAATGTTTTTTAAATGTTGAAATTTTTCTTAATTTTGAAAAAAGTTGAAAAAATTATAAATATTCAACGGTTTGGGGATTTTTTGCTAAAATATGATACCTACACTTATCAAATATGTTCAAGTGATAGATGGTAATACATCCTTCCAATTATTATATTCTTCGGAATACCTCCGGTCTCCGTCAACAGTACAATTTTGCCAGTTGACTTCAAGAGAGGTCTACAATTCTATATTGTATAATTGTTATTTATATTATACATTGTATATTTCTAGTGCTGATGATTACCTGGTTCGGGTGAAAGCACAGGTAATGCAGCGAGTTAACGATATGGGGTACTGGGTTCCGTATGATAAACGAAGCGAGCTCTGTATAGTAGGATTACGCAAAGTGTTGGTTCCTCTTGGTGATGAAATGCGCACGGAGTATCTTATATATGGACAGAGAATATCTGATCATGAAGTAAGTGTTGACTATTGTTTGTTTTGATTGTATGTTTATTTGCATTTATGTGTTTTACTATCAAGAAGTATTGAAGTAACAAGCCTATAATCAGTTTTTGCCAATCAGGGTTTACTTTCAAAACATTACAGGTGGGTTGACATTTAACAATTTTGGCCCAAAATCACTTGTAAAGTGCTCAGAATTATGAAAAACCAACTACGGGCCTGTGTAGCGGTTTATTGTTATAGTTATCATTTTTGTTACCCTAATTCCATGTTGGGACTTGGTTTAGTCGTACTATCATATTTGCAAATGTTCACTTTCGTTTGCAAGGCTTTGGCATAAAATTTACTATAGCTTGCAATGCCTGCTATTTCATGAAACATTCTTTAACATTAGGCCCATAATAAAAATTAAAATGAAAAGATAATACATCCAATTGTACTTAAACATGATTTTGTCAGAAATAACTATACAATTTATATATAAGAGAACACCTCTTAAACATGACTTTTATATGGAATCATGTCAAATTGTTGATGATAAGATAACCAGTCTAGTCTTTAGAAGAAGATGATAATAAATCTTCAATTCAAAATTGTTTTATCTGTAATAGGTTGCTCATTTATAATATCATTATATTCAGACCTATCAAGGTTATTTCAAAGGACCAGGTATGCTAGGTGTTCACAGGACAAAACAAAATTGGGATCGGATTAGATTTTGTCAATTTTGGGTCGGAACCACTTCTGATATTGATTAATGACTTCCCAAAATTGTCATGTAAACCTGGAACATGTTTAAAAATGTTGTTTGTAATTAGAACAAAATGAAAAGCTCTATTTGTTCAAATGAAATATTAAAGATCTAAGGAGTTTTCACCATTCTGAGCACTTGTCAAGTGATTTTGGCAATTTTTTGGGCCAAAGTTATCAAACGTGAAACTCCCCTGGAATTTTTAAAAAGTGAACCTCCTCTTGGCAAAAGCTGGTTACAGGCCCGATCATATTTCTTTCTAATGAAACTCCATAGGGGATCAGGATCTAGTATCTTTATGACCAGCTTATTTTATGGAACTGTATTAAGCTTAATCAGAGCTAAATATTAACCTCCAGGTATATGCTCAATTGAACCTGGTCCTTTAACTGTTATATTTTATTGTTCTATAAATATGCTCTTTTTGACATTACTTAACCTTATGAAACTTTGACTGTCAACTCTTATCAAATACAAGTATCGCATCCTGTTGAATGCGAGTATCGGTTTAAGGAGTGCAATAGTTAAAGACAACAAACTATAAGAGACTTTCTGTCGCCATGCGTCTAAATTCATAGTTACGGGTTAACTCTATTTCATTGCTCTGTAAACAAACTTATTGTCCACAAAATCGCAACGTGAGAGATCACAGACATGTTGCTAGTTTGAAAGTCACACAACGAGTCGATTTCATAACGAGCCACTTCAAGATACTCTTATCATATTACAATTTATCCATGATATATTCATAATTTTTTGATCTACTTTTGCAGTTGACCAATTTTTGCAACTTCACCTATTTTTGAAAATGACCTCCAAAATATTGTGATAATTGATGAAGACAAAAACAAACAAAAAAGTATTCAAAAAGTACCTTGTGCATATCAAATTGTTAGTATATATTTTGAATGAAGGAATAAGCATTTAAAATTAACAAAGTGATCACATTGAATAGTGTAAATTTTAGCTCATACAACAAGCCATGAAATCATCCTCTATTGGTCTGTATTTTCTTTATATAATTCAAAACCTTTTTAAATTTTGATGGAAAAATAATTTTTAGCCTTACAGCCTAAATGCATGTTGATATTTTACCGTTGCCATGACTGAAATCACATACTGGGGGGGGGGGGGGGTAAGCAACAGAATACAGAATTATTTCCAGATCACATAAACTTAATTTTGAGTTTGACATTGAGCCATGCTACAGCAGCATACCTAGGCCAGTACAGGTAATATACCTGTGATCAGAGTCAGATAGTCTTCTATATCCAATAGACTGGCTATAATCCAATCTACTGGTGTGAAAATCCTGTAGGATATAGTCCAAGCCATTGGGTCTATACTCTAAAGGTACCCATGGAGGTGACCTCAGAAAAGTCCACAATAAGACTTCATCGGACTATTCCTTGCAATATGAATGATTGAAGTAATTGCTTCTTTTCATTAAAAAGTCTATGTCAACACTTAACACTGTTACATGATTTTAAAACCTATTTTAAACACCTGTATCTTCTGAACACTTGCCTCTAAGAATAATGAACACCATTTCCTAGAATATTCTCTACTGACTACAGAGTCTCTACTGACTACTGAAGTGAATACCTATCTACAATGAACACTTTGAGTCATGGGTGGTGTTCCCTACACATTGGTTTTACTGTAGTTTGATTGCAAGGTGTGAAATGCATCATTTAGGCCACTACTGTATAAATCAAAGGGTTAACATCCTCTTTCATTCATTAATCTACATATCCATGAAAAGGGTTAATTCAGCATCTAACCCTAAAGCACAATGTCAACAGAGGGATATTAGAAGACATTTTTCATTTGTGTTGACAATAAAATTATATTATAACATGTGTATTTTGAGGGTTATTATATTGGATGAAACAAATGAAAATTGAAGAAATTAGAACCAAGCAGTATCAAAGTAGTGTATATAATATGTGCTAAACCTTGTCCTTGATTTAGGACATGTATATTTTATTGTTCTATAAACGCTTTCGTTTTGATTTTATTAATCACCAATGGATTTTTGATTGTCAAGTCTTATCAAACACATGTATCTCGGCATGTAAATTCAAGTATTGATTTATATGAGTGTAGATAGTATAGATAAGAAACTATAAATTTTTTAGTATGCATTGCATCATTTACATCAAAGTGAAATACTAAAATAGTTCATGTTTCATGCCATGTATTTTCTAAATATATTTATTGATCTGTAATTATAACGAAATCTATCGATTTGTGTGGGAGTAGAATTTGTTTAATGCAGAATAGCCCTATGGCAATTTGGAATCTACATTATAAATGTGGACTCATTTATAATATTGCATGTTACGAATCATTGTTTTGATAGTACTGTTTGATGCATGTGTATTTAGGATGTTCAATTTATAAAATATATAAGAGTTTTGTTAATTTTTCTGCTTTTCAACTAAATTTTGATGGCATACTCAACATTTCAACAAATATCGCAGTTATATCTATGCATATGAACTATGTCCCTACAAATGTTATTTCTTGGTATCTGCATAGCAGTTCCTTAAGGGCAATAAAATGAAAATGCAGTTAAATGCCCATGGCCATTTTGCTAGAGGAACAAATATTTGTTTTATACTAGACAGCATGTTTTCTTCAGGTCAATCACCATATTTTATAATTTTGTAGTTTTCAGTTATATGAAATGATTTGAAAGGTTAAAACTTGAAATTCTGTGAGCTACGTATGAAGTACACTGGTAGCATTTCCTCCACATATGTAGGGAGGGATTCCCTAAGAGGTTTCTCAATGATATCATTATCTAAAAAATCTATATGAAAATCTTGCTTATGTTGACATATTTTCCTTTCCAGAGTATTTTAAATTGTTCCTTAAAAAAGGATGTTGAATATACCAATGCAAATCCGACCTTTCTGCATTGGACAACAGAAAAGAAAAAATTTGGCCTTACATTTCAAAGTCCTGCTGATGCCAAGGCCTTTGATAAAGAAATAAAAAAAGCCATTAAGGACCTTTTGGCAGGTAAGCAACACACAACTACTACTCTTTTATTATACTGTATTTGTACAATCTCAACTTGCCATAATGTCATTTATCGTTAAATTTCAATTCAATTCAATTTATTTATTTCATAATTCTTATATAATATAAACTATAAAAACAAGCCGCTTTATCTTTAACGTAAATTACGTTAATTCCGAAGCTAATTCTAAATATTTAAGTGTAGAAATCATTTATTTGGGAAACCAATCTCTAGCAAACGTTTTGGTCTAAAGTTGACTATGAAGAACTATATGAACAGTAAAACCTGTAAAGTGGAACATTTCTATCATACAAAACCCCCATATTAAAGATCTAATAGCAAAGGTTTTGCAAAAATAAATCAATGTAGTATAAAACAAATGTATGTATAATGAAGAAATAAATATATAATGAAAAAAATAGATATCTGTTTGTAATATTGGTATAAACTTATGATTAAAAAGTGTCACTATCTCTTTCATTTTTCAACAAATATAGGCTCACGTGACATGTGACGCGGGGCAGGCAATTTTGATCTATCGTAGACCATATCAGTATCAAATTGCTGATATTTCAACCTCGTCTTGCGAGGCCATTTTGATTTGAAACATCTTGAATTTGGTGTCAAAATGAAGCTGGTCACGCCCACTTTCAGAGTTATCAATGAATCATTTACTACGACTACTATATTCATTTAGGACGCGTGTAAAGTTAACCAATCAGAAAGACAATTGTTCCATATATGGCAGTTCATTAACATATTCAGTGTTTACTACTGCTTTTCGCGTCATGACAACACGAGTAGTAACCAATCAAGATGCCGTATTTTATCACGTGAGTTCAGAGTGACACGCATGCGACATGTTGTCTGAGGTGATCGCGATGTTGAACAATTTCTTCTCGGAATTTGTCCAGAGAAATCAGCGATTCTAAATTAAGGTAGGATCTGCCATTTTTTCCTGTACAAGTTATAACTTATCTCTATCGAATCCTAAAGTTTTGGAAGAAGATATGAAGCGTAGGTTTAAAAACGAATCGATTAATTTGACGATCTGATTTTGCAATTTGCAATGATTTGCAATGGCCAATTTACTGCAAGTCCAGTGCATGTATTTGACAAGAGATAGCGCCAAGTCTTGTATCTAAATGCTTGTTCAGCCACTCAAAAACAAGATCCATATTTTCAAAATTTGATAACTTTGCAGAAAACCTGTTTTCATAATCTGTTTTCCGCGTCTAGATTCAAACTGAGTATGATAATAGGATCGCTGGAATCTTCAGTCAATGGCAACGGGTCTTCATTCCAGAACTCACATTTTTAGTTGATTCTCCGTCATACTTCTTGTCTAAAGTCCCCATATCTGCTCTCTTACTGCCATACTTGCATACATTTCCCCTCCTTAAATTGGCTTCATTCAAATTACACCCTCTCGCCGATTTATATAGCCATTTCCCAGAACCCGGGAATCAGAATCGCTGATGTTTGCCATATTGAACATATTATATGTACTGTAATATCTGTACATTGCCTGCTACGCGTAATGGTCACGTGACTAGCACGATACAGGAAAAATGGGGAATTTCGAAACAACAATTTTTGGGCACTTTTATTGCAAATTTCAGGTATTTATAAAGTGTTTGTGGTATAAAATATAATCCACAGACATAAATGAACATCCAAACTACATATTTCATTCAGTTTTGGAGCCTTTTTTGCTCTTAAATTAACATCTTTAAGTAAAACACTTTTGAAGTCCTTACTATCTGTTTTTTTTTATTTAACCTCTTATTGTATTATGTTTGCTGTTGTTGTGTCTTGACTCTTGGGGTAGTCTTGTCTTGTGGAACTATTGTCTCATTATATTTATTTGTTATGTCCACAGGTACATGTTATTAAACATCTGATGCAATGACACAGGTTATGTAGCAAAATAGAGAAAAACAATTAAATGGGATGGATCAAGATTTATGTTTTATGTATTATTTTGGATTCATAATGTAATATAATTGTTAGCCACAAATAATTCAGCTCCAAGTTAAAATCACTTCCACCAGAAGAGGTATGAGGATGCAGGTGTCATCCATAATCATAAAAGAAAATAGTTCACTCATAATATTTCCGCAGTAATCGTCACCTGAAACCAGTCTGCTTATACAAGAAGGGAGCATCCTTGGGGACCCCTTAGAAGCAGGATACAAGTCTTTATAATGAAATATCTCTGGGGACCCCTTAGCAGGATACAACTCTATTCTAAATTCTGCTTTTGAGCAGAAAGAAATTTTAAAATCCCATAGGTTCTAAAATAACAGGAAATGCTATTTTATCCCTTTGGAAGTTATATAGAAACACTTCTTTTAGTGTGAACTTTTAGTATGAGATTTAAAACTAGAAAATGGAATTAAAAAGCATATCCACTGAAATATGATAATCAATCCCATCACAGAAAGAATTGAAAAATAGAATGTATTGGAGGGAGCTCATTGGCTAGATACTCTTTTTACTATCCTGGTATATTTTCAATTAATGAATGGAGGGGTTGATCCATATATTACATGTAGAATTATTTCAGTTTTGTTCAAAATTCATAGAGACACCATTTTTGAAACAATAAGCAACCCCAAAATCGACAAAATCAATTTTCAACACCCATCTTAATATTAGTTTGGTCATACATTCCACATAAATCAACCTCAGCACCTTTAAGTTGTAATCAGATGAACATGAATAAGAACCTCATCTCTAATTTAAAAATCTCAATGGATATCAAAGTGTCCCCTCTAACAGCCAATAGTCCTTCTTTAATTACAAAATCTTGGAATGTAATTTAAAGTAGCTCTTCTCCGCTTTGCATCATTTACACACAACAACTGCTGGTTTGGCATTTTGTAAATCATATCATTAAGCGTGAGAAAAAGTTCTTTTTTATCTGTCTAACCATTAATGTTGCAAGATAAGATACGGTGGCTTATATTTAGATGGGAAGAGGAAACTGTATAGAGATTAGCACTTAACTGTCAGTTGGAAACTTACTGTGTTGCTAGGCTACCTTTCAAGTTCTGCTGAACTTTTTCTTCATTTCTGAGCTCTATGCAATACAAGTAACATTTTGCAGTGATTTTAATATTTTTCTGGTATGTGGTCATCTAATATAGATACGCATCAATATTTGTATTCTTTAAAAGTTCAAAATTATTCAGTATTTACAACTCAGGCTCAATTCTTAAAGGCTCCTATTTCATTCATATTAATCAGACCATTTAAAGGCACTTTTTATAGACACAAATGGAATTTTATGCCATTTAATGATTAAATTGAAAAGGAATATGGTGCCAGTAGGGTATATTATTATATAAATTGAAAGTCTATTATATTTTAACATGTTTTTGGTTTGAAAATATAAAATAAACGAGTAGTTATGGTAAAATTTTACTTTTTCTTTTATTACTCCTATGAGGATGTGGTTTTTCTGAGAGAAATGAAACCAATTATCTTAATATTAAACACAGTACTTGCATGTTGACATTTTCATTTTTGAAACTTTTGTCGGGTTCAAAACTGAATTCAAAATTGTGTTCTTCAACGTAAAGGATGTCAGATTATGAATTTACAATGAACTAAATGTTCATAGTGTCTGTCGGATTATAAATTTACAATTATCTAAATGTTCCGTATGGACGACAGTTAGGCTAAGTCTGTAAGCCTTAGATTAACTCTGAGGTTCTGATTGGAATTTGAATATAGCTTTAGAATTATTCACTTCCTGAACATATAGCTTTAGAATCCAAGCATTATTCACTTCTTGAACATATAGCTTTGGAATTTGAGCATCATGCACTTCCTGTAAAGTGAACCTAAGCTTTGGAATCCGAGCATCATTCACTTCCTGTATATTTTGCTTTGGAATCTGAGCATCATTTACTTCCTGTATATATAACTGTATATTATATATGATAGTGATGTTATAATATCATTATAATTCCAGTCACAAAAATCATGAAAAATATAAATTACCATGGAAACTAATAAAACCAAGAAACCCATTTTGGCAGGGCTTATAATACTTTACATGGAATATGTTTTGTTTAATTATTGGAACTTAATAATAATGATATAAAACAAAAAATTATAGAAATGTGTTGAAAAACTGCCAACTGACAAACTTGATAAAGAAAATTCAATTTTAGCTAACATGATCTTAATTTTCCAATAATTTCTATGATACAAAATATTTTTCATGAGATATATATATTTCATATACTCATACATTCATTTTGGGATTTCCATTCAGCTTTCTAGAAAACGGACTAATTTGACCTTGTTAAGATGGTAAAGTAGGAGATAGGGAAATTGGGCTGAATGTGTAGGCGTTTGTACGTAAGATTTAAGGACTGTTTCACCGTAAGTTGCAGCTGTACCCAGTTTACAGAACTTTGCATTGGAAGTGCAATATTGGAACTTTGGTTAAGAGGTACATGAGGGTTTGCATACAGCTGCTTCAAAGTCCAGACAGGAAAGAAACAGTATCTACTTCTATAGGAATCCTTGGAGTCTCAATGTCTTCGACAACAAATAATATTGACCCAGGGGGAGTTGTCTCTGGTTACCCAATCAACAGTGCTTTTAACCCAGGAAGTGGGAACTACCTTGAGAATTAGTGTCCTTGATAGGCTAATAACTGTTTGTATCTTATTGGGTTTTGTTGTTTGTAATCTGCTAAAATTGAAAAGAATAGAAAATTCTGTAAAAGTTTATAAAACTCGAAAATACCATCTATGATGAAATTAGTGAGTTAAGGGAGAATGAAAAGGTTACCCGTCACTATTTTAATTTTATCTGTTTTTAGACCTATAGTATAGTATTTTTGCCATTTTCTGAATGACACTATTTAAAACATATGCTTCTCAATCATAAGATGCATGATTGATAAAATGAAGTGGATGGTGAGAAAGTGGAAAAGTCAGTGTGCCCCATCAGTATTTTAATATTTATATATTTAAAACTTAAAGTTCATTACCTATTTTTGTCATTTTCTGAATGACTTTGTTTGATTTGTATTAAAAACAATGACGTTCATGTGCAGTAGTACTATAAAAGTATTTGATTAATTGAATCTAAGTCTGGTCATTCATATCAGTTTCTGCTAATAAGGGAGAGAAAGTGGAAATCTACTTAAATATTAACTATTTAAAACCAAAGCATATTATATATTTTTGCCATTTTCCGAATGACTTTGTTTGACTTGTATTAAAAACAATGACGTTTATGTGGAGTAGTAGTGTAAAAATAATTGATTAATTGTTACTTAGTCTGGTCATTCACTTTAGTTTCTGCTATTACATGGGAGGGTGAGAAACTGGAAATATACTTTATTATTGTCTATTTAAACCAAAGTGTATTCTATATTTTTGTCATTTTCTGAATGACTTTGTTTGACTTGTATTAAAAACGATGACGTTCATGTGGAGTAGTAGTGTAAAAATAATTGATTAATTGAGTCTTAGTCTGGTCATTCATATCAGTTTCTGCTATAATAAGGGAGGGTGAGAAAGTGGAAAACTTTAGTATTATCTATTTAAATCCAAAGCATATTATATATTTTTGCCATTTTCTGAATGACTTTGTTTGACTTGTATTAAAAACGATGACGTTTATGTCGAGTAGTAGTGTAAAAATAATTGATTAATTGATACTTAGTCTGGTCATTCACTTTAGTTTCTGCTATTAGAAGGGAAGGTGAGAAAATAGAAAACTACTTTGGCATTATCCATTATTAAAACCTGAAGTATATTATCTATTTTTACAATTTTATGAATGAATACTATATTAGGACAATGACATACTTGTTGTTGATTGGGGCAATAGTGATTGATTAATTAAACCCGTCTGGTCATAATGACTTTTGCATTCTCACTCTAATCTTAAAAGTACATGTGTAGAATTAACTTTATAGAAATTGTACTTATCCATACATAGCCCCTCGTTTCTAAAAACCAAGGATGGATCTGATCAGTGATAACTGAAATGTATACATTGAAGAACGTTTGCATTTGTTTTTCTCAAAACGTTCCTGTAATTATATTGTATGATTCTGAATACAATCTGTGCTGTTTACTTTTCGATCTTTTTTGGGATGGGATTTATGAAATGATTAAGAAAATATTGGTTGGTCTGGTTAATTATAAATGTGGCTTATGATTTTTGCACCCCTCTATGACAAATTCAAACTTTATCAAGTAGGTAAATACAAGGGGTGATCCAAAAATCTTAGACACCCTGCTCTAATTTTGTTGGTTAACAAAGTTAGATCGGGGGATCCAAGACTTTTGGGTCACCCCTCGTTCCTAGAGCCCTAGAGTTCCATATATACTTTTTTATTTGATATTTTGATTTTCAGTAAAACCTATCTGGTGGGACACCTTTCTTTAAGGAATGCCTGTCTACAAAGAACAGTTCAAAAGAACCAAATATTTTCCCATTGAATTACATGTTATAAGACCTTCTCTGTGAGGAACACATGTCAACTTGAAATAAGCAACAGTGTTATAAGGTCAAATTATGAAAATCCACCTGTTCACAAGGAACATGGTGTATTAGATATAGATATAGATTAGGAAGCTGATTGTTGACATTTGACAAGCTGCGACATCCTTACCACTGTCAATTACCCCAATATTTTTTTTAATTAATCTGTTTGTTAAAAATTGCCAATTGACACTAATGCTTTCTTTCAACAAATGTTGATCTCATCTGACAAGTTGAGATCCCAGGGACTGACACTACTCTTTTAGGAGATAATATAAATGTATTTGTGTCATATTGAACCAAATCTCATTAAATCTTTTAAAGATCCGATCTTTTTTTAGAAATATTATAGCATAGTTTGAGAAATACAGTCTTACACATACATCCCAGATTACTCATTCTATTTCACCTTCCTTAACGTTTATTATGTTGTGTGCTGTTGTCATGGTGATCTAATATGTTTACTTTCATCAGGAACTTTTTCAGATAGATTTAACTTTTTAGGTTTTTTACAAATGTTCCATCATCAAGTTTTTATCTATTGTGTTATCTCATCGCTAATGATCAATGAATGATGTCACTAATATATTTTCTTTTTATCTTTTGCATTCGAATTGGATTTTACAATTGGTAAGTGTGTATGCAGTTAGGTGTTTGTTTTTAACTAGAATGTTTCGAATTCAGTCTTCATCAAAAATTTACTCAAAAGCCTTTCTTGGCTATGAACAAATAAAACTATTGTGGCATAAAGATTTTATCATTATAAGCTACAATAGGTACTATTGTTTCATCTAACCATCTGAAAAGCGGCATAAAATATGTCTCAGCTTTAAGGTAGCGCAAGTAGAAGCTTTTTAAGAGACCCACACCATGGTAATGTTAAGGTAGACAAATTGGGATACCTTTTAGATCTACTTCTTTGTACAGTGTCATTATATGCAAGAATTATGTGTAAACGATTTATTCTCCAATTTTCACCATCAAAAGATGATAAATTTTTATTTTTTAAACTGATATTTACAAAAAAAGATGGCTTGTATTGGTAATGTCAAGTGGTAGGTTGTTGATTTTAATTCTGGCAATTTTAGGCTCAGAGTTAGTTACTGAGCTCCTTTAGTTATTTCCTTTACTTAATAAACATGGTGTAAATAATAATATATTTGTATATTTTCTCTTTGCAGGTCCTCACAATGCAGCTGAGGCGGGCGAAGATGATGTATTTATGGTGAGTTGGGTCTTTTAGTTTTTGGTATGACCATAACTTATGATTCCGAGAAATTGTAAAAAGGACCCCAGAGTTATAGCCACAGAATGTAATGTTATGATTTTCTGATTACAAATTCGGATTAGATATAAGTTAGAACAAAGACTTATCTCTTATAAAATCTAAAGGTTAGATAAAATTGAGCTATTTTGGAGTTCAATATGTAAATGTTGTTGACCCCAAATCAACTGGGTGAACATAATTTGCAGTTCTCCCATTTGGAGGCAGTGGGTGGTAGATTTGACCACATGTGGAGCAAAATCAGTCTCTATATTTTCACAAATTTCGATTTTACTCGTACATGTGTATATGTTTTTAATACCAGTGATGGCTTGTTTTGTTGTTATGGCAACAAGTTATAAGAATTAGCTGAGAAAACAATTAACTTAATTTAACATAGTTTTAGTTTGAAAGGTTTAATTTTATCTTGAATATTGTTGAACGTTAAATTGTATTGTCAGTATTTGACTTTTTGAATGAGAAATCATCTTGAGCGGCTCAAATGTCTGTAAAAAACTTGTAAGTTCCAATCCTTTTTTGACTGAAGGGCACTCTCTGGCACTGTACTGTCATTAATTATTAGTTAATAACCTTCTAAAGCTGTGTAGAGCCCTCAGGTGAGTTAGGATAGTCTCATCACTGTCATTATGAGATAGGATAGGTTCATCTTTGTCATATTCTAGCATATTAATAGATCTGTTATTTCCTGTCATGGTTTATAGACTGTAATGCCATCTTTTGTGTGTTCCAGCAACTGAACCTGCCATGTAGGAAGGGTAGCAGCTCCCAGTCAGCAAGTACGGCTAGTACAACCACCAGCTCTCCCACCCCTCAATCCCCAGGCTTCTCACCCGCCTTTGCGGACCCATTCGCACAAACTTTCACAAATAGCCACAACAGGGACCATTTACATAGAGTTGTGTATTGGAGCTCTCCCAACTCTAAGCACTCATCTCCTGGTAGTGATAAATCAGGGGGTAGTAGTAAAAGTAACGAGGAGGTCTGGAAACTTCGCTCTGATAAAACAACTAACAGTGGTAAGGGAACTGGGGTGGGGTCTACTGGGGGAGTAGTGGGAAGCACAGATAATGCACCCGATGACAGCTATGTACAATTTGAACACAACAGACCTAGTACACATGACTACTCTTATCCTATGTGCACATTGGATCCAGCATCCAACAAACATGTCTCAGGTAAAAGAGACAGTGTAGGCAGTATAAAAAAGAACAATTTGGAGTGTACAACCTCTCAACCTCCATTACCAATGAAAAATAAACATAAAAAACGGGATAAAATGGATAGTAAAAATAGGTTATTAGAGCGTTCACGGTGCGTATACTGTCATGAAGTATTTGTACATGATGAGAATCCACGAGGGAATTGTGAAGACGCCCCTGATCGGGTGGCAAACTGTATAGAAAAAGTTTCGTGCCTATCGTGTGCTCACTGCATGCTTTACCACTGTATGTCAGATCCTGATGGGGATTATGGTCATCTGTGCGTGTGTGATTCGAGTGACGAGAACAATAGCAAGAAATGGACCGTATTAACGGTTTTGTCATTCTTCGTGCCGTGCCTCTGTTGCTACGGGCCACTCACAGCGTGCCACCGTTGTGGGGTGGCCTGTGGGTGCTGTGGGGGTCGGCACAAAGCAGTTTGACCTCCCCCTTGCCCGCCTTATATCCCACCCTCAGAGCCTCGTGTTGGTGGCCACTTGATAGACTGCATAGGTGACTGATATAAAAACCACAGTTTGGATTAATGCAGCGCTTGTATGGCTACAACAAGCTCAGTGTATATTTGTACAGTGTATAACAGTGGAGCCACAATCATTGTGTTTCTAACAGAAAACAAAATGGCTGCCTGGTAACGAATTGCAGTCTTACATAGCAACATTTTTGAACTTTGCTATCCTTTCACATTATCACTTTTGGTGACAATTATACATTGGAAAGAGCAATGTGTTGGAATTATGTGCCAAAGTAGAATTTTCAATTTAGTCTAGTGAACTCCTAGCTAGCGTTTCAAATAGGAAGCTATGAATGCAATTTTAGGATAATAGAATATCAATGCCCCTCTGAGGAAAATTTCAAATCATGTTAAAAGAAAGGATGCTGGGTTAACCAAATACTGTGATAGATAAATTTAAGGAATATGTATAGTCAGAATAAAACTTGTCAAATGTTTCAGAATTTTCACTACAGTTTAGATTTTTACGGACAACATATTAATGTATCAATGGGTACTTATCAGTGTATCATCCACACATATTAATATTGGTAGAATGGCTTGAAATTGACAAGCTATGATGAGCCATAAATGCTCCTAATAAGTGACACAGTGATTATATAGAGTAATTGCTTGAATTATTTCAAACAAATAGCTATGGCACTGTATGTTCCTTATAGTTGGTGCAGTTCATACCATATTCTTCTTAATATGAGCTATATACTTTGCTATTGGCCAAAATTATTTGAGACTAAATCAGATAACCCAACAACTAGAGATACTCTTTTATTTTTGAATGTATCTTAACAATGGTAATGACCATTACAAAAAAACAAAAAATTGAATTTATAATAAAATATGAGTAATTAAATTTGTTATTTATCTGCTAAATTGTTTCTAATACTCAACATTTTCTCATTGACATTTAATCTTCATCCAGAAAAGTTCAAATGATTTTTTAATAACTGACCCGTTGATACATTCTTATATGTAGTTCTGTATAAAATCACTTGTTCCAAAATCAGATTATGTATCATTAATGTGGAGTCTTTGTATCAATAGAATTACTAGCTGTTATGTTAAGTACTTGATTGAATTTGTTTTCTGAAAAATTCCCGGTAGAGCATTTCAAACCACTTTATGGTAACTTTGTATTTATTCTTGATTTACAAAAATTTTGAACATTCATATATGTAACCAAAGTGTCTTAATGCTAAATTCAATTGTAGTTTGAAAATCCATAACTGTAGAAAGAAACACATCAAAAACGAATCATGTTCAAATCATTAAATAATTGCAGTATGTCATACATTAAGATGTAAGAATGTAGTATAAAATCATGTCAGTTCTGCTAGTGCTTTCGTAAATGTACATGACAGATAAGCCACACAGAGAAGATCATTGTTTAATACTGATTATATAGTACATGTAGTTTTCATGTATCGTAAATTACTTGGAAATTAAATTGTATTTGAGCACAATCGTTCAGATTTTCCAAGAATTAACTGTTAACCAACCAACTATGAATATTGCCAAATGTGAATTATAAGCTTGGGACTATATCAACTTGCTTAACAGGTCTAAACAGAGAACTCTCTCTCTATTCTCTGGGAGTGGGAACTATAGGAGAGGGTCCTCAGTTAAACATTCATTGTGATTGTGTAGTATATGAGTTTAAAACAGCAGTGTAGCATCAGCTAATGTTCATAAGTGATTGTGTAGCATAAGCATATGTTCATAAGTGATTGTGTAGTGTCAGCTTATGTTCATAAGTGATTGTGTAGCATAAGCATATGTTCATAAGTGATTGTGTAGCGTCAGCTTATGTTCATAAGTGATTGTGTAGCATAAGCGTATGTTCATAAGTGATTGTGTAGAATAAGCTTATGTTCATAAGTGATTGTGTAGCATAAGCTTAAGTTCATAAAAGATTATCCTGTGTAGCATAAACTAATGTTATTAATTTATTGTAATTGTATAACAGAAGCTAATGTTTATCAGTGATTCAGTATGTGCTTTAATATTCAACAGTTATTGTAAAGCACAAGTTTATGTTCAACAGTGACTGTAAAGCACAAGCTTATGTACAACAGTGATCGAAAAGCACAAACTTATGTTCAACAGTGATTGTGAAGCACAGGCTTATGTTCAACAGTGATTTTGATGCAAAGGCTTATGTTCAACAGTTATTGTAAAGCACAAGCTTATGTACAACAGTGATTGTGAACCACAGGCTTATGTTCAATGGTGATTGTGAAGCACAAGCTTATGTTCAACAGTGATTGTGAAGAACAAGCTTATGTTCTACAGTGATTGAAAAGCACAAACTTATGTTCAACAGTGATTGTGAAGCACAGGCTTATGTTCAACAGTTATTGTAAAGCACAGGCTTATGTTCAACAGTTATTGTAAAGCACAAGCTTATGTACAGCAGTGATTGTGAAGCACAGGCTTATGTTCAGCAGTGATTGTGAAGCACAGGCTTATGTACAGCAGTGATTGTGAAGCACATGCCTATGTTCAACAGTAATTGTGAAACACAGGCTGATGTTCAACAGTAATTGTGAAGCACATGCCTATGTTCAACAGTAATTGTGAAACACAGGCTGATGTTCAACAGTAATTGTGAAGCACATGCCTATGTTCAACAGTAATTGTGAAACACAGGCTGATGTTCAACAGTTATTGTGGAGCAGGAGCCTATGTTCTGTTCATAAGCATTAATTTTTTAGTCACAGCTGGTTTTATTTTAGTTTCTGTAGGCTAATGTACATGGTTTAATGTAACCTGGTCAGAACTAATGTGTCAAGTAAGAACTTCTATCCAGAATTAAGATCAACAAACTATTTTTTGGTCATCATTTTTCAGCCATTTAAATGAGAGAATTTATGAACATGCTGACTGATTTATGATAAGATTGAGCGATGATGCAGAAGTGATGTGTGTAATGATGAAGAAGTGTTGTTGCATTACTTTCTTAACGCTTCACTTCTTTTGTTCCGTAACTGACCTGTAATGCGGTTTATAGGTCAGGCTTGAAGAGAAATAGTTGTTGATCGGCAGCTGGTAGGAAATTCTTTGAACACTACAGAGTTCAATGTACAATAGTGTGAAATTGGAACCATAGTTACTGTCATGGAAACAGGTCATAAAAGTCAGGGAAAGTCACCATATAAGGAATTACTAGAAAGGGACAATTTCAAAATCTAATTTTATTCTCTTAAAGATCCTGTATTTAAACCAACTCTTTGTTTTAATTTAGAGCACAGGTTATATTCAGAGAGACAATTTGTATGGTATATCAATGATTAATTTAAAATTTCCTTCACCTTTGAATAATTCAGATAAAAGTTTCGGAAAAATGATTAATTTTGATCTAAATCTTTTACTCATGATAAATTAGAAGAAACCTTGAACATGAAACATCGACATTGGCATTGACATTGGCCTTTATGAAAGACCATGAAAGTTAAGCTTTCAGCTATCAATTAGCAGGAATTGCATTGAAAATGATGCATTCATCTTCTGTGATAATTCAATTTAAAACGTGTATCTCTGTTACAAAAAATTTCAATTTCACTTCAATTTGGATTTGCTTTAGTCAGATGCATTAAATATTAAATCTTGAGCTGTTATAGATATTTCAGAATTAGGTTCCTAGTTTTATCTACATGATGACAAACCCTGCATTTCACGGCCTGCTCCTTAAAGGTCCCATTCTCATTTTTTCTTTGAGAATGCCTCTTTAACTGACCTCAACAATTGTACTGTATAGTGATAGCCACATTTTGTACACATTTATGTAAATAATGTAACATATTCCCAGTACGGGAAATGAATAATGAGTATCTCTAAAAACTTTTTATTTTAAATTACTGTATAGTTGTGAATATGAAAGAAATCAAAAACATTGATCCGCGGCTATTTTTACTACCGTATGTAAACTACTATACTATTATATATATTAGTCGTGCTATGCAAATTGTTGAATGGATGGATGGTGATTACTGTTAACATGAGGTATTTATAGTTTATATTTTCGCACAAATGTGCTGTGTATAATTATTACGTGTATAGATAATTGATATAGGTGAGTGGATCAGTCACAAAACGCTTTCTTGAAGGCATTTGACGCAATATGGCTTGTATTATCGTATCTGTATCGTACAAGATATTGTTGCTACAGGACTTTTGTGTTACAATATAGCATTGTTTATTTTTGTGATTTTATAATATTGTACTGTCAGTTGTAATGCTGCAAATCATAAAATGATCTGAATTAGCATATATGTTATCACTTCAGTTAAAATATGTATTGACTATCAATGTGGCATGGCGTCTGATGATGATCAGTTGCATTATGGGAGCAAAACAGCATTATTTGATGTGCTGCATTATGGGATGCAAACATGCCGTCTGCTTATGTCTGTTGCATTATGGGACACAAAATGAATGTAGAGAGAGACTGACTGGTCCACTTACTGTACCTGACACAATTGCTTCTGTATAAATTAATGCCCAAGCTTTGTAGGAAATCTTGGTGTTGAACCCATTCTGCTAACTCTTGTCCAGTATAACCCCTCCATGTGCCAGCCAGACATTATGACATACAATATGTAAACCCCAAATATGTCAGATATTCAATCACTAAAATTTCAGTGAAAAATACTTCATTGGTGTCTGTTTTAGTAACATAACACATAGGAAGAAAAACTTATTTACTGGCTGGTGCAGGAGATTCAGTGTGACCACATCATCTCAAACTAATGGATAGATGCAATGGCTTGTTTAACATTTGACCAAGAATTGATATTCTGATATCTAACAAAAACAAAATTAACATGTGAACAAAAACATGGTTGTTGTATTATAATATCTATATCGTTAACTGTCATTCTTGAGCTACAAATACCTTAATGATTGTATTGAAGGTTAAGGATCCTTGCCAAGGATTTATTTGTTTCTGATAATTATCTCAGATGAGGTACATGTTTATAGTATCACTAAAAACATTAGATTCTGTTATCGATACATGAAACAATATAGTTTATATCATAATTGAGTGAGAATGACTTGCCATTTTTATTGAAAAAAATATCCAGAACTTCAGTTTAATGACCATTGTTATATCATAGAAATTAGCCTACTTTCATTCTTTTGAATAGCTAAAGAATGGCAGTAAACTCTGTGAATGTAGTATAAACAACCTGAAACAGACCTACACTGTATAGTGTGGAGAAATTGTGAAGACCTAATCCGTTAACTCCTACAATGACAGTTATTTGTGTGTGTGTGCTTATATTCCATTAGACCTTTTACAATATTCAACATCATATCGACATTGTGAATCAGACGATGAGTAGATGGGCTTATGTTGTAAATATGATGTTCGCTATTGTAAATAAACTATTTTGTTTGTAAAGACGTAGCATTGTAAGTTTAGAATCAAGATTTTCTACAAAGCTTTGAGAAATAATCAACTAGATATTTATCAATCAATCAATCAATCAATCAACCAACAATCAAGTGTCAGTATGCCACTACCTTCTGTATGTACAATTTGCTTGATTGTTTGTTTGTTACTGTATATTGTTTGTTTGTATCTCAACAACACAGTATGCTTGTTTTATTGTTATTGACTCTTACAAGAAACTGTTATTTTTTCTGTTTATGTCACCACCCAAAAGATGTTGACATACCATTATGGCCTTCAATTTTTTATGCATTTGACAGTTGGTGTTTTGCCACTGTAACATGTAACCTTTTTAATTCAGGAAAACTACTTATTAGATTAATTTCAAAGTTGTAGAATTGTAAGATAGTATCAAACTGATTAACTTTTGATGGGGATCTTAGATGGTTCTACATTTTCCTGCTTTAATATAGCAATTACTCAAGAACAATATGTCAGATTTACTTGAATCTGTTTCAAACATGCTATGAAAATTCAGATTTTACACAAGGAATTATGGGATGTGTAACATTTCAAACAAATTTTCTCATTCATTTTACGACAATAGTACATAGGTACATAGGTACTATGGGCAATGGAAAACATTATCCAATTAGTTTTGATTATTGAACGAAACCAGGTGGTGACATCTATGTAACCTTGTTTATATTGTATATGGCCATGTATGTTGATGAGTAAACATATACTGGTCAGATTTCTACCAAGTGGTATTAGCTGGTACTAATTTCAAAAGACCCTTTTGCGACATATTTATTTATGATGATTCTGAAAGGATAGAACCATTCTTGGGAACCATGGGGCAAGATGAGCACTCAGAATTTGATTCCCTGGTCACATTTATTTGTTAATATGAACCAATGTATATCCAGTCTTACTTCAAGCTCTTGTGGCAGATACCCTTAACGTCCAAAGAGGTGTAAGAGACAGAGGGGGGGGGAGGGGGGGGGGTCAGAGACCTTTGAAACCCAGCCAGTATTTTCCAAGAGCTATTTATAGGGAAAAATGGGATGTTCTATTCGGAAGAAGTTCTTTTACAGAGATTCAATGGTTATTCTTTGTTCTATATTTGTATATATTGAATTTATCATTAAATTTATCATTAATGTTTAATAACATTTTGTTCATCACTTATCGAGCTTATATAGTTGTTAAAGGGTCTTGTTTACAATATATTAAGTGACTCTCTGGAGTTTGATGTTGAAGGTACCAGCTGATACTTAACCTGGTAGTCCTCCGTCACTGTGTGGCTGTCAGAAATAGCTTTGTTTAAAGTCTCTTCTTTGCAATACACACCTGACCTAAGTGTTTTATAAACTGGACTATGTCAACTGTATTTATATAAAAACTATTGCATTGAACTAGAATATACTACTACTGAAGATTTCATTCTTTAAAAAAATGAATCACTTTGGAAATATTTTATTTGAATGCATTACCATGACAACCTATATGAGAAAAAATAAAAATCCAAAGTTCAAAGGTTCAGTATATGGCTTTTTTGACAGCCCACAGTGATGTTTACAGTTCCAAACAATTTATGTGTATATCAATTTGGATGTATACGTACATAATAGTTCATCTACATGTATACCTAATTTAATGGATTTTCTGTTCAGTTATAAAATGATATTTGTGTTCATGTGCATGTGTTGATTTATATGCAAGTTAGTTTGTATGTCTGATTGTATTTTCTGCATGGTCATATTCAGGTCTTATGAAGTAAATTACCTACAGTGGTCTTAAAATTCACTTTTAGTGTGAAAAAAATGGAATCCCAATATTTAGTGAACTGTGTATTCCCAATGAGACATTGGGGTTTCTTCACATTTTATACACGTAGCAGTGCTAAGTCTTGGAAGATATGAGAAAGGGTGTGACCATTTTGCTATTTTATTAAAAAGCTCTACACAAGTTTGTGTAACATTTTTAGTTATGAATAAGGATATGATTTATGAGAAAAGAGAACTTTTCACATTTTTGTTAATCTGTTTCGCATTCGTTACTGATTACAATGTATTATTGTATGAAGTTTCATACGGAGGTTAAAAATTACAAACATTTTGCATCGTAGTATCTTTATTTTTAAAATGTGAACTAATCAGTATACCATTGTTTTCCTTTATAGGCTACTCTGGCCTTTGATATATCGAATAAAAGCAAAATTATAATCAGATATAGAACATAGAAATATAAAAGTATGGTAAATAACAGATGTAATGTACAACAATTTTGAAGTATGTATAGAACCATTTCAAACTATTTTATAGTGTATTATTAAGATTGATGCAAATATTTGTAGTTTTTATACTCCAACTGGCAAATGTCATGAGTTAATTTAGATAAGAAATATTGAATATAAAATTGCCAAAAAATGTTAAGTTTATGAATGTAGATAACAGAGTTAAGAAAAGGCTTATGATCGTTCTGAGTTGCTAGGTTATTTTTACATTAAAATCATATGTGTATGTTTACATGCAGACATCACCAAGAATAAAAGCACAAACTGTATACATTTCTTATGTGACTCTTTTTACATTCTTATATTCTACTTAAAATACTCATTTGAAATCTTTTGGAAACCAGTTTGTTATCAGTGAAATAGGGTCAACATTTGTAACTCCCAAAATCATAATTTGATTTTTTTCTGAGTTAGTTTATTTCATATTAATCATATTTACAAAACAATATAACAGTGAATACATATATATGAAATGCAGGCCGAGGTCTTGCGACATTTTTGGCCTGTAGTTCATCAACAGGAAAATGAAAATCGGTTCCTCAGTTATGGTGGAAGATTTGGTTGATGATATGCATATCCATATATAAAGCCATGAGAACACAATACATTGTATATGCTATAGATATAGTCAAAATGATGTAGCAGATCGTAAAAACCGGTAATGAAAACTCATTCCATGTCCCTGTCTCATTTCACCGGGAAACATGTCTCAATGAAAATATTTTGTTAAGTTTTGTCTATTTTCTTCACATTCGTAAGTGTGTTAAGTTGAGCAAGCCTGTAAAATGGTTGATTTCCTTTAATAATTGGTTGATGTCCCTTGGTATTTTAAGGACTTTTTTAACAAAAGTCTGTCCATTATCCAGAAAATGAATATTTACTTAACCTCTTGAATACCCAGAGTGACGGATATATCCGTCACAAATGAAATAAGACTGGTGCCCAGAGGGACGAGAAAATCCGTCACAAAATTTTTCACAAAAATTGCTCTCATTTGAACAATTTTCATCCAATTTACACAAAAATTGTTTTAAAACGTGTAGAAATGATCTCTGCCGTCCAATTTTACTAAGCTGAGCATCTAAAGTTGTATAGGTATGTAATAAAATGTCAAAAGGTGGCAAAAAATGAAAAATTCTCTGGTTTCATGCCAATTTTAGAGCCTGGGATTCAAGAGGTTAATTTCCAATGAAATAATTCAGATTTTGGTAATTGAGGAATTTTTATTTCCATGCTAAACTTTCATTTCTGGATGTGACTAACCCTTCATTGTCAAAGCACATGGATATTTTGCACTATGCTATGATAAAGATGTTGAGTTCAAGGTTCCATCCATCTAAAAGTAAAGATTTTTACTCTTGAGGATTGAATATGTTTTTATGTCACCACCAGAAGTATGAATATGAATATTTCTTTGTGTTATCCACTGGGAAGTAATAGTATCATGGTATAAATAGAGGTTATACCTAGGGAGGGATTGTTGATATCATGCCGAAGTAGGAACCCCATATACAATCCCCACCAGGATGACCTCTTTCAATGATCATTAATATTCAGAGAAAAAAACATTTTCAAAAATAAAAGAAAATGATTTTAAATAAATGAAAAGATGAAAAAAAGATAAAGAGATAGTGTATAGCAAAAAAAGTTTATCCTCTGCATCATCATATAAAGTGCTTTATACTTTTATTTCCTAGTGAATATTAATAACAACAGGGAATATAATTTATATGGAAAAACTCAAAAATTGGATTCACCTGGTTCCCTTATTGAAGTCTAATTTTCTGTACAGTCATCCCCGTAATTTATTCTCTGACATTTTTTCGTTCAAAGTACCAATATTTGAGCAAATGTATCACAATTTATTATTGTTTCTTTTTATTTCCTATTTAACATGGAGTACAAACATATATGAATAAATACTTTAATTATGCATAATAAACGTAACATTGGATATAACAAACTATCTAAAAACAAAACAATTCTCAAAAATGTCAATAACAAGATAACATATCTAAAAATTACAAAAAATGTAAGGGAAAGAAAAATATCTGTCCCACCTATCCAGGCCTAATAGGGTCAAGTTTTCTTTTTAGACTTATGGGTCATTTTCTTCAATTGCCCTTTTGATTCTATTTCTAACCATTTGTGCATCTCTGATGAGCCTTTGCTACCAATTGGTGACTTATTCACATTGATCTGTCCGTTTCCTAACATTGTCTCGTCTGCACTCATCCTTCTGTCTCGTATGGAGTTAAAGAATGTTGACATTGTCTGAAATGAGGCAGAATTTTTCCTTGTTAAGGGGGGTTTATCTGGTTGAGCTGAATGTAGTTTTTCTGAGCTGCCAGCGAGCAGGTCGATGTTCTCAGAGGAAGACATTGATGTCCTTCTCTTAGATAACTCAGGTGGTTGTAAAAGTTGACATCTTGAAAGGGAATTGAGTGGTAAAGAAACTCTGCGATTTAATAATCTTTCAGAAGGTCTATTACTCTCTCCATGGAGGCTGTCTGTCGAGTCCACTATGCTTGGTGTTAAAGTTGTTCTGAGGTTAGGCACATTGGCTAATGGAGATCTCGGAGACCGTTGACTGGATAGAGACTCATTAGATGCATTTGGGCTAAATGAAAAAGTTTTCTTTTGGAGCACACGATTTTTGAGGTCATCATAATTTTCTGGTTTCTTAGGCCATGTTCCACTTCTTCTTCGACCTAAGCCGTGACCATCCATGTCAAAATTTGGAGATGATGGATTAGATATGGAAAGTCTACGGTTGTTTAAATGTCCCATTCTTTGTTGTTCATTAGTCTGACTGATTTGAATCATTGGAACTTCTTGTACAAGAGGCAAATGCTCAACATTCTCAGTTCCAAGTCTATGATGATGCGTACCTTGTTCGTTGGCTGAATGTCCATCTTTATTGTCACTCCCATGCTTCTTCATCCGACTTTTATGTTGGGCATGGATGCCTTTTGGTGGATGTGGAACATGAGCTCTGGTTATATTTGAGTTTTCTGCACAATGTTTAGTTGAATTTTCCTCTTTGATTTGTGCATCATCATCCTCCTCGAGTTCAATCGTATTAATCTCAATGGTTTCCGAATCACCAAAGTGTACATGAACATTCTTATGGCTCTTTCCAGGGTGTAAGTGTTTGTAACTGGGCAATGAATGTGGCACATGTGAGTGGACAACTTCATAATGTGAATCATTATCATCATCCTTGTTTGGTTCATCGACAGTCAGCCTGTTTGGTTCAGTAAGTTGAGACACGCATGACTTGTCATCCTTGGTCATATGAGTAACATATGTGCCACAGTTATCATTATTGGTATTGTTGGTTTCACCATTATAATTTACCATATTGTTGTCGTGAACATCTGCATCATTGTGTCCAATTTTAGAAGAACTTTCCTCAAGGGGAGCATCTTCTAGCTCTTTGTATTCTTGATTGGAGGGATTGTCAGTTTGATTACTGTGTTGTGTCTCTCTAAGCATTATTTCTCTCTGGGCCTGTGAATCGGAAAGAACGGTTCTTAGAAGAGCTTTTGCTTTATCAGCAGGAAGACAAATCCTGTTGTTTTCTGGAAGTATTGTTTCTTCAACAGTTTTAGTATAAAACCGATTACCATGTGATTCTTGAGCTTCATACTTTTCACGAATTATTTCTCCTTTACGATGGTTTATTTTTGATAAATGTTTCTCCATATCTTTCTGTGCATGTATGATCATATCCAATGATCTACGTCTCTCCAATACAATTTGTGAGATCCCTTTATCATCAATTCTCTTTTGAACATCACTCAATTTCACAGCTTGTCTTTCAGATTCACTCAAAACCTGATCTCCTATTGAATTATGTTGAACATGTTTAAATTTCATTTTGGACAAAGTCTTTGCTCATCTTAAATTCTTCCTACCTGGAAATTGTTTGTTGTTCTTGATATGATTGCTTGTTATTTGTATCGCAACTTATTTATAATATATTATACATGTACCGATTGATCTCACTCCCTTGTTAAGGCAAGTTGGCGCTGTATCAAATGTTACACAGGTAACGCCTTGTAAATAAGTTCTAAGGATAAGTCATTCAAGCCTCAAACAATACAAAGTTGAAAGTTAATTCTGGTCGAGTAGATCAAATGCTTTAAGCTATGAGATTATAGCAGATTAAATTGTCAACAACATCCATGCTATAATATTCATGGATTTAAGTACACACATCGAAATAAACTGAAAAAGTTACATAAAGATATTATTGTCAATGCAATATTCAATATAATATAAAATTAGCTTATATTTCAAATTCAAGCTGCTGTAAACATCTTACATGAACCTTTCATGTTTTAGTGTAGAGTTCAAACAACAAGCTAAAAATATAATTATATTTCCAGTTACTTCATGATCTCATTTGTTTGACCTTACAAAAGAACCTTGAGTTAAAAACATGTTGACAAAATGACTGAACACTTTCAAAAAATTCTCCAGATCAAAGCACCAGCTTCAACACCCTTCTCAATGGACATTAATGGCATAATTTAAAATACAAGCACCTTTGTTTAGTGTTTCACTTCGATGTTGCACTTTTTTTAGGTTTTAGAAGGTTTTGCCGATATTTTGGTCTGGTTGTTCCAAATTGCATTCTTCCCTGTAAATATTACAGCACAGGTGAGTGACTTGCCATCTTTTTAAATGCGCTAGTCATGGTGCTTACTAATACAGCAATTCTTAAGCATAATGATGGATCAAATTGCAGGATGTGATTTATTTTTAAAATTGAGACATTTTGTATGTTTTCTACAACCCCTTCATGAAAATGTTGTCCCAGTTTGGTGCATAAAGGGCAATGTGTTCAGACGGCTTATTCAGCGAAATTATTTTAATCTTTCGAGGCAGTGTGCAATATAAGGTAGAATACAGTATTTAGTTAAGACCTACTTTCAGGGATTTATATACTGTTAATCAGTATTACGCTTAGTGTCAGAGTAAAAATTGGTGATAATAAGTAAATTCCATAACATTTCTAATATTTTCAAATTATTTCTCATTCATTCTTAATTTTTATTTAAACATTTTTACTTAGTAAATCCATCCAGGGGCATTGCAGTCAGTAACAAGATATGAGCAAGGGCAAGGCAACTGGTTCACCATAGTTTTACAGAAAAATATTTTTGTGAATAAAACTATTGATTTGAAGTCCAATTATAGAATTTAATCCCCTTTGTCCTCATTTTGCCTATTTTAAGATCCCGGATGAGATATGTTGTCATAAGCAACATGGGATTTTACCTCCTTTAAATAATACTTCCCTTGTATATATGTACCTATATATTCAAACATTTTTACTTAGTAAATCCATCCAGTGGCCTTAAAGTCAATAACAAGATATGAGCAAGGGCAAGGCGACAGCTTCACCATAATTTTTGTGAATAAAACTAGATTGCAAAAGCTCATGTTATTACAAATGTATAAATTGATTTTTGAATCCAAAACTATACTGGAGAAGCTTGGATGGACATATCATCAAATATTTCAAATCTGCATTAGTGACGGTCAGATTGATTTTATACCTCGCACCATGACAAAATATTTACAGTATACGCAGAGATCATATTGCATCACAAATGGTTATTCGTTGTTATAAAAGGGGCGATCCATATATTCTGATAAAAATGCTCTCATTTTGTGTGTTTTTCACATATCCCTCTCATTTTTTCAGAAAATGTAGATTATGTAATTACACATACAATGCTAAAATATTATAGCTATTATAGCTTAAAATATTAATGAAATAGGGTTGCTATGGTAACATGTATTAAGGGTAGGCAGGTCAATCAAATTAAAACATATAAAATATCATAATAACTTGTTATTTTAATTATCTTAAAGCATGCGGAAATCAAACATTTTTTTCTAAAAACGTTTGGTATTGTTGCTCGTTGTTTGTTTGCCAAACAAAAGTTTATTTGTGCTCACTATAACATCACAACAACTCACAATAGCATTGTATGACAGAACTGGGCAGTTAACATTACATCTCATGAGACACACCAAAATCAAAATGTCAGATGAGGTCAGTGTGGCTGATGCAGAGTGTGACATTAACAGATACATTAGGAGTACCATTAGATTTTATGTACTATCAAGAATAAGTAAGAGGACACTGTCAGAGAAATATGGACTTGTTAAATGTATGGGCAATGTGTTATATCTGCTGAAAGAATCTATAGGTATTATTATAAAGAGGAAGGCATGGTAAATGTTGAAGATCATCCACAATCTGGTTGCAAGAAGAGCTTGTGGACAACGAATAACACTACGATAAATTGTGATGCAACTTATGAAGAGAGAACTAACTATTCCACTGTAGAAATTAGCAAACAAGGGCAACAGGGGTATGGAACAGTTCAACAAATAGTTGGCAATGACTGGAAGATGCTTTTGATCTGCTTAAAATAGGTACCGATGAATGATTAAATTAACAAATTTATCTATTTTATACATTATAATTTAACTGACTTGCCTACCTTAAATACAGGTTACCATGGCAACCTTATTTCAAAATCAATTAAAGATATAGCTATAATATTTTGGCTAGTTTTTGGTGGTGGCATAACTCTTTCAAAAATCCTCTGCAATATCTCTGAAGTAGTCCAGAACTCATCAATTTCAAAGGAATCTTGGATAGGGAAAATGATATGAAATAAATTGCTTGAAGACTATAAGGGGATAATATTTTCATTCCATATTTCAAGTCATTCTGTATTCTCCGGGAGCAATCAAATCTAAATTATGCATTTATAAACCATGTCAAGCAAATAAAGGTAATATAAAATGATAACAGATTTGGATTAACCTAAAATTATAGTTAAACCATTATGTGCACAGTTTAAGGAAAGTTGGAGACGTAATGTAGTCCGACTGCCCTATTTAAATCTGTAAGAATAATGTAATGTTTAAGTCATATTACTTGAGAGCGTGTTATAAACTTGAAATGGAATCTTTCCCAAGATAATTATCAATGGTGTTAAATTTTTGCAAGTTAAATTCTTAAAATAGTAAAACCTGCATTAATGAACACTTCCCCACAGTGAACATTTTTGGTAGGGAAAAACGTTTTCTCCCTTTCATCAATTTATCAATTTAAAACTGTATAGATTAAAGTAAAGAATGATGTAAAGGAGTGGAGAACTTTTTGAACACACTTTTCTCTTAAACCAGTCATAAAAAAAATCTAAAAATTTAACACATCGTCAATTTAATGGTCATCTTTTGAATGGTAACAATATAATTTGAAAATATATACTTCCATCTATATTGTTTTAGAAAACACATCAAACACTTGTTTTGTTCTTGGTATCATGTTTCCAGAGTGAAATGAAACATCTTTCCGAACCTCACTGGAACAAAACATAAACACAACATGTTTAGGTCTCTCAATATTGTAATTGTACAAAGGAAATTTTGGTTGATTTTAAAAAAGTATCTTGTTAATGAAATAAACGGTTAATCTTGATTTTTATCTATTTTGGGGGGATTTTGTTTTAATTTTTTGAATACTTTTTTAAAATCAACCAAAAATTCCTTGGTATAACTATAATATTGAGAGGTCTAAAAACATGTTGTATATGGTATTTTGTTCCAACAAGGTTTGGAAAGACATTTTATTTCATTCTCAAGAATTGGAAGAAAGGACTAAAGAAACAAAATATATTAACAGAAACAGTTATATAAAATATTTCTAAATAATTTTCACATTACATTGTTGTCAATCAGTCAACATAACATAAAATACCATGTTTTTTGCAGAATGTTTTCAATGATTGGTTTAAGAGAAAAACATTGTTGAATTCAGTTCTCCATATCGATACCACTCCTTTTACTCTTTATTTTGAAAACATGTATTGAGAGGGGATTCAGTTTTTAGCAGAAAAGTTTGTGATCACCTACTAAGTGATGATGTTCACTATGCCCAGATTTCACAGTGTAATGTATTACAAAATTTGGAATGGGTCTAGTTGTATAGATGTACCATGTGAAGCATAGTACACATTTAAGAGGAGGTTGGTTGCACTTTTTCCAATCACCCTCTATGTACAGGGTGTCCCAGAAGTAGATCTAAAATTTTTATTTGACAAAGAAACGATATGAAATCACAGAAATTAAAGGTTAACATTGTAAGCTTCATTTTGCTATATTACATTTATAACTTTACACAAAAATGTTCCATGTATGGTTGCCCTAACAACCAGTATGCACGTTTTTGAAAAACATTTCATGTTTCCTTGCTGTTCACATTACTACAGTAGCACTGCTAATTTATCCCTCAGTTGTAGTTCCTTCTTTCATATGCAAAACATACTTGACTTTGGAATACCTGAAGCATTGGATATTCCCCGCACTGACACCCTGTTATCCGGCTGTATCATTTCTTGAACAAACTGGCTGTGTTTTGTGTCCAGTCTACCAGACCATTTCTTATCAAATTTTGTCCTGCCTTTAGACCCAAACCATTTTAGCTATCTAAACACAGTTGGGTTGGAAAGTATTGCTTAAATTCCTTCATAATGTCACTGGGTTTACTGAAGGAATTTCATAACTGCATTCTGCTCTAATTTTTCATCTTTGCTCAAAGTAATGACAGGGTGTCCATCTCTCTGGAAATTCCTAGGCTGTGTTCCCGGGAGTTTTCCTTTTGGAAACTCTATATGACATCATCATCATGTGAATTTTATGTCATAAAATCAGACCAAAGTTATAAATCCTGTCATAATGAGCTAAATTAAATAATATTAAAGCACTATAACATCATGCAACAACATACAATGATTTAAAAGCTTCAAAAATTATGGCAGAATAACTGCTTTTCTTCATGAGTTTAAACGTTTACAATATGGTCCGCAGAACGTGCATACTGGTTGCAACAGCAACAATAAATAGAGAATTGTTTTGTCTAGTGATAAATGTGATACAGCAAAACGAAGCCTACACCTTGATCTTTATTTTGTGTGAATTTTATATTGCTTCCTTTTTGAATAAAAATTTTAGAGCATAATTATAATTACTTCTGGGGCACCCTGTATTCTGTAGAATCTCAAGATCAACATTTTTTTTAAATTATTTATTTACTAAACATATACGAACACTTTGCAATGTTTAAGAAATGTATTTTTAATCTTGTTCAAAAAGATTCGAGACATCTATGAATTAATTGTTTTACAAACAGCCAAACTAGAGCCATTAACATGTACTTCTGAATCAATATTAGACACTTAACAGTTAACACCGCCATAGCTTGGGTGATTTCTCACTTTCTTAGGCATGTATTGCTTCAGAAATGTCATGTTGTATTAAGAGAATGTTCTTTCAATTCATCAAGAAAACCCAAGATTTACAATTTCTGAACATCAAGTTTTGCCCATCGAGGAACATATGCCGTGTCTTTCCACTGAAGAAGTACTATTGTCTGATTGTTCTTGTCTATTTATAGAACTCATGTTCCGTTTCATCTTTCTTTATATTGTTCTTGTATCCCTTTTCAAAGTCCTTTGACAGGACAACATATCTGTTCTCACGTACAGCTTGCATACCAGCCTGGAACATGGATTGGTTTAAATTAATATTAAGTTTGAATATTGTGCTTCAAAGAGCACTTTTTGAATTTAAGATTACTAATAGACATTCAGGAAAATTGTGTTATCTGTTGGTACACTTTTCCGATAAAAATGGATCTATTTTTCTTTATGTTATATGTTGTTCACAATCGAATACTGTTTACAATACTTATACAATTTACCAATTCAATATGAAAATGTTTCTTGGTATGGTTCAGTATTACAAGAGAAACATATTGCATAAGCCATTTTATTCCATAGTTAGCATGATATTCAGAGGATAACATGTCAAAATAATATTTTTGTAATCAGTGGTAAAATATGATATTTTTGACAAATTTTCATTTAATCATAGCATTCGGAGTTTTAGCCATGACATACGGCGCCGTATGCTATGAATTATGGATTTTTGCTACTTCAGACTCAAAAATAGGCTAAGTGTCAACATCGCTGGATCGTTTGGAAAATTCGAATTAAATCACCTTTCCGACGATTCTGATGATGACTTTAACCATGGAATAAAAAAAAGAACATCCTCTATATAGACAGGATATTAAGTTTATAAAATAAATAAGCCAAAAACTGAAACCACCACAGTATAAACTGACATCAGATGCACTGTTTAAGCTGACACATACCTCTTGACATATAGCATTGATGTCAGCACCACTGATTTTATCAGGTCTTGCAACGTAATCTTCCAAATCAACTTCCTCACTCAGGTTCATCTTTCCAGTAATCGTAGAGAAGATTAGACGCTTCTGACGTCTGTCTGGCAGTGGGAACTCTATTTTACGATCTAGACGACCAGGACGTAGCAAGGCAGGATCTAGTGTGTCATGTCTGTTAGTTGCCATTATTACCTATAAATAAAGGTAATTACAGGTTATTGTTTCTATTATTACCACTCCTGGTGTGCTCAATTCACAATCTGTTAATATTATTAAGAAAATTATAAAATATGGTATGTAGTCATTGCAACAGTTTTGTGCTGTTCTGTGCATTATGAAAGATGCAGATTTTAGATAACCTGCTATAAACTGATGATGTAAGTTAAGTCTTAGAACTGTTACTACTGATTCAGTGGCATAAAAAAGATGCTTAGAGAAAGTATGCCATTAGAGATACAACATACAGTACAAGCAAACACAATCATCAACACAAATATCTGGACAATGTTTCCACTAGCATTACTCAGAATTGCTCTAGTATAGCTGAAGCTTTGATTATAAGCATATAAAGGCTACTTACTTTAACATTAACTGTTTGGTCAAAACCATCCATTTGGTTAAGTAATTCCAACAAGATCCTCTGAACTTCACGATCAGCTGGAAGCAATTTAACAATAAAACATTATTATCTTTGAAAGGGCTAAGTGACTTCTGTGTCTGATCATTCTTATTCTTTCATAGCATGATCCACTGAGGATGCAAATAAGGTTGAGCCAAGGGACCTTAAGCTTTGATCTTTGCCCTGTTGAGTTTTTAGAATATGTAGCCAGACTAGTGGTTTGTAATTCAATGTCCTATGGCGCACCCTGAACACTCTAATCCAAATTCAGCTAATTTCTAGTTTGGATTATTTGTTGATTTATTGTTATTTCAAAAGATTACATGGGAATGAAAGACTTTAGATATTCTATAGTTTAATCCAATTATCATCAGTCAATAAATTAAAACCCAATCCTTCAACCAGTATCTGAGTGATCATCCAGACAGACAGATCCTTTTCAAACATTATTCAATGGGATAATGACACTTCATATGTCCTTTAGTCTTATCCAATATTCAGATAGGACATGCAGCTCACCTCCTGTCTGTGCGTCAAACCGTTTAGTTGCAATAGCATCGATCTCATCTATGAAGATAATAGCTGGTGCATTTTCTTTGGCAAGGCGGAAGACATCTCTCACCATACGTGGTCCCTCTCCTAGGTACTTTTGTACAAACTCTGAACCAACCACTCTGATAAACGCAGCTGAATATAAGAAAAATTTAAATATTAATATTCTAAAATATTTTATAATGACAGATAAACTTATACAAGCTAAGAACACACTGTTATGTTTTCTAAATATTTGATAATATCTTTACAAATTAATTGGAACAAAAAAAACTTGAACTAGGCATTGGGAAAACCTGATTACAATCATAGAAGAAATCCTGAACAACCAATATAATATGTCACCAGTACTTATTTAAACACTTTCAAGGAAATAAAAATGTAATTTGAATGATGCTCTTGGCATGTTAATACATTTAATGACATTATTAAAGGAATATTCCTTGCCAGACCCTTTCTCTCTTGATATGGTAGCTATAATCATATATATAGTTTCCATATTTAGCAAAACATGGGAAAATGTTTTAATATGGTCAATATTGTTCATTTAAAAATCTAGTACTTATTTCCAGTGAGCTGCCATCTTTTAAGATATCTTGCACGAAGTGATGTCATCAACTCTCAACTTTTATAACCTTGCCCATAACAGTATAGGAAAGTAGCACAAAATCACTTCTAGACAAGTGATCATTACTTTCTGTGCAAAAATATTTTCAGGGCTTATCAACTTAGAATAAAAGAAGAGATTTTCAGAAGGATTAAATAAAATACAAAGTTGAAAAAGAATATTTAGCTGGTTTTGTAATTCTTAATAGCTCCTCACCCAATGCTATATGCAAAGTTGAGAGTCGATGACATCACTTCCTGTGTGAAATTTTAAAAGATGGCAGCTTACTGGAATTGAGCATCACATTTCTAAGTGATCAAATTTTACCATATCAAAACATTTTTGCGTGTTTTGCTAAACATGGCAAGCATATATATGGTTATAGCTACCATATGAGGAGAGAGATGGTTTGGCAAGGAATATTCCTTTAAATTGTCTGTTAATTGTATGTACACATGTCAATGCTGCCAAACCTGGAACAGGTATACAGGCTGAAAAAGAACGACCCTAAAAAACATTCACCTGTAGTATGATGAGCCACTGCCTTTGCCAACATAGTCTTTCCACAGCCAGGAGGACCAAACATGAGAACACCTCTAGGTGGGTCTATACCGATCTGTTTGTAGAGATCAAAGTGTGTGAGAGGTAGCTCTACAGCCTCACGAACCTCCTGTTTCTGAATATCCATGCCTCCTATGTCTGCATACTGGACATCTGGCTTCTCATCTGTAATACAATCAGTGATGTATTAATGTACTGGGTAGGCCAAAACAATTCAAACAAGGCATTAACATGAAAAATGTCACCACCTGCTATTTGTTACAGATGCGGAACTCCAGATGCCAAACTATGAATGCCTTCCACAAAAAAGTTGAAGCTATAACAATATGTCACCACTTGTGTGCAAAGGCTGGTTATACTTGATTAAATTTTTTTTAATATTATGTATTGTAAGAGATATATATAAAAGAAATAAAATACTACATTACGCCAATTCATGTACGTTGGTAAATTTTTAATATATGGTCTGAGGAATATGTACTTTGAGAAGTATTTTTAATTGATCTTGGCCTTAGATTCTGCATCAAATTCTTCACCTCCGGACAATGTTATTTTGTGCTTTGAAACTTGAATTATTTGGTCTATTTGCAGTTTTAAAAATACAGATGTAATGAGAATGTAGATATCTTGCTAAACATTTAACACAATACATTGATGTTAAAATTAAGTCATAAAAATGTTACATACTATTGATATCCTAAGTCGATATTTAAATATGCAAATTATAACATAATAGAAAACATACCTGCACCCAGCATGGTGATACTGCTGTCAGCCTCGGGTGGTAAGACATCAACCAATGCATTGCTGTGCTTGTGTAGGGCAACACTGGCACTAGGCTTCAACAACTCACGATCAATTGTTGACAGAATTCGCACATAGTAATTGGACCCTGGAACATAAAATTACATTAATAAGATACTGTATACAAATTCATGTTTCGTAGTGCATTTTTCGTGGAAACCCAAATCATTAAACAATTTCTGACTCTCAATTTATTGCAATATTCTGAAACTATTTAACTACTAAACCAACCTGTCGTTGATCCCACAATTCCTGTGTTCTGATCAACTGCCTCCAGAAACTGACCAATCACAAGTGGTACACTCTGTATACGTTTCACTTCCTCCTGGGCATGTAGGTACTCCTTCTTTAAATTCTTCTGTTCATCTTTGATGTATTCCTCCTGAACTTCCAAGAATTCCAGTTGTCTCTGCAGTTTCTATATTAAAAACATGAATCTGTTAACTCTGTACATAAATAGGCCGGGTCTTTTTGGTGAATTTTAGAGATTTAACGAAAATTCCTCTGCTGTAATTTGCATTTAAAAAACATATTATCTTCCATATATAAACAGAATTATACGTACACTTGACATGTCACATATGATCACATGATATATCGTCATCGAAAACTTTGAACTTTGAAAAATTTTGAACTTAACATAAAGGGCATCTACACAAAGCTGCCAATGCAAACCTACCTTGTATTTGACATATAGATCATCTACATCTACTGCAAGTGGGTCTGTATGGATAAAGGTCTGGGCTGTACTTGGCCTTGATTCAGATGACACATTACTCTCCTCCTGTAAATATAACATGTCACACTTAATTACAATAAAAAATTGATGTCACAAAAAATCAACAAGTGGATAAACCAGAAGAGACAACACAAAGTGAGTAACTAAAAGTAGAAGGAGACTAGAAGACTGTGTCGAGGAAAATGTAGAGGCTAATGTAACAGTAAAACTGAGGTGTTCCTAAAGGGAGTAAGTGTTATGAAATGACATAGCTTGAACAACAATCACATTCAAGTAATATGACTTTTAATGATGAATATAGTCATGTTTGCATATGACTACAGTTGGATTATTAATTCAGTAAGTATTAGTATGTTGACCTTGAAAAATAAGCAAAGGAAGATTATTCGGGAAAATACAAACATATGTACCTGCCCTAACTTTTGAATATTTCAGATAGTTAGGTATAATATGCAGTAAACCTGTGGCCTTTTGTAATTCAGGGAGTTTCAGCCATGTTCATTTCGGGGTTAATAAAATAACATGGCAGAAAAACATCAAAATAATAGAGGCCATAGCCAAACAACAAAACAAACCAAAATATATAATGGTTGGGACAGGTATATCAGATTCTATTTTTCCATGTTCTCTTGTAATTTAGTCCTTTGATTGTCCTTTTGAGGGTCAAAGTGCTTAAAGGAATCGATGATCCGACTGATCCGGCCATTCACAATAACACAATGTTGACAATAAGTGTAAGTGATTATTTAGGGCAGAGGGTTATAACGTCGACGTGTGGGCAGGCCGTCCAACTGTCCCGCAATTTGCGTATTTGTCATGCATTTGGTGGAAAATTTGAAGTTACGCCAGTTTTTTTGCGTGACAGAATATGTCACCCAAATACGCATTTTACCTGAATATTGTAAAGCAAAAATATTCCTGAAGAAAAACTTCAAAAAGTGATCGCCGATACAGCAACAAAAACAAATGCCAAACAAGGCATTAACATGACAAAATGTCCCCACCTAAAAAAATAAAAATAAATAAATTTAAAACAAGTTGGAAAGACCTTTTTGACCTTGAGAATGTCAATGATTAGACAATGAAAATCAGATCTGAAATCATAAATCAGATTTGAGCTTCTGGGATCTTGTAGATGATTTTGAAATTTTTTTTTAGTCAATTTGAAGCAAGTTGAAAAAGACCTTTTTGGACCTAGAGAAGGTCATTGAAGGTCAAATCTCAAATCTAAAGTCAGATATGAACTTCCGAGACTTTGTAGATGATTTGGAAAAAAAGATTGATCAATTTGAAGCAAGTTGAAAAAATACCTTTTTGACCTAGAAAAGGTCATTGAAGGTCAAATCTCAAATCTAAAGCCAGATATGGACTTCTGAGACATTGTATCTGATTTTGAAAAAAAAGATTGTTCAATTTGAAGCAAGTTGAAAAAAGACCTTTTTTACCTTGAGAAGGTCATTGAATGTCAGATGTCAAATCTAAAGTCAGATTTGAACTTCTGTGAACTTGTAGATGATTTTGAAAAAAAGATTCTTTAATTTGAAGCAAGTTGAAAAAAGACCTTTTTGACCTTTGTTGACCTAGAGAAGGTCATTGAAGGTCAAATCTCAAATCTAAAGCCAGATTTGAACTTCTGAGACTTTGTAGATGATTTTGAAAAAAAGATTGTTCAATTTGAAGCAAGTTGAAAAAGACCTTTTTGACCTTTTTTGACCTTGAGAAGGTCATTGAAGGTCAGATGTCAAATCTAAAGTCAGATTTGAACTTCTGTGAACTTGTAAATGATTTTGAAAAAAAAATTAGTCAATTTGAAGCAAGTTGCAAAAAGACCTTTTTGACCTTTTTGAGCTTGAGAAGGTCATTGAAGGTCAAATCTAAAATCTAAAGTCAGATATGAACTTTTGACAACTTGTAGATGATATAGAAAAAAATTGAAGTCAGTCTAAACAGTATTTGTTAAGTTATTGGAAGTTGTACAGTGCATGAAATAAGGATTTTTTTAACCTAGACATTTTGGCAGGCCTGCCAGATTTTAACAAGCCATATCATTTTTTCTCAGGCCAATTTTTGGCAGGCTGTTTCTTCCTTCTCTGGCCAAAAATTTCACTTACCATATTTCTCCACAACCACTCTAAATTGAGATTTAGTTTAGTACAATATTAACAAAGATAAAACTAATTGCATATTGCATGTCATGTATCATTCACTATACTGTACTTGATGACTTAACCAACAGCCTGAGTGTGTTGATCCCCCCCTAGATTCACCTTGCAAAAACATGAGGAACATGTACATATTGATCAAACTAAATTGTACTGATTTTGGTCGGTTTAGAATTGCTCAGAAATCAGAAGCTTCAAGGTATTCAAAAACACATATTATGTACACAGACTCCACTAAAATTCAAGGTATATATTATTGGTGTCACGGTCAAAACAATTCGGTACGGTTTGGATCGGTACAAATGGTCTCGGGATACGGTACTTTCGGGACGGGACGGGACAGACAGAACACTAAAAATGATACAATCGTCTGATGATGACAGTTTCACTTTCACTTTCAGTTTCACTTTTCAAAATCACATTCAGAAATACGTCAATTAAATCAAATATAAAGCATCTGCCGCGAATGTGATCGGCATTTCACATAGTCTGCATGGTGTACTATCACCAATTCGTTTACCTTGTGATATCGGAGTCCCAAAATACTTCCAAACTGCCGACTTTTTCGACTTAGATGCCGGCTCGATTTTTCAATTTCTTTCCTACATCCGGCATACTGATAATGCACCCGATTTGCGAACTACAATTAAGAAATGAGTCATTCATAGCCAATCAAAATCACCGTAATTTCAACAAACAACAACAGCCAATCGAAAGTCACTTTATATCTTGTGCTTCGGTACCAAACAAAAACATTTTGAAATGTTTTTCAATCTTCAACAAAAGTCATGAAATAAGCCGAAAACGCAGGGAATTCGGAGGATTTTCGGACTGATATGTAAGTTCTATTCATGGGCAATCTAACGAATGCCACAAATGTCTAGCAGGCCAAAATGTCTGGGTGTTTTTATCAAAACAAGCCATCTATAATTTTGTCAAGCCAATGGCCGATGTCGGACGTCTATTTCGCGCACTGATTGTAAGAAATTGTTACAGACGCCGGACGCCAACCTCCAACCACCAACCGCCGTCACAAAAAACGGAGACCATAACAATATGTCACCACTTTTGGTGGTGACATAAAAACCTAACGCTTTCACGCGGATACCGTATATGTCACACATTTTCCCTTGAAATATTTGGGGTAATGTCGACATGAGAAATTGGCTAACTTCAACACTTACTTATTAGAAATAAATCTCGCAAGATCTCGATCCATGCGAAAAAAACATGGATTTCCCCTTGATCGGAAATAAGAGCAAATAAACAACAAGGTGTCGAAGTTACCCTATATGTCGAAGTTACTCCAAATTGGTGTCAACGTTATAATGGGGAAAGTGTCCACATGGTTGGATGACAATTGTTGACCACTAATTTTCAACTCTAAAAATGATATGAGCTTCTCGCTCTGTTCTCTAGAAAACCACATTATTTGAATGGCACCATCAGTGAACATTCGAAGAAGAAATGTAAATAGTAAGAGAACAATCTAGACAATTGAAACTACCAGAAAACAAAATTGAAATATTTTTAAATTTCATGACTTGCGAAAAAATCATGAAAATTTCGCTCAGAATTTTTCGGTGTAAATTATTTAGAAAAGTACGGGTACGTATACGACTAAACAAAGTTAAATTACAGTCATAGTCCTAAAGCCTATATGTCATTACTATATTTACTGAAAAGATATCCATGCATTGAGAAAATGAAGTTTCATACGATACCTTTTCCGAAACGTTAATTCCTATTTCGTCCATGGTGCTGATTGGAAGTCAGATTTCCTGAAAAGAAATCAATAAAAATTAACCGATCAATAATGTTGAAATATTAGATTTTTATATTTTAAAGTAATAGGAAATTGTATAAAATACAATATTGATTCTATGTAATTTCTATGTTCATTTAAAGTGCAGAAAATACATTGTTTTCGTACAGAAATGATAAGTTGATAATTTGAAAAATTCAAGTGACGTCACTTCCTGCACAACAAAATTTGTTGAAAAATGGTGGATGAGCTACTAAATACAGTTTTGTCGTATTATATCAATTCATGATAGCATCGTAAGTACAAGTGCGATTCGGAGTATTCTATTTTTATAACTCGACCCTAGATACAATTTCTAAAGCATACATCTGTCTGATCTTCATCACTGACTCACTCATTCCTGACTGTCAAATGTCAGAGTCAGTACGTCTATTTCCAAACACCCCCATCAAAAAATGTAGTTAGCTTGGCTGTACTGCACATCTATGCTATGATTCTATATATATTATGTGTATTATCCACTGTAGAATGCATTTGCAGAAAAAATTACGAAAAATTGTAAAAAATATCTGGGTTATTCCATTTTTACTACAAGGTATTTTAGGGGGGTAATTCCGAACAGGAGTTTTTTTGGGGGGTAAATCCGAACACTTGCATGGGGGTAATTCCAAACACTTAACTTAAACTTAATTGTTTTAATTATTAGATTGATGGTATATCATTATATGATACCCTTAACTTATGATACTGGGTCCTGTCACCCCTGCATATCAAGAAACCCAAATTTAAATCATTTATTACTGACATCTATTTATTTAAACGCACAGAGTTTGTGGGGGTAATTCCAAACACTAGCATGGGGGTAATTCCGAACACCTAAATCATCATAATTGATTATTTTATTGTAAGATTGTTGGTATACATCATTATATTGTATCTTTCAGGGTATAAATATTATGTAGAGGTAGTAGAGGTACTATTATTCAATTCAATGATCTGCTTGCCATTATTTGGAACCCGTTCGTGTTTACCCCCCTGTTTGGATTTGGACGTATTGACTCCAGTGCAAAGCTTACAAGTTAGCCTACTTAGTTTGTACAAAGCTATCTCTTGGGAGATAGCTTTGCATATCTTTACATCTATCTAAAAGATTGCTATGTGCAAATATCGTAACTTACAAGTAGGCTATTGGCCTAACAATAATGAAGAAAAATTAGTTTTATATGCAGTAAACGTCATGGGCTTTCAACTAGAGTTGAAAGCCCATGGTAAACGTGTAGCCCCGTGTAATATAGGGAGTTTCTGCATATTTTTTTAAAAATAACATGTCAGAGAAAGGCATTGAGATAGAGATAGATCTAAGCCCACAGACAAGGGGTTCAAGCCCCCAAACCAAAAACACTTTTCGAGTGATTTTGGTCATTTTTGGGTCAAAGTTGTCAAAAGTGAACTCCCCCTGGAATTTTTAAAAAAATAATCTCGTGTGAAAAAATCTGATTACTGGGCTTTAGAGACCACATATTTTTTTAGACATGAAAAAACATTTATGTTACATTTTTATTCCAGAGTATTCACTACGCTAAAAAGTGCAGCTAAATAATGTCACGAAATTCAACCCCAGACCTATCAAGGCATCCTGTGATTCCACCAATCGTTACGAATCCACAAGATCGCATATTTTTGAAAGCCCTTTATGAGTTTATTGATGCGGAACTGGCAAATGTAGACAGTGCTTCGCCTGAGCAAAGATATATTGTCTTCAAATCAGCATTTGACAAGGTTTGACCACATTGTGTTTAGTTATTGCATATTCAAAGGAGAGACTGTAAGAGTTAACAATAAAATCATTGAATGCAGTCACCATAATGTTCATTACATTTTAAAGTTATTCAATTAATTTGCTTGATTTTGCATTGTAACATGCATGTTTGAGTGTAATGCATTATACCATAACATTATGACATAATGTATGACTTAAACAACGCAACAATTACTATATATATATATTTTTTTTAGATAATTGACCATGTCCATGCATACAAACCCCTTCTTACTGCCATCAAAGCTGAGTATGAAGATACCATTGAAACAATTCAGCGAGGTCAGAAAGAGGCTTTCTTCCTGTCTGGGAAACTTAAGGCAATGTCACAAGAGTCTAGTACAATAAGGAATTATAGAAAGCGTTCAGAGGAACTTGAAAGAAAGTAAGCCATCCAATGCAAGAATAAATGAATTAAATGAAACAATACTAGACTTGCCTCTGAGATAAATGCAACCCTATGGTATACCTTTGAAGAGTGGGCCACAGACTGTGCCATGGCATATGTGCCAGGTTTTATCCCGACTCATAACCCTGACGTTAATGAAAATATGTCCAAGCTTATCAAGTTATATAAGATTCCTTTTTTTCAGTTGTGTGAATTCTCCATATATTTTACTTTCAGATGTCATATCATCAAAAGTGAGAATGAAAAGTTGGAGAAAAGACGCAATTTTTTGCGTGAGAAGAGAAGTGATATCTTGAAGGAACACGAGGAAATAATTGCTCCACCAAAGAAAGAAATCAAAAAAGACAAACGCTCCATCCCAGGTATTCCAAATTATATTTAGCATTTAAAATTATTTATTTTCTTCAACATTAGGGTTGAGTTAGAAAATTTACTTGATCAAAAGATGCTATCATCATGGACGTAGCACCCGATACGCCTGGTATGCACAGGTGTACCAGATAGTTTGCCAATAAGCCCCAATTACAACCTAAATTTCAAAATCTTCTTCAGACCCTGAACACTCGTTTTTTGCTCCCTTTAACTCGTGTTCCCGTGGTGGCGTTCAACTCATAAAAATAGCGCTACATGATTGTAAATGATTGAAGAGATCATCATTTTGATTTGTACAAACGTAAAGAGGGTATAAAGTTCTACATTTCTACAGCTGTTTAACTTTTGGTTGGCTATCTTGTTTTCTGGAAGCCATTTTAGAAGTTTTTTTGACAATTTATTTATTTCACAATTTTGGGGAAACCAACTGGATTTTCTTCAAAATTGTACACATGTTAGAGGGTACAAGGCTTTACAGCTGATTAACCTTTTGATGTTCATCTTGTTATAGGTTTAACTGCAGAACAATCAACAGACCTCCGTTACCTCACTAAGGATCTTGAGAGAAGAGAACGTCAGCTTAGAGACCTTACCATTAGCCAAAAAACACGCTACACACTCAAAGAAAATAAAGACAAACTGAAACAGCTGCTTGAGGAAAAAGTAGCTAGGAGAGATGAACTTTCTGAAAAGATTGATTATTTAAAAGGAAAACGTGTGAGGTTAAAGGTGGCTGTTGATGCTGCCCATGCTTATAATAGAATCGCTCCTCCACATCAAACTATGGGCCATGTTGTCTTGAAAGCTCTGGATCGATCAATCAAATCATCTCTACCTGACAATGATAGGCTAACTGTAGGTAAGAAATTGAAGTATCATAAGTCATTATTTGGCTCTTGGTACATGTAGAGTGTATGTTTATTGATATAATGTCGTGAAAGAGCCCCGTGAGGCAAAACATTTCTGTACAGTGTTATCAACGACCCTGAGTATTTTTGACAATGAAAATGGGTGTATCTTTGTATTTTGTATTGAATTTGATATAACTTGACCCAATTAAAATATTTACACGTTCATATAAAAAATTTTAGTTTATGATCATTAAAGGAAATTGGCTAAACCATCAGGCATCATATATTTAACTTTCTATTTGAATTCAGCGAAGGTTGTCAAAATTGCATACATTTCTGCATGATGAATGTAGTTTTTATTTTCAATTTAATCTTTTTAATGCAACCACAGGGTTTGAGGAAGAATCAGATGAAGGTAAAAACATACAGATGAATCAATTTTAATATGACATACATGTACCTATATAAGTTTGAAAGTTGTTGTTATGAATTAGTTTATTTAATCATAATTCTGACTTTAGCATAAGTGCTCCCATATTATTATGCAATATTTGATTTGCTATGATTAATGCCTTCAAAAAATTGAACAACAATGTTTTTCTCTTGACCCAATTATTAAAAACATTTTGTAAAAAACACGGTCCTTTATGTAATGTTGACTGATTGGCAACAATTTAATGCAAAAATTGTTTATATATATTTTTTATAACTGTTTTTGTTAACATTTTTTGTTTTTTAGTGCAATTGATTTTTGTTCCTATCTACCAATTCTTGAGAATGAAATGTCTTTCCGAAACCCTGTTGGAACAAAATACAACATTTTCTTAGACCTCTCAATATTATAGTTTTACAAAGGAAATTTTGGTTGATTTAACAAAAAATATGCAAAAACTTAAAATAAAACCCCCCAAAATAGATAAAAATTAAAGCTGGACTACGCTCCGAAACGCAATATGTTGACATATATTGTTTTTACATTTTCAAGCTCTAATATAAAGTTTATGTAAATAAAAATTGTTATTTTCTGCGTAATATCAAAGAACAATCATTTAGTTAAAAAAATAAAAAGGCTAGTGCAGGATTCGAACCCGGGCCTCCCGCGTGCTCAGCGAGGATTCTACCCGCTACACCAATGTATTATTATGAAAGGAGGAAGTAATTAAACGCTACTTATTTTGAATGCTATGATTCGGAAGTGACGTCACGTTCTTCATTTAGAAACCTTTCCAAAATCATATCGCCGGCACTGATCGAAGCAAATTCAATGAAAAATCTTTGAAATGACACATTTATCGTAAGTATTTCTACACAAGATTTGCCCCATTTGTTCATCATTCTATAATCTTTCATTAAGCTCAAAATGATAAAGTTCACCCCCGAAACAACCCAAGATTGCGTTTCGGAGCGTAGTCCAGCTTTAAGATAAACCTTTTATTTCATTAACAAGATACTTTTCTAAAATCAACCAAACTTTCCTTTGTACAATTACAATATTGAGAGACCTAAACACGTTGTATTTATGTCATTTTGTTCCAATGAGGTTCAGATAGATGTTTCATTTCATTCCGAACATATGATGCCAAGAACAAAAGAAGTGTCTGATATGTTTTTTAAAACAATATAGAGAAAAGTATATGTTACCATCCAAAAGATGACCATTAAATTGACGATGTGTAAAATTTTCAGATTGTTTTGGGAACTGGTTTAAGAGAAAAGTGTGTTCAAAAAGTATCGATACCACTCCTTTAAATTAAAAAAAGAAATAGCATATTCTCTAATTTCCACTGAAACAGGGAAATCAGCATATCATTGGGAAATGATGATCTTGTTAGCACTTTACCAAAAATAAATAATTAACAACTCAATGATATCTGATTAATTAATAAAAACAGTTCGTACATGTTGTACATTTAGGACATGGCAACTTCTTCCTAACTATGCCCAACAAAAATTAAATTAAACCAAATGTTCAGACCCTTTATAATGTATATAAAATATTTTGAATACGAAACAGGAGGACAGGAAGAGACTGGAGCATTCACCCAACACAGAGAGACTCCAAGCACATCATTTGAAGATGACGACCCTACAAAGGAAAAGGAGGCCGAAATGATACTGGAGTACATAGAAAAATTTAATGAATTGTTTGAGGAGAGACTGTATGAGGAGGCTGCTACACATGCTGCTAACAGCCCAAAGGGAATCCTCAGGACTCCTGAGACTCTATGGAAATTTAAAGGTATGGTTCCCTCTAGGGACTCCAAGGGTCTCCAATCCAAGTATCACATATTCATTATGGTAAGCCATGCTTCCTTTTTCACATCTCTTGCCCATATATGAGAGGGTCTGGTAATTCAGAGTGGTCACATATGGCATGCAGTTTCTAGAGATCAGAGACCAGGACAATTCATCCTCTCTTCATACCTATACTGGAATGTAAATTAATCTTTCCAATAAATCCTCCTGAATCTGCATGGCAATATATCATAGCGTCATTTTGCAGTAAAAGTTGGCAAGGTTCATTTGAAATGTCTTGGCTTGGTTTATGAAACAAGAATTTTTTATAATTTGGAATAAAACTACATGAACAATGTTTACCATTATAACATTATATTTTGTTTATCAATATTATAGATGCTAAGGTTGAGATTGGCCATAGGTCTCCACTGCTGGCATTTTGTGAGGCCATCATGTCCAATGTACTGGCACTTGGGATCAAGCCCAGTGCCCCAATGTCTCTGGAATGTGTACGCACAGTGTTAGATCAGAATCGAGTTGATCTCTTATCACATTGGATCTCCCAAGATAGGTAAGTACCCATCATGCCCTAGCTAACAAATCATCGTAGCCCAGAACTTTCTCAAACCGCACCTTTATCTGAGTCCACTCGTCACGATTTTCTTAATTTTTTGTTGGTATATCAACATTCTTAATAGGTGATATGTTCATTATTTAAGGAATAAATAATGATAGGCCATTCAATATGGTGAAATTCAGCACGAGTTGGACAGAATGTTGTACAAAGCACGAACCGAAGGTGAGTGCATTTGTACTAACATTCTGTCCAACGAGTGCTGAATTTCACCATATTGAATGGCCTATCATTATTTATTCCGATTCAAACATAAAAATTAGTAAAAGCCGTGTCTGTGGAACGGGCATGAAGGAAGAATACGCATGCTGTCAAGATTCTGAAGTCGGCCGGAAAATTTTAGAATTTGTTTGGGCTGTTCTATTTTACTCCCCTTTTTAGTTTATTCACTTGAAGTCAGCCATAGTTAAATAGTTACAGTAGTTACGGAGGGAGTAAAAAAGAACAGCTATCCCCGGACAGAGCCCCAGATGTGCAGCTGAGATGTGACGTCACTCAAAACAATGCAAATTGCAGATTGAATAGAGCATGGTCATGTATCTATGGAGAATTAGAGAACGTTCTATATTGGCTATGCTGCATTCTGATTGGTTGAGAAATTCGAATAGAGCACGGTCATGTTTGAATTAGTATCAATACACCCCCAAAATGCATTTTTCGACACCGTTTCGGTGCCAAATTTCGGTGCCGTCTCGGCACCAAATGGACTTACTAGTCCGTGGCAAATTTTGGTGTCGAAAGGTTTCGTTGCCGGAACGGTGTCAAAACGGTGCCGGGATAGTGCTGAATTTTTTTGATGCCGACACGGCGCCGAATTATATTGGCTGTGTACTCCCATGGAAAATAGTTAAAGAGAGAATCAGATCTAGCGAGCAGCCTAACAAAAAATTGTTTCAATTTTAGAATATTTCTGGCTTAAGTCATTCCTTGTCATATCTATTTTTTAAAAATCCCCTAAGTGCACATTTTATTTCAGGAAAATTAAAGATTTTTACAATAATGTATTAATTTTCTATAAGAATGGTTACCATTCTTATTATTTGGGAGAATTTAAACATTTTTGACCCATTTTTGCACTTTTAATTCATTATAACTTCACCAATTTATAACATATTGTTGGGTCTCTACGAAATGATGACGCCAATATGGTACGACAAACTTCAGAGTTAGAGTAACATAGGCTTCTTTATTATATATAGTCAAACTACACTATCTATGTACAAGTTATATACTACTGAGCTACTGTACTGACTGTAAAAGACCCAATCGTAACTCCGGATCGTCACTCCAGGGTGAGGTTTCGAAGCCTCTTATATAGTACTACTATTGGCATGTTGCCAAACCACGATTGGCAACCTGCCAATGACCAATTTGGCAAAGTGCCAATGAAACTTAATGACCAAATTATTCTAAGTTCTCACTGAAATGTCAGTGAAAATGGTTAAGTTCAGCTGTATGAATGATTAAAATTGCCTAAGTCATGAACCACTGTTATTGCAAAATGACAGAGTCCAGCCCCTTTGGTTGGATGTAAAATGTTTAAGTATTGAGATACAGGCTCGTGAAAATAACAGAGTCCAGCTAGTCTGGTTATGAGAAATGATTAAGTGTTGCCTATATAATGAGTGAAAAGAACAGAGTTGTGGTTATTTTGGCTTCAATGATTCTGTTAAGTCTTGATGCACAGATATGCTGCCATCTTTTGGTAAGAATTGAAACCATGCATGACTTAGAAAAACCCAACACTATCGTGAATCTTTTGGGAGATATTGTATTTGAGATCGTAACGAATAGATTGGTAGGTCAGTTGTACATGTTGCTTGTAATTTTTTCACCCCTATAGATCTGATTCTGCCTTTAACTTTGATTATAGACATTATTACTTTGGTCCCTTGTTAAATGTTTGATTTTTGTTGAAAACTTTGCAGCCAAGTAATAAAATATGGGCTTTTACCCCTACCAATGGGCTTTCATCTAATTGAAAGCCCATGCCCTACCTCAAATGAAAACTGTACTCTAAAATATGTTATTGATAATATAGTGCTACACACCTTATCTTGTTGCAGGCTGACACTAACAGAGGAGTTGGGTGATGTTATTTTTGAATTCTGCAAGTGTCGGTCCCTGTGTACATGTAGCTGTCAGGCCCTAGCCCAGAGGGTATACTCCACAGTTGCGGCACACTCTAAAGTCGTTCTTTGTCTCATCAAACAGGGGAGAGTTAAGAGTGCACTGGAGTATGCTAAAGTCAAAGCTGATTTTGCACATGGAGATTTCATGGATCTGCTAAGGTAAATATCTCAGATTATTATATCAGCATCACACTTAGCCATGAAAGATCAGGCAATAATCGATGGTAATTATGGTGTGTGATATAAGTTATTGAATAATTTGAGAAAAATACAGAAAAATGTTGTGTCTGAGAAAGTTTCTATTTTCACTGGCGCCAGTTTTCATGGTGCTTTTATAGGTTTTTCAAGAGAAAATGCAATATGAAATGCATAATCAGAATTTTCGCAAAATTAATTTGACCTGTTTTATCCATTCATTGCTTTTACATTCAAACAGGTTGAGTCCAAGTGGAGAGCTGGCCCATGCATTGATAGATTCGGAGGAGCTAGGGATGGGTACATTGCCCATAGGAATGGTAGTGAAGACATTGCTGGGTACGGAGGCAGAGATTGATGGTCTCCAGATCATACATGACATATATCTACAATCACCTAGAGGTAGGTTGGATGATTTTCAAACTGCAGTCTTGGATCAGATCTGATCAGTATACTGACCCTGACCCTGTATGGGGTTTGGGATTTCTGGGAAGATTGAATGCAAGACTAATTAAGGTTGTTCAGTGGTCACCTACTGGTCTGTAGATGTGACTAAGGCTACAAAGTCCTCAGTCATATCTGGTCTATACTTTGACCCTGTATGGAGAGTCACTGAAGACTAATTAAAGTATATGTATGCAGTATAATGGTCATCTGCCAGTCTGTTTACATGCATCAAATCTGGTCACCTTGTCTACATGCATCAAATCTGGTCACCTTGTCTACTTATATACTGATCCTGGCCCTGGATAGAGCAGTGGGGGTTGCAACACTGGTTTCATGCAAGACAAAGGCTGTACCATATGAGGACCATTACAATTTTTGATAGGAATATACGGTTTTTCAATTTCTTGTAATTCTTGTATTCTGAACCATCCTCACTGATAATACTATTTTGGACTTTGAAACTTTAAGAAATATTTTGGATTTAGCATAGCAAGATATTGTACATGATAAATAAAATGATGAAATATAACTGTTGATGTGATGAATTAAAATGAATATTCATTGTTTCAGATACACCAGAGCAGAGTGCACTACGTAAGTTGATATTTGATGACACCAGTATTAGCCCTGATGAGTGGATGGAGATTGCAAATGCCTGTATAGACAATGGCTTTAGAGAGGTGGGACTTGACATGGTGGCAGCTACAACTGTCTTTGGAGCTATGCAGAGAGCGCTATCCCAGTAATGTGGACTACTATATTATTTAATGCTCTCTGATATCCTGCGGTGATTTTGTCCTGCTTTTAACAGACATGATGATTATACTGTGGTAATTCATCTCAGTGTTTTATCAGAGACTGGGAACCCAATGATAATGATGTACCATGCTGACTTTTTTGCTGGAAGACTCTCAATATTCAACGATCTCATCATACTGTAAAACTAGAAATTTTCATGGATGAGATATTTTTGCAGATGTGAAATTAGTTTTATGACTTGAGCCGACTCTTTCATTGCAATGATCCATTGTTACATTCCATTTAATCTTTGTCATTTCCAAATAATTTTGTGGATGGAGTTTTATAGTTGGTTAAAAAAAAGCCTGGGGCTTCAATTGTGTAAAATGATAAAATCTGCATTATCACATGAATTTTGGGAAAATCACAAAAACATCCTGTTAAACAGTGACCAGACTCCAAACCTTTATTGATAAACTTATAAAGGACTTTATCATGAAGACTCCCCTAGAACATGTAGAAGGGACTTTTTAATTTTTATGACCATGGATGCTAAAAACTGTCTTTATATGTACACCAATTAAAGAAATACAAGAGTGACTTTTAAATGAAAGGCTTTGTAGATCTATACCATGGTCATCATTGAATGGAACTATCTTGTTATTGCATCATCCGTCCATGGAGAGAAACAGACATCTCATCCTTATTAAAATGTATTAAACTCTGAATAAAAATACACACTAATTGAACAAAATAGATTTGTATGATTTGATTTATTTCTGAATGCCTAGTTACTATGGTTACATAATTTAAACGCGGATATAACATTTGGTTGAAGATAACACTAATTTTGAATTGATACAATACTAAATGGTAAATAATACATCTTAGTTAAACTAGGGTAGTTGCAAAAATATATTTGAAAAATATTTACAGATGACAAATCAAATTTAATTTTAGAACTGTTAAATGGCAAGATATCAATTCTTTCATCACATCTCTATTATTGAATGCCACCAATGAGGTTGATGGGGTGCAATATGCCATCTTCACAGATGGAAGGGTGCAATTTTGCACCCAACACCCTATCTAATAGACACTAATGGTCAAACATACTAAAAGAAGGAGACTGGTAGCTGAGAAGCTGACTATGCTACTATACTACATACATATTCACTCGGTGAAGTGACCCATACACTAGATACTGTAAATTCATTTTTCTTTAAACATCATTTCTCCCCCAGAATCAAAATCAATGATTACATTTTTTGTACTAGTTGAAAGCCCATGGTTAAACCCATAAGAGCGTTGAGTTGTATCTATAAACATTACAACCAATGCACAAATGAATAAAATAACAATCTTCCATAATTTCTTTATATAAATCATAATCAGAGTGATACTTTTTCTTCATACTTCTAAAAATTGTTCAACTTTCTTGGACCACCCTGTATATATTAGATGAACAATATACAGTCACTGAGTATAAAGTCTCTAATAGAAAAAAGCTATTAGCATATAAGGGTTTCATGCAATATATCCTTTTAGAGGGACAATAAGATATATGAGCCCTTTAGGTATTATCATTCCATTCATTCATTCCCATCACCGGACTGACAGGAATATCTTACACAATCTCTAAGATACATGGAAAATATGTATATCTTATATGTAACAAAACTATTTTCTACAATGCAGTACAGTACAGTACAGTACAGTACAAGGATATATTGGGTGTCCCAAAAAATGAATCACTTTTTGACAAGTATATTCCCAGCAAACGTGGCAAAAGATTATCTGAATAATTTGAAATTTTCTATTGAAGAACTATAGGATATCAGTAGCAAGTGTTATATATTTGAAAGAGATGGGTGATATATTATGTGAGCATTCTCAAATTAAAAACAGCATGCCAAAATATACAATATCAACGTAACTTAATTGAGTCTGAAAGAAGCCATTTTTTCAAGCAGATATGATTTTGAGTATTTCCTCCAATGATATCGCCTCCCATGACATAATTATCCAGTCCTTAAATACATATTAGAAGGAGTGCATTTTTGAGTCAACAATTACATGACTCCAACCCTTACCCTTAATTCCTATATGATCTCTCACCCCATCTTTTCACTTTGAAACAGTTTTCAATAGCAACCTTATTGCTTTCACTAAAAGGCATCGTAAATCCTTCCAAACTGAAATTTTAGACAGAACTGATTTTGAATACAGAAAACAATTACACAAGTCAACAGACTTAACACCCAGACAGGCTTTTTCTATACTAAAACTGATTGACAGATGCCAACAGCTGACAGGGGACATTAACACGATGAAGGTCTCATTGAACTGCTCTGATACTGGATTTTTATTTTTTAGACATGATGTTTTGAATTTGTTAATACTCGCATTATATGTAACCCATAACCTGTTGCTGAGAAAATACTTCTCAAAAAGCAATTCACTTTTTTTGGGACACCCGATATATCTCCTGAAATATAAAAAAGTTGACTGGGATATAATTACAGAGATAAAACAGCTTAAACTGTACTTCTAATAAATATGATTGCAGTATATACTAATGTCAAACATCTGCAACAGCTACTATTAAAATAAAATACTACAAGTATAATGGACTAGCGCATTTAACTATCAGATACACTGTTTAGGAAATATCTTAAAATAATTTCAAACACTACAATACAATTTTCACTACTGTACAATGAAAAAGTTGAAATTATCAGTACACTGAAGCTTAATTCTATTCATGTATTATTGTATTACTTAGTGTTAAGTCTCCAATTACCCTCCAAACAATGGACACTTTTTACACGGGACATGGAAACATAGTACTTTTTTCACTGTTTAAATAAGAAAATAATCTTCTCATACTTGTATATACATGTACATCTAAAATTATACTTGACTGCTGAAAAAACTAGATATTAAAAACGACTGTATTTGACTATTAGAGCCTCTTATACAGTGCTGTTCATATGTATATATTATATAATACATGTACATTATTTACAATAAACCACAGCCCTGTAGCCAGGGGGATGGGTTTGGGGGTTTAAAGCGAACCCCACCATCCATACCATACCATACCATACCATACCAAGATTTTTTCAAATTAACGCAGCTTTTCAACATTCTGAGCTGCGCACTTTTCAAATAAATGAAATCCCCCTGGTATATTTTTGAAAAGTGAACCCCCAGGCTAAGTGCCTGAACCATGTATTCTCTTCATCTGCTTATCATATTTTCCTTTCATCTTTCTAATTCAGTGATTTTGGGTAAATACATGAAATATCAGAATATAGATCTATTAGATGCCTTATCAAAAATCAAAGAAATATGTTACAAATTCTCGATAAAAATACAACAGCAGACCAGGGTTTTCACTATGACACTAAGGAGCACAATCCACTTTAAAATACTTCAAATCTTCTGAACCCAAAACATTTCAGAATACTTTTTATCAAGTGAACTGTAAATAAAATTGATTACAAATCATTCATGAGGAAAATTTTGGGAGCTCAAAACCCGTATAATTTTTGGTGATACATGTAGTTAAATACAGTTATTTGTTGAAAAATGGCTATTGCCTCTTGAAAACCCTTTTGCAGTTAACAATGTATTTCTTATGGAAAATAGTTCAAACTGTTAATAAATATTTCAAACCAAAAAATGGAATTTTGAATGCTACATATTTATCATCAAGCTCAGATCATTATAATGTCCAATGCTCAATAATAGCCTATAATATAAATATACTGATTCTTCAACGACCTTAGCAGCACCATTTTCTAATTTGCAAGTTCATCAAAAAGTTTTTCGTATTTAGTATACTATTTTTCTTTTTTTTCCACACAAACACAAATATAACCAGGGTTACAGTAATTTAAAAATTTGTTAAACACTGATGTACTTATTGTTTCTGTAATCAATTTCGAGCAAGTAATTTTCTACAGAAACAGGTTAAAACTGTTGTTTCCACATATAGGAGTGGGGGGTGTAGCCTTGGTGTATGTTGCCAGCAGCAGATGGTGCTTTTGTGGTAGATGGTATTGAATCAGATATACTGGGTGAATTAGCTTGGGCAAGGTGAAGGGGAAGGCCAACTCTCTCCGTTCTTAGGTCAGAACGCATACGTTCTGTCATAACAGTAACCTGTGGCCTAATTGGTGCGCCATTTGAGGCGTCACGGGAGTTTACACCTCCATTAGTATTGCAGTATGAAGATAGCTGATTAGCTGCTGTGGCCACAGTTGGTGGGATTGGTGGAGAGACTGTGCTGTACCCCTGAGTGATGTTACTCAAGGAAAGTGGTACACTTGTTGATGTGCCAGCCAGCAGATTATACGCCTGACTCATATGACTGGATAGAGGGGATTGAAGGGGCACCGGGACGTTAATTCCACTCTGGGGGTACCTCTGGATCGCACCAGCAGCACTCTGTACTACTGAATCATTCAGGGGTATAGGAGAGCCATTTTCAGCAGGGGATGAGTTATTACTCAAGCGATGTTGGTTTTCTCTTAATTTAGCACTAGCTTTGATGTATGCCAGATGTGCCTCAACCTGTGAGCCGTTATCTTCTAGAGGGTTACAACCCATAGCAGCAAGCAAAGCGGCATCATTCATATCGCTTGATAGACGTTTCTTCTGGGGTAAAATAGATCTTGGGAGGGGTGCAGATGCAGGTACAGGTGGTGCCTCCACTGGTTTTGAGTTCTCAGCAGATTCAGGGCTTTCAGATTTGATACAACGAAGTGGTGATACTTCACCAGTGAGTTGACCAGCAGTTGGGAACACCGGGGGGGACTGGGCTAAAGATTGAGCAACTTTATACGACTCACTTGCCATGTATTTGTCCATTAAATGTTTCTTCGTTTTTGTTATTACAGCAGCAGTCTTTTCTTCAATTTTTACTTCCTCGCGTGCAGCTTCAACAACGCTGTCAATAGCCTCGTCAATATGTTTACTTATAACATCTGGATCAGGGCAGTCAAACTTCAACTTCTTTTTTACCATCTGTGGACTGTCGAGATCCACTGGTCCTTTCTCTCGATCAGCAGCTTCAAAATCATCTGTGATCATTTTACATTTCTTTTCATGCCTTTGCAACTGGTCTTTTCGCTTAAATGCAGCATCACATGCATGACATACAAATGTCCTTGATGGAGAGTCAGAAGTATGCACTCTTTTAGTGTGATTATTCAAGTGGTCTTTTCGACTAAATACTTCATTACAGATACTGCATTCAAATGGTCTGGAGTCCGAGTGCAGTCTCATATGACGTTGCATGTGGTCCTTCCTTGCAAATGCCTTCTCACAGAAATCACAAGGAAACGGTTTTATTGTTGAGTGAACAGCCATATGTTTAGATAAATGATCAGAGCGCTGGAACTCCTTTCCGCAATCTACGCAAACATGTGGTTTCTTAGTGCTATGACTTAGAATATGCTTGTCTAGGGTATTTGTACGAGAAAATCTTTTCCCACATTCTGGACATTCAAGGGAGCCCTTGCTCTTTGATGGCGTTGAGTGCTCCCCATTGATCGGTTCATCTAGCTGGGCTGATGCCATCTTGGATGTTCAAACTGAAACACATTAAAAGAAAATATTACTTATATTAACTTTGTAAACAATAAACAGATTATGGCTATGTATTTACATAACATATAATACATATGCCCAAAATTATAGAAATATTCTAACTGGACTGGAGTTATCTTAAGTTTTTGGAAAGTTTTAATTTTGGTGGATTTCGAGAAGATTTCATCTAGATTTTGAATCATTTCATATGAACCAGAAACAAAAATTGATGAAAGCTAAAACGGCAAATTAAAACTGCTCACAGTACTGTCTTTTATAATTAATTTGTGAATAGCACTGGTGATATGAATGCATTCAATACTAATCATGCTCATAGAAATATGTATGTGAGTTATCTCATTTCATCATTCATAGCAGGAGTTTCATAAGTAACAGGTAGCAGGTGATACCTCCAGTTGTATTTACCAAATTACATTATATTGTTGTAATTAAAGTTTGCAATAACCAGCCTATTGTTTTCATTTGTTTTGCTATTTGTCAGAAATGTTGATGAAACCCTAGCATAGTTAATCAATCAATGGACTGACCTTATATATAAATTGGCTCATTGATACTAATGATAATATACATTCTATATAATTCTAGTTTATGAGTTTTCTGTTAAATAGAGTATGATTCATTTCTTTATGTAACATAATTCTAGTACATAATTTGCTTATACTTTATTTCAAAGGGTGATTAAGACCATAGTTTTAGTTGAAAGGAGAATGTTTGATGTCTTGCAAAGATTAGAATTGTATTGTCACTTGCTTTATGCCTTAAAGATGGGCAACATGATAACCAATATATTTACCAGCAAATACCTCCTCTGTTAAAGTGGCAACAAGGCCTGTAGAAAGATAAATTGAAAAGATTCACTTTTTCTGAGCTGTCAGGCAGTCAGGGTAATGTTTGGCTTAACATGTATATCTATTTCAGCATTTAGAAGTGTAAATTAAGCTTAACCAGTGTTCGCGCTAGCCATTTAAATTTCTGAGTCCCAGGGAAGCAACACATTTGAAAAATGTGAGTCCCGTCTAATTTTTTTTGCGTCCCTCATATTTTGTTACCAAAGTGAAAGTAAAGTGGGCGATAATAGAGTGCTTCCGCTAAAACGGGATAAAAATGACATGTATTGTAATTCTATGCATTCTCCCGATAAATATCTATCATTTGGTCTTTTTCACACAATTCTTTACTAATGCTATACCAAAATTCTCCGAAATGAATGAAAGAAATATTCAAATTAAGAGTTGTTTTCACATTTTACCAACCAGCGATCTTCAAGGTCGTGTCAAGGTCGTGAACTTTTTGTTTCTTTTTATAACATTTCTCCTTACTCTGACGACTTTTAGATGAAAAACGTTGATCTATCATTAAATAAGTATATTGATGTATAACATTAGATCGATATCTAACGGTTCCTAGTGGAAGTAATTAAGGTTATTGTGAAAAACAAGTCTCAATTCTCAATTTTGAAACTAATGTTTGCGTACAACAGATTATGCAGCTTCGGTATACTCCGGAATGACTAGAAACCCCGTGAATATACTGAGACACTTCGGTAGCCAATTAGATTTGCCGACATAAACATTATCGAGATCAAGGAAGTAGACGATTTGAAAATTCTTCAGAAAATCATGTTTTATCACTTCTACGCTGCAGTAAAAGTTACCTAATGGTGGTGTAGAATCTTTGCGTCCCAAGGATGTAAGTTATTTCTGATTTTTCCGTCCGACCTCTTGAAATTTCCGTAAAAACGAGAAAAAACGGCGTCAACGCGAACACTGGCTTAACGTTTCCATAAGATGAGTGTCACTTATATATTTTTATATATACTACATTTCAAGATTTTAACTGCAGGAACTTCAGCTGAATAGCATTCATTAATGAAAATAGATGTTAGCCTTGATGAAATATCCAAACTTCAATATATTTTGACACTAGGTCCATGATCGTTATATACGTCTCAGAACTAATTGTTCAACTTTGAATCTTGATGGCAGTTTTCTCATTGGAAAAACAATCTATTAATAGCCTATAGAGTGGGCTATTCTGAATCTGATGATGAATTAATTAATGTACAGGCAACTCCATTTTTTGCAATCTGTAGAAGCTTTCCAAGGCAACAATAGGCTATATTTGACACCAATATATAATAACAGAAAGTCATGAAATCAAATAAGATAAGGGTTCACGTCCTGTAATATAGTATATACTAGGCAGCGGGTAGTTTATAACTAAACTGTGTGCAGGGTAGCGATTAAAATTCTGAAGTGAAAAAATGGAAGCTGTTTTCAAATTTTGTAATCAAGACCACTTTAAAATTCGATTCATTTTTGGCAAATATCGAGATTGCATTCTGGGAGAAAAACCTCCTTGGATGTTAATCAAATTTCTGAACATACTGAACTACCTTACATTCATGTTATCCCGTCCTTGAAGCAAGGCCCGCGTAAAAAACACAATACTCGAAAAAATGGATTTGGAATGTCAAATGAAGCATACTTACCCAACCTATCTAGCATACTAATTATACATATGTATCTGTAACTGTTGTGTCATAGATTTACTCTTGAGGTCGGAAACTTGAAACTCTTGCTTACTTGATAATAAGGAAGTGGAGCTTCATAAACAAAAGGCAGCACTAGATCTATAGTACCTGGTGTTTGGTTGACACAGGATTCTGTACGAATAGTCAACCACTAAACCAATTAGTCTTGTGAATCTTAATTTTACAGAACATTTTCCATGAAACTTTCAGGCAGAAGGAAATGAAAATTGGTAAGTAAACTAGATCACCAAATATGCCGCTAATTGTGCTGTTTTATACTGAATCTATTAGTTTTATTACACTCTCTACATATTTAAGTATGTGATACTTACCTAATTATGGCGAAGATACCGATATGAAGCTGATATTTTCACGGAATATACTGGCACAGTTTCACCCCTCCCTCTTTGTGCAGTTTTCTACTTACGAATAATCATATCGCTAACTCGATCTAGCGAGTTTTAGACCGGAAATGAAGTTGAAAATGAAAACGTTTGACTTTATCAAGTATTTCTATCAAGTATTATTGGCCTAACTCCACGTCTTAGTCATATTTGTATACGGTAGGGATGAACCTCTCGACTTCAAAGGCAATTACTGAAATATCCATGTATGCTTTAGCCGAAATTTGATCCAAAAAATATTCTTTCAAAAATTCTTTTATTTTTTTATTTTTATTTCAATTCAATTCAAAACATGAATTCAACATTGTACATGCAAGACGAGTAACACCCCCCTCAGAGGGGAAATAAGAGTGCATGGGCGAGTGCATTACTGCATATTAATTGCATGGGCGAGTGCATTACTGCATATATACAAAAACATAGAACTTATTGAAAATGTGCAAAGAAGAGCTACACGTATTATCCCATCCCTGAGAGAACTATCGTATTCAGAAAGGCTCAGAACTTTAGATCTAACAACCCTAGCCTATAGGAGACTTAGAGGCGACATAATAGAAACTTTCAAGTATATGAACAACTTATATGATGTGAATAGCCTAGACATATTCCCAATCCAACAGAATAGAAACACAGGACCAACACTAAGAAGAGCAAACACACAGATGCTCAGAAAATTCCACTGCTCAACGACAAACAGACAAAACACCTTCAGCCAGCGAGTGATAAGACAATGGAATGCACTCCCTGAATTCGTAATTAGGGCTGATAATACCAACACTTTCAAAAACAGGCTAGACAAACACTGGATGGATCATCCAATGAAATTAGACCACAACATTGATTATGGCTATGTACATAGGTAGTTGGGGAAACTTGACTTTTTAACTTTTTATGCAACAATCTAAGGACAATGAGGTCCTTGCAATGATCGATTAACAGGCAAGCATGCCTATAAATCGTAATTCACTTATAATCTTATAATCTTATAATATAAAAAAAATGCGCAGACCTCCCCCCCGCACTCTTGTCTTATACTTACTTCCTGCGAAAGCTATGTGGATTTTGATATAATAGGTTATTATTCAGTGCACTTGGACAGCTAAATAACAGTGACCTTTAAAACATGAATAATGAGATCTGTGGCTTACTTTTGGTCTCTAACGGTGTCTTACATCAGTATCATCAATCCGTGCAAGTATTGGAGCGCTGAAATACTTCTTTTTCGATCAAGACTTGTAAATTGTTCATCGAGTGAATGTTTTTTCGACCCATTTCCAATATTGCGGTTTGCTAGGAGCGAGATACGCAACGAACGAAATGAATTTTGAGAATGAGTTAGGTTCGGACTTCCGACAAACTACGAAAATGTCTGAGCAGAAAACGCCATATTGGATTTTGGCAGAAAGAACATTCACTCGACTAACAATTACAAGTCTTGATCGAAAAGGAAGTACTTCCGCGCTCCAATACTTGCACGGAAGGATGATAATGATGTATGACATAGTTAGAGAACAAAGGTAAGCCACGGATCAACTTAATTCATATTTCAAGGGTTGGCTGTCATTGTAGAGATAGTGGGAAGTTTCTTAGCGGCCTTTGTCACAGGAAGTTGTATCAAGTCCTTTTTGGGCCTTTTGGTTTTTTTGCCCCTCCCCTCTCTCAGAAGAGATGTATTCACCTCTTCTGAGAGTGGGGAAGGGCAAAAAGCTCCGTTAAGGCCCAAAAATGACTTGATACAACTTCCTGTGGCCTTTGTATTACACTTATCTCTGTGGACATTTGTTATCTGGGGTACACAAAAATGAGAGAATGGCCATCGAAAAATAGATATGTCAGAGAATTAGATGATGGGTACAGGTTGGGCCAATAAAAGGTAATCAAACAAATGTTACTAGCATGGGTTTAAAGAGCAATTGTACTTGGTAGAATGAAGAACATTTGAAACAAGTTTTAATATTGCCAAATATGATTTTGAACTCATGCTGAATGATTGAGTTATTAACATTTGTTGTGGTTACCTTTTTTGGCTCAACCTGTATTAGATGGCTTAGGTACCTTAAATTTGAAGCTATATAGTAAAAATGCTAGGGTATACATTCAGCTTTTGAATTAAATAAATATTTGTCGAGTTGTAGGGCCATTACATTACTGTATATTGAATTGATTTTTCCAGTGTGAATTGCTGAATCATGAGTCAAGAATTCCCACCCACACCACAACAGATCGATGACATCCCTGTCAAACAGGACAACCCACTCATTCAAATAACAGCGTCAAAAGCTGAAATTGATCGAAGAATCTCAGCCTTTATAGAACGAAAACAAACTGAGATAGACAGTAATAACAGGCGGGAATTTTGCCATCCAGTATCCTCAAATGAAGACCCATCTACGGTAAATAGCTGCGCTCGTACTGATGCCATGTTAGTGCCCCGGGGTGGTGGAAGTAGTCATATCAAAGTTTCACAAGTGATGAACCCATATGGCCCACAGGGTCAGAGAAAATCTGACAACGAAACAGAGGGGAATTCTAAAGCCATGTGTGCAGATGGTATAGAGGAACGACTCAGAAATATGGAAGTCCACTTAAACATTGATGATGAAATGATAAGTGCTAACCCAAAAAGACAGAATGTGTATGAACGTCTTCGACATTTGGAGAATCGGATTCTTTATCTCGAAGGAGTATCTCCAGAGTATTTCCATAGTAACAGTGGGCCGCCATCAAAAAGAATGAAGCACAATCATCCGACACGTCTCAAACTTGACCATCAGAATCTATCAATCGGGGACATTGACAAACGTATCGCTCAGCTTCAAGCGACACTAAGTAAAAAAACTATGATGCCTTATTGATAGTTCAAAATATTTGTGACATCACTGTCACAGAAGAACAGGCTTGATATAGAAAACTAATAGATGAGCATATCATGGTCTCATAGTTTGTGTGTTTGTTCTTCATTTTCAGCCTGTTTAATTTTTGTAATTTGACAAATTAAATCTTTGCCAAAATGTCCAGGTAGTACATTTCTCTGTTCAATTATAGAATTGCATTTTAACAAGATCACGGGTATTAACCAGACCTCATGATACTGTGAGCGTCATGTCTGAAGCAAGGATATGAATTAGGGAGCTCGGTGAAATGTTCAGCTCAATGTGGATCCTCAATTGCTCATGCGTTGTTGTGGTCTGGCTAGTACCCGTGATTATGGTATGAAGAAACAAGATTTTTGATAGTTTTGTAGTACTTTATATTAATTTTGGTGCTAATGTATTTCAAGACTGCAACAAATTAATGGTGGATACTACTGAAAAATATGTTCTGACAAGTGTAAATAAAATGTTATGATTCAGTGATTTTTTTGTTATATCATGCAGCAACTAGCAAATCAAAAATGACTAGAAAAACAGCAACTCCACAGAGTAGCAAATCCCACCGAACAAAACATATTATGCTTATTATCGCTAGTGTAAATGTTGAAATGTTTGTGCACTTTGTGATAGAAGCATGAAATTTGGCACAAAGTTAGTTTATACCATTGTGAACTAGGCATCATCATATAAAATTTGAACCAAATCCGTTCACTGGTATATGAGTTATCAAAGATTACATTTTTTACGAAAATTGTCCGCCATCTTGAAATTCAGCCGCCATCTTGAAAATTATTTCTTGAACAGAGCTATTGTGTCCCTAGGCATAATCATATAAAATTTCAACCAAATCTGTTCACTGGTATTTGAGTTATAAAAGATTACGTTTTTTACGAAAAGTTGCCGCCATTTTGAAATTAAGTGGCCATCTTGAAAAATTTTTGTCGAACATAGCTACTGTGTCCCTTAGCATCATCATATAAAATTTGAACCAAATCCATTCACTGGTATTTGAGTTATCAAAGATTACATATTTTTACGAAAAATGGCCGCCATTTTGAAATTAAGCGGCCATCTTGAAAATCTCTTTTTGAGCGAAACTCCTTTGTCCCTAGGCATCAGCATATCAAATTTGAACCAAATCTGTCAACCTGTATTTGAGTTATCAACGATTTCATTTTTTACGAAAAATGGCGGCCATTTTGAATTGAGCGACCATATTGAAAATTCCTTCTCGAGCAGAGGTGGGATAATTACCTTGGTAACACACTGTATCCCGTCCTTTAATGATATAGGTCAACAAAGCATTTCAATTTATGACAAAATGTTATCATTTTCTGGGGCAATCCCTCCCTATCTGGCTATTGTCCAGTTGTCCCGATGCATCAGCATATAAAATTTGAACCAAATATGTCAATTGGTATAGTTAAAGCCTGAACAGATTAATGGATAGAGGGGGTTCTCTCACCTTAAGGCATCAACCTAATAAAACAACCAAACCTGTCAATTGGTATTTAAGTTATCGCCTGAAGAGATTTGTTGATAGACAAATGGCTTTTAGTACATTTTCTTTTTTCTTCCATACGAGACACCATTGAAAAACCAAGTGATCATCTGGCTAGATATCATGGATGTGATTGAGACATCTAAAAGTAAAGTATAGCCAAGCAATGAAGTGTTCACTCCCAGAGGTGCACACATAATCATATTTCAGTGCATCTGCTTGTAGCAAGGCTGACTGACTATTTCTAGTTTGTGACTAACAATAGTGAAATGTACAAGTATAAACTACATATTTATGGTTGAAACCGGATCCACCAAATTAAAATGGCCACAAAATTGAGTAGAAGTACAGTAACTCCAGCAACATGACCTTCATTCATAGAAAAGAAAATCAAATGAATTGCAGCCTCGGCTATAAATTATTCTGATGATTTTGTAGCTTCTATACGTAGATCCCAGGAGTTCGCAAAGTGCTTTAATAACTAATAACATAACAAGATGTGTTTGAATTCCATTATGTATTATGTCCAATGTTTTATTACATGATTTACAGTAATTCACCAGCAGGTCTCATTCTAACACACAATCCTCACCAGGCACAGGCTAATATAAATTCTAATAGAGTCTAATACAGTTTAATGTACAGCACCAAGATTTAACAACCAATTTGGAACAGTAAAACTGGCCCATGTAAATGAACAGTGAATGGGGGATTTCTCAGAGCTGTACATTAAGACTGCTTAGATGAATAAACATAGAAAACTAAATGAACTCTAAAAGCTTATAATTTTCACACAATGTAGTAATGTACTGCATGGAAATACTGTACATAATGATAATTTTCACACAATGTAGTGATGTACTGCATGGAAATACTGTGCATAATGATAATTTCCACACAATGTAGTGATGTACTGCATGGAAATATTGTACATAATGATAATTTTCACACAATGTAGTAATGTACTGCATGGAAATACTGTACATAATGATAATTTTCACACAATGTAGTGATGTACTGCATGGAAATACTGTACATAATGATAATTTTCACACAACGTAGTGATGTACTGCATCGAAATACTGTACATAATGATAATTTTCACACAACGTAGTGATGTACTGCATGGAAATACTGTACATAATGATAATAATGAATGAGAAAAATACTGTACTGCCAGTATATTTCAAGAGCTTTAATTTCACGATTTCACAATTTCGTGGCTATTAAATTTTGCAGATTTCACAAGTTTAAATTTAATTATCCTCTGGAACCTCAAACTTTGTAAACTAATGCCAAACTTGGATAGGAATTACAATTACTAGATCTTGGTCAATGGTATGCTGGACCTCAAATTCTATTTCATCAACATTTTTTGGTTTATCTGATCTGATAAACCAGTGCAAAATACATTGTTGCTAGTATTGCATTTATTGCCCATTAACATGAAATGTTTTACACAATTCAAAACACATTTGAGTCCCAGGTAGGTACAAATTTAAAATTTCCAGGGATAAAATTAGCAGATTTTGCAACGATTATTTTCACTTGTGTGGTAAAATGAGGAAATTAAAACCACATGCAAAAAATACTGAGAGTACAGTACTGTTTTAAACGGCCATGACTGTAATATAAAATTCAATAACAACTACAAATAGAACCATAAAACAAATTCTACTTTTAAATTTTCAAACATGTGCAGTCTTTACTGAAGAACTTTCAATTTTGTATGAACTATTATTATAATAAGCCATGAGATCTCACAATTGCTACATAATGAAGCTCAACCTTATCATAACTGAACATTTGAGTATATTAGAATTGCAACCTCAATCCTTTAATATTTTATTATTCACATTACCAAAGACCTCACTCACATTGAAATGCCATCATTTAATAATGGTCATAGCAAAATAAAAGGCAATTTCAGCCACAATATTTTGTGCTTAATGCTAAAATAAAATTCTAATAAAAACATCAAAAATATTTCAGTTTGCTCATAGTGACCTTCAAGCCATTTTTCATACCACTCCAACTTAAAACATTACACATATTAGTAAGAAAAAAATGTGAAAACAGACTTGGACAAAACACATTTAAAATTGCTACAAGGGCAATCTATATAAATATTGCTTATCGGGTCTTAGGTTTTCTTTAATCCATTTCGTCAATTTCTAGTTCTGCAAACATGTACATGTATATATAACATATACAACTGCGAAAAAATTCACTTAGACCTACATATTGAATTCACAAACCCATGAACTATAAAAATTCAAATTCACAAAGTGGTAAATCATATTTTTTAAGATTTTAGCAAAAAAATTACAACATTGTGACTAAACAAATCAGTCAGCACACATTGTATTTTACAAAAAGCGCAACCTAAAGAATAATACACATTGTATGTAATAAGTAGCTTATATTACATAATACATATGTACAGTGGGTATGAGAATGGTAAGTAACGTATTTTCAGCACAAGTGCTTTCTGTAAAGCCAATAAAGGTTAGGCATAATGATCTCTATAGCAGATTTCGTTAAAAAACACAAAACAGGTCATCACAATTTTTTCTGGAATTGCAAAATTGTAAAAAGATGAGAAAAAAGGTTTGACCAGTGAGATCCTGGGATAACAGAGGCAGGCATTGCTAAACAGGCATACAACTTGTAAGGGCCTGAGTTCATTTTTCATCACACAATGCAGGAAAATGTCAAACAAATAAACCATAAATAATGGTCTCATGTATCAATGAACAAGGGGTTGTATTAATGATTTTTTCCATAAACATGTAATATTAATTTAGCACTATTTAATTTCCCTTTCGTCATATTTGCAATATTGGCTCTATGCAATAACCCAATCTATCTGGAAAATTGTAGAATTTTTGTCCTGCATATTTATACCATGGGATTTATAAATATGCTATTTAATTTATGAATTCTTTTGATATGCTCCCTATAAAGGAGTGTCAGATTAGAGTTAATGCCATAATAATGAGAAGGTGGGTCTTGCCAAAACTAAGTTACTTCTTTAGAGATGACTTTTCTAATGTCCCCTAACTAGTGTTATAGTTTGACATCCTGGTCTATAACTGTATGTTACAATGAACTGCTGGTGATTCATATAACAGTGCTATGTACATTCAAAACCATTGAGCACATTGCAAAAATAATCAATTCTAGAGTTTACTTATTAAAGAAATATAGTACAATTTACAAAGTATAGAGGTCTCTGATATTTACAAACTATATTAGCGAACACTCCTAATGTACAGATGCTCATTTCAGTTCAGGACATTGATGAAGTGCACACTTCAATATGGCAAAGTGTACAGCACACCAATGATGTCAAGTGTACAGCACACTTCAATATGGCAAAGTGTACAACACACTTCAATATGGCAAAGTGTACAGCAGACCAATGATGTCAAGTGTACAGCACACTTCAATATGTCAAAATGTACAACACACCAATGAAGTCAAGTGTACAGCACACTTCAATATGGCAAAGTGTACAGCACATCAATGATGTCAAGTGTACAGCACACATCAATATGGCAAAGTGTACAGCACACCAAGTGTACAGCACACTTAAGATGTCAAACTGTAGACATCAATGATGTCAAGTATACAGCACACTTCAATATGGCAAAGTGTACAGCACACCAATAATGACCAGTGTACAGCACACTTAAAGGGAGAATTAGATCTAGCCAACAAGCTGAACAAAAATTATTTGAATTTTAGAATATCTTTGGTTCAGATCATTCCCTATCATGTCTTAAGTTCATACTTTATTTCAGGAAAATTAAAGGTTTTTACAAATTACATTATTTTTCAATAATTATGGTTACCATTTATATTATTTGGAAGAATTGAAACCTTTTCCTCCATTTTTGCACTTATCGCGTATCTTTGTGAGATATTGCATTTGAGATCATAAGGAATAGATTGGTAGATCAATTGTATATTGCTTATAATTTTGTCACCCTCTATAGATCTGATTCTGCCTTTAATATGTACAGCACCCCAATGAAGTATGTGCGCTGCGCAATCAATGATATACATTGTACACCAATCTAATGACATTTGGTCATTGCTGCAAAATATGGATTATTCAACACAAGGATCGTACAAAAGAAATCACATATTTATAATTTATCTGATTTAAATTGATATGAAGTTCTGATAAAATGTGGGTCTAGGATACATTTGGTCTCAGAGTTCTAACTTGATTTTACACACCTATATTTCTTGTGGCCTGGTATTCAGGCATCTATGATGACATAGATCATAGCTTATCATTAACAGAGTACACACAAAGTCAAGAAAACATAATTTGGCGTTATTAATTAAACCAAATTTTATATTCACTAACATTCAAACTCGTTCCTCAGCGTCTTTACCTACTTTCCCGACGACTATCTACTGTAACTGTTTTGTGACAGTTTTTATTTAGAATTGTTTCTTTCCCTGGATTATTTTTTTCAGCTCATCAAGATAGGATTCATTAATCATATGGGTAACATGCCTCAATCCTCACTCTTATATAAGTAATTGCTTGGTGACTGCCATGGCAACCAATTGTTAGATCATTAACAGTGGCTCCCCCTATAGTAGATCAAAATCCTATATATTCTGCAAAGACCAGTGAACGTATGGAGTGATTCTATAATATGTTCTTTCACAGAGAGTCATCTGTTGAGTTGGACGTCTGCTGAAAAACAAAATTATAAATGTTAAAAGACAACTAAACAATCTTTGTAATAATATCACATCAAGAACAGGTATTCCTGTTGTAGTGTGTTAAGAGTCATTTAATGGTGATAATTAAGATTGTCTATATTACATGAATGCATGCAGACATTGTTAAGTGTTGTCATAGCAACATCAATAATAATATGATAAAGGTAAATGTACCAGTATAGTTACCGACTAACTAACTGAGGTGATAGCATCATCAATGAACATGTTTCGTAATTAAGCAAAGAAAATGAATTTCAAAAACTGAATCCTACAAGTGTGCATTTTGAAAGGAAGAAGATACACATGTCTATTGTCTTTATACATATACATGAAAGATTTGACTAGTTCACTTCATAATCGTTCACATGTTCTACAATCTGATGTCTAAAGTCACACACACAAACTTACACAACAAAGGCCTGTCATACTATATGCATTCCCATGTTAAAGTGGCTATAGTAGAAATCCATTAAAATATGTTGTCAAGAAAACCATAGTTGGTAGAAGAGGAGGGAAAGCCCCAGAGTTTCAAGATGACAGACATAATTACGTCTCTTGCTTACCACCTTCGTTCGTTCGAATTTTCATCGGCTAGTTATCAAATACTACACTTCGATGGGATGTTTTAATTGATATAGGCATATTCCGTACACCTCTCTTTATCTTGATGTGAAATGAGAAGCTATGATATTGGTTAACACGCCAGAAATGAACATAATATTATTCGAAGCGTATTTCGAAAATTTTGAAACCGCCATTGATGACGTCATTTGTTTGTCGACTTTTGACCAATCAGCGACGATGTCATCTCAATACAGATTTACATTATAAGCGTATGTCATCTTTGAACCCTGGTGTTTCTCCCCCTCTGGTTGGTAGTTTAGTTATACACAGTAAAGGCATGTATTGTGTCATTTCATCACATTTTCAATAGGTTAACTAATTCTAGCCTAATCTATAGATATTTATATTGAAACAGCAAACAAGAAAATAACTAGCAATCAAAAAGCACATTTTATATACAGCACTAGGTGTAAGTAATCATATTCATGCACCATTCAAATGTTTACATAAGATCACCAACTTTGGAGTCATGAATTTGACACTCAGTATTGTCAAAGGGGATGATATTTTGTATGGAGTATGAAATTTGACAACCGACTTTTTCTTGGTCAAAATCCCCAGCTCCTGTCTGGGGGGGGGGTTCTCATTCAAACTTTGGAATGATGTGTTACTGTAAAGTCTATCTAAACATAGTAAGTACTATTTATACAGTTTATTGTTTTCATTTGAAAATAAGTGTCCCTTTGAAAAATAAATAGTTTAAGTGAGTTTGTAACAATCTGGTTCCCCTCTCTAACTTTTATGCAGAAGAGATAATATGTGGGAGGAAAATATAAAGGCAAACTGTGAGACGAAATTCTTGGCAAATGTAACAAATATTGCAACTACCAAATTAGTGTTAGTCAGGTCTATTTGGGAACAAGTTCCATGTAATCTTATCATTTTTGCACTTTGGCATAAAGAGTCCAGTATGAAGCATCATCTTTGGCCTGGCTTTGTCACAAAATGAGGTAACTCTTGAGATCTCCCCTTTATATTTTGTTTGGTTATTTTATGATATTCGAGGACCAAATGTCAAAAATTGTGGACAAATGTAATGTAGTGAAGTTGTATTTGGCTTCCCCTTCCTTTACTGACCCAAAACATTACAAGGAATTTTTTTCACTGGTTTAATTTCACTCTTTTCATCAGTCTTTAAAAATTTCCAACTTATCCCACTTTTAACAATGGTTTGAATTTGCAGACAGCAATCAGTGATAAACACAGCAAAAAGTGACATTACACAGCAAACACTTGGCAATAGCTCAACTTAAGATCCAATATATTTTCACAGAAGAATACAGAGCTAAATTGCTATATACACAGGGTGATAAGAACAAACAACTCAAAAAAATAAATAATTTTTTTTTGCATTTTCGTCACCCTGTATGTAAAACATGTTGGACCTCGAGCTATTTAGTTGATACAAAATGTGACGTGAGATTGTTTGAGAGTAATTACCATGTTCTAGGCCTCTTGTTCTTCATCATCAGATCTAGAATAGCGAAACATAAGTACAACGTTAATACAGTACACTATAATATTTTATAATTCATAGTTTAAGCCTCAGTCACATTTGTGCTACAAGGGCCATTGCTTCACAAAATCAATGAAGAAAATTAACATCATACTGGTTATTCCTGTATTTTATGCTGCATTTTTCTCTCGATTTTGGAAAGCTATGGCCACCAAATGATTGCCACAGATCAAATGTGACCGAGGTTTTATACATTTCCACTCTAGCTGTGACCATTATAAATCACATTTTTTCTAACCATGATAAGTCAGTTCCTAGCCATGGTTAAGTCTTGTTGTAACAACAAAATTCTGTTGCCTTGGTATTACACTTTGTTGCTGGGTAACTATTCTTGTTTACAAAACATGTTCTAGGACCTTGATACATCCAGAGCTAGGTTTTCAAAAACACGACAAAAGGTGTTTAGTCATAATTAGTAGGTACACCATTGATTCTTATATCTTCTTTATAATGAGAATGACTCAAAATTGAGGAGCCTCTAAATTGAGAATGACTCAAAATCTAGAAGGACTCAAAAATGTGTGAATAACGTAAATCTCCTGCAACTTCCTGCATGACTTTCGTAGCCACATATCTCCTTTCATATTCCATAGGCAGTGATATGAAGGTAAAAATGATAACATTAGTCTGTAGATGGAGTAAGAGCCTCGCCATTCAAGCAGAAAAACAACTATTCACTCCCCATTATAAAGGTTTATCAAGCCTTTAGAATGCAAATATACACAATCAAGGCATTAACTGATGGCATCACATGCATGATGCACTGCATTCATATAACCTTGGGTTCTAGCCAAAACAAGGGTGAACAAAATCACAAGGGAAGAGTAATCAATGCTTAAATTAATATTAATGAATGAAAAAACATGCTCTATTATTCAAATAATGTAAAAACCAGAGCAATTTAAGCAAATTAATGATCACTATACAATCAAAAAAACATGAATTATTTATGACAACTGGTAATATGCATCAAAGCAGGGCCCAAAACCATAATAAAGATTAATAACTAGAACTTATCAAAATAACGTTTTCACCCATTTATGAATACAGTGATAATGTTAAGTGTAAGGATGAATGAAGCAGCTCAGCTAGGTGCATGTGATACCTATTGTCTTTCTGCTTGGATGCGAGGCTCTTAAGAAAATTGTATTTCCACACATCGTCCTAAAATATACAGATATAGCATAGTAACTTAACGGCTTAAATTACTGGAGATATTTCTAGAGGTGTCACTTACAGAGAGTTCAAAAAATTTTAATTTCAAGATGGAATAAATCTGATTAGTGAGTTGTATCTTGTAATTATAAGCTCTTATGAAGTAAAATTCTAACCTTCTTAGATTGCTAAAAATATGCTATTTTCAGATGATGTAAAAATGTAATATTTTTGCCCAAGTGATCCAAACTGAGAACCGAAATATGGAACACGTTTGGATAATTGTGACACCTCTATGTATTTCCATTGACATCTGAAATGCCACGCTCTTTGCTAGGGGCCTTAGACATCCTACTTGTGTAATGAAATCTAGTATCTCAGTCAATGAATATGATTGTTTACTTCTCAGCCTTTTCACAAATACAGTACATCGAATCATCTCATATTGAGTGACATAACTTTTTATTACATTATAGCTACCTGGCCTCATAACTAAAGAGGGAGGCAATGATTTATTATGAGTATCTGTTATATTTTGATTTGGAATCACCCCATCCTGTTGAAAACCATACCACACAGCAAACATGACTACTCAATCATATTGTACATCTCTATTACTATTACCCAAAAGGGTATTACGCAGTCACAGAAGTCTTGTATGCAAAATCAGTGTCACACAAAAAACAGTTGAACTTAAACAGGTTAACACCAAACTGTTTGTTAAAGCAATACTGATTAATAAAAAAGTTGCAAATGGGAATACCCTACATCAAATTTCTACCACACAATATATAGAGCAAAGTACACATTTGCTTGCAGGTTCTCAAATACACAAGGCTACAGGCATGTTAGTATATAAAGCACTCAGCCAAACCTTAAAAAGTCTACAATAAATATACCAACACTTTGCCACAACTTATGACAGATATTCTAGCTAGTGTACAGAGCTATGCATACAGAGCTGACCAATAAACATGACACCTATCAATTTACCATAACAATTAGTTGTTTTATTGGTCAATTCTGTATATATGGCAATTTTAAACTTCACACCACAAACACACCTAGTCATGCAAGCGTTCAGTCATTTCTTCGGTGCAACATGTCTAAGGAAGTTCATCTGTCGCATTGTGGATAAGTTACTTACTGATGAATCACCTGCCGCATCAGGACGCAACCTTTTCAAAATGCTGTCTATTGTTTGACGTCTGAAAACAAAGATTGACTGAGGTGAGATACGTGCGAATCAGTTATCAAACTAAAATCCCACAAAGTACTATTGGAAATGATCTTTAAAGTTCTAATAATGAAGCCTTAAACCGTATATTTAAAAAAAATAAGCCAATTGGTCAGATTAAAGTTTTTTTCTGGTGAATATTTTTTCTGCATCAATAAACATGTATTCTATAGAATTCCAGCTAAGTTGTTAGCACCTGGAGACAGCCTCTTTGAAAAAATCACCAACTTTGGGGGTGTTCAACCTCCGAATCAACTTAATTTTTTTATCACCAGTTAAATATTAATTCTGTCATACATCACCACTTTTTACAAAGGTCAAAATGTGACAGTTGTATCAAAAATTTGCCTCTAACCAACAATGTCCTTTTAAAGAAAATATTGAATGATTCTGCTCAATTTAATGCCTAAATGCAATTCCAAATGGAATTTTATTTGCTAAACCCCTTTAAGTACAAAACATGGATAGGTTTGCTCAAAATATCACTGTCAATCAGGAAAATGATATGGAAAATACTGATTATCAAAACTGAACATTCAAATTGAGTTTTGGATTCAAACAAATGATGAATTGAGAAAGATTACTGGATTTGGAGATTCAATAATCTCAAAAGTGCAATGTTTACAGAGACTTACTTGGCACAGAGCCCTCCTCCAGGTGGGAGGCCCTCTATTTCTTCATTGTCCAGCACATGCATTATGTATGGCAGGTCAGCATCGTGGGGCTCAGATGAATTTATGATATCTGAAACATAACATTTAACAAGCAATAAGTATTACATCCAAATTTTCTCTGCAGGATTTTGTGTTCAAGGTACAAATTTTCTTTTTCATCAATATAGACCAAAATTTGTCCAAATATGCCTATTTTGTATGATTTTTCATATTTTCAAATGTGTTTCAAGTAAGTGCAAAACTCACAAGTGAGTACAATACTCAAAATTTAAATATAACAAACCTTTGAATATCGATAAAATCAAATACAACAATTTAATGTATTATAGTTTTCTGATGTTCTAAAGAAAGAAAACTGTAATTTATATGTAGCATTCTGTAATATACCTTGTATCTTGGTTTCTAGAAGCTTATCTAAATCTTGCTCTTTTTTCTTTTCATCTTCGGACACTGGTTGGGCTCCAGGGAGAGCTACTATCACTATGCTCATGTTGTCCCGACTCCCCTGCAACATACATGGAATATTAGTTTCAGGAATATGGTGACAATGGATAGAGTCAGTAATCAGTATAATAAGTTCAGTATTTAGGGCAAGTCGTGACTAAAGGTGTATAAATGAATATTCAAGATATTATCATTATGACCTGCTGAGCTTTTGTTTAATTTGAAAATGTGTAATGGTAATGCGTCTATCACATTTGATCTACTGCAACTATACGGCGAGAGAAGTACTATAGTACTAGCAAAATGTATCATTTTTCAACATTCACTGAAGAGTTCTCAATATACTTGATTAATCAAATCTTTTTAATTGTTGTAAAAGTGATGCAAAATATAGATTGAATATGAATTAATATTACCCCCCAAGATGAAGTCATTAACCAATTTAAATGAATTTGATCATTCATTCTGTCAATTCATAATAAAAGATTTCATCATATGACAAAAGAATTACTTTGACAAGGCTAAAGGCAGATTGAGATCAAGTGAAATAGTGTGGTTAACCACAACTTTCCCAAGGTATGACATCAGAGACATGGGGTTATGAGAGTTCACTGATAGTCATTTCAGGAATTGGCTAATTGACAGGAATGATCTCATTCCCACTTTCATTAAATGCCATCATCCAGATACACCAACTCAGGACAACCAGGAAAATTCGCAGTCATGATTCTCCAAAAATTGTAAAATAAACTCAATATTTAATATAATATTTAGAAGTGTTGTCAAAAGAAATATGGGGTGGGCCAAAAAATGATACCCATTCTGAATATACACAACTTTTTTCAGAAAAATGTAACACAAGCAATCGTCATTGTTTCTGAGTACGGCTCAATAATTAATGTCACACTCAATCCATGCATTCCTTCTCTGAATTACAGTTGAAGTATGTTAACAAGATCACAAATATTGAGTGGAATCCTGCAAATTTCTTGATAAATGCAAATAGGAGACTATTTAGTATCCAAGAAACTTAAATGTGACATTTTTCAGAAAAAAAAGTATTCACGTTTATACTGTACAATCAGAATTGGAGATTTTTTGGGCCCACTCTGTATTTATTATGTTACATATGTAATACAGATCAGAATGTCTTGACTATAAAATTATATAACACTTCACATGAGATGACCCTGTAAAATGTGCAGATTATTCAGGACTCAAGTTTACCAGGATAAAGTCTTAATCTATGTTAGATTATAAATGAGATCATTCTTGGGTGTGTACCAAAAGTTCTTGGAACTCTAATCTGAGAAAAAGCTGTTCTGTTTATAAACAACATGAAGTAAAATAGACTTGTACAATGTACTTACTTGTTATCAATCATTACAGCAAGGGAAATACAAATAAACCCAAAGATAACAATAAGTATGTTCTAGTCTTAAAAATAATGAAAATGAAGTTTTAATTGAATTGTAGAATTAGATGATCTTATTTTGAGGAGTTAAGTAAATGTTACCTTGTATAAACAACAGTCAATAACTTGATTACAGATGGTCTCTAGATTATCAGTTAGACGAATTCTGGACCGCACAAAGTTGGAGAGGTCATCATTTGTCATAACATCCCAGATCCCATCACAAGCTAACACGACAAATTCATCTTGATCTGTCCTTGCGATAATATTAATTTCAGGCTCTGGTGAAACTAATTGTTCAACTGGACTCTTGCCCTCAACATTTTTATAATCATAATCCCCTAAAGCTCTGGAAACTGCAAGTGATCCATTTACTCTTTGAATCATTACACTTCCTCCAGCATTTTGAATACGCTCTTTCTCTATGGGATTACTAGGTTTGTGATCCTGAGTATGAAATTTCACAGCTCCACTGGAAGTCAGAAGTCCACGTGAGTCGCCACAGTTTGCAAAATAAATATGTGTTGGTGATACTAATGCACAGATGGCTGTAGACCCACTCTTATCTTCTCCATTCAGCATTTCAGGGATTTTTCGCATTTTTTCGTCCAACTCCAAAAATCCATTTTTTATAGCCTGTATCATAAGCGGACTGGTAGGATCTCCCTGTTCTAAGGCTTTCATAAAGTCTTTATTATTACCAATTGATTCTATTAATTTTCTTGATGCATACTCCGATACATTTTTACCCGCATGACCGTCAAAGACGGCAAAAAATGACCAATCAGTAAGACCATTTTCAAGGCCGATCATAGCTGTATGTGCATCTTCCATCTCAACACGCCAGCCTTGCATGCTGGCGAGGCCAAAGCGTAGGCCATTGCCACCCCCTGTTTCATTATGTTTTTCAGTCTTGGGCTTATCTAAAAATGCTCCCATGCTTTTGAACTTTTGAGGTATAAATGTAAAAACTTCAACTCCTCTTCATCAGCAAATTTTCTACCTTCACAATCAACTATCAGCTCTATGTAATCACTTAAATGTTGCTCCCCTATGAGTCAGGACCTGAAATAATTCTAATAAGTCAGAACTGTTTTGCAACAATGAACGATTCATATCAACAAAGCAGACTGAGGTGACATCTACGAATAAGAAAGTTAGCCTTCTATGTTGCATCACTAAAGTCAAGGCTTTTATAGGTCACAATCACCTAACAATTTGCATTTACTCCTTATCGGACAATCTCAGATTATGATATATCAGATTCAATCTAAAAAACTGTCTCGTGTATATCAGCTGAAACAGTAATTGATAAATTAAAGAACACTTACAGGTATAGCACTAATTCATCAAAATCAAATCATACAAACTCTTGACATGTGGTTTCTCAGGCTAGATCTAAAGTTGAATATTTTGAAACTTTTTGACTTGCTAAAATTTGCACCAAATTTGAGAGGAGGTACTTGCAAGATACAGAGTATAAAAATAATGGGAATCAATGCGCATAGAAAGGAGAACCCTGTCCGTCGTTGCATAGATTTGCACTGAGTTTACCTGCTTCTAAATCATGTGAAAAACCAAAACATTTCTTTGGTTGAAAGTCCAACGGCAATCAATATGGCGATTTAGAGTCTTCTGCGCTTGCGCAAGCGAATTCCCCGGATAAAATTCTATTTCAGGCGATGACGTCAGTCTTATCCAATCAAGAAAATGGATACATTTTGGTGGCAAGGATTCAAAGTGTAAATAATAACACGTGTTTTATCTCTTATTTCATGTGTGGCCTTTAGACTTGGACTGTCAGTTCATTCATTTACTCTTCCGATGATAGATGGTTCAAATTCGACCCAGTTCTTTATGGTTTTGTAAGCAATTAGTCTACTTCAGGATGAATGATAATTAGAATTTACCAAGTAACCAATCAGAAAACAGTTTACAAATTCCTTTGGTATTTTTAGAGAAAAGTTTAAAAATTATGAAAAGTTAGGCTCCTTTTATTTAGAGTACATTGAGGGTCTATATAGCAAAAAATGGAATTTGACAATGACTTTTTGCTGGCTCTACAACTCCAGGAAGAAATGGATTCTGAAAAAATCATTGATCCAACCTCGCCAGATAATAAAAAATTCAGAAGTCCTCTGCCAAAAAAAGGTGGAAAAACTTTATCAATTGTTGATCCCCAGTGGGAGCTGATAGATCCTGTGCCTGATATACACGCTCTCTTTCAAGAATTCAATGCCACTTTCTTCTGGCGAAGACTTGAAGGTATCGAAGTCAAATGGAGCCCACGGATGACATTGTAAGATGTTTTTAGATTTTTAGGCTCAGGTATCCATGGGCATAGCCCCCAGTATGCCTGGTACGCACAGATGGTTGCAAATACAATCCAAATACAACCACTAATTTCAAAATTTCAGGTCCTCCTGAACAATCTTTTATTGTTCCTGTCGTGACATACTACCATGGGCATTCAATCATAAAAATAGAGCTACGCCCATGGTATTGATATGTAATTACAGTATAAAGCAAAATTGAAGGTTGTCAATTCAGAGTCCTAAGTAGAAAAGTTTTTTCATCAGGGTCTCAGACTCGATAATTTTAACATGTTCCCTGGCCTATGATGTACAGGATGCTGGACCATACTTGAAAAAGGGGTGCATTTTTTCAGAAAATTAAGGTGGCCATGTCTCCTCATGTTTCAGTATTTTGAGAATTCAACATTTTCCAAAAAGAACACTCGTGAACTCTAGTGCGAGCAAAGAACATCTCTACATTCTGAACTTGGGAATCTATAATACTTGAGGCTTATGCAGTAATGTTGTTTCAAAAGTCAAAATTTGTCTGCTCTAGCCATACACATAATTCTTACCTCAATCAATTTTAACCATCACCCGAAACATTCTCCAAGCCATAAAATTGTAGAGGTATACATTTCACTATTCAGTGTATTACAAAAAGTCTGCCACGAACAGCTGTGTGCTCCTATTTGGGTCATGGTGACCTGTGTTCTGTTGATTCAAAGTGCTTCATTATATTCTAGGTGTGCTGGTGTGTGCTCTTATAAGGGTCGAGGTGACCTGTGTTCTGTTGATTCAAAGTGCTTCATTATATTCTAGGTGCACTGGTCTGCGCTCTTATAAGGGTCATGGTGACCTGTGTTCTGTTGATGCAAAGTGCTTAATAATATTCTAGGTGTGCTGGTGTGTGCTAAAGGGTCATGGTGACCTGTGTTCTGTTGATTCAAAGTGCTTCATTATATTCTAGGTGTGCAGGTGTATGCTCCTATTAGGGTCATGGTGACCTGTGTTCTGTTGATTCAAAGTGCTTCATTATATTTTAGGTGTGCTGGTGTGTGCTCTTATAAGGGTCATGGTGACCTGTATTTTGTTGATTCAAAATGCTTCATTATATTCTAAGTGCACTGGTGTATGCTCTTATAAGGGTCATGGTGACCTGTGTTCTGTTGATTCAAAGTGCTTCATTATATTCTAGGTGTGCTGGTGTGTGCTCTTATAAGGGTCATGGTGACCTGTGTTCTGTTGATTCAAAGTGCTTCATTTTATTCTAGGTGTGCTGGTGTGTGCTCTTATAAGGGTCATGGTGACCTGTGTTCTGTTGATTCAAAGTGCTTCATTATATTCTAGGTGTGCTGGTTTGTGCTTATAAGGGTCATGGTGACCTGTGTCTGTTGATTCAAAGTGCTTCATTATATTCTAGGTGTGCTGGTTTGTGCTTATAAGGGTCATGGTGACCTGTGTTCTGTTGATTCAAAGTGCTTCATTATATTCTAGGTGTGCTGGTGTGTGCTCTTATGAGGGTCATGGTGGCTTGTGTTCTGTAAGGCTGAGTGTCCCTCTACTCAAACTGAGACCCAGAAAGGACCTTGTTGAGACACTATTGGTAGGCACATTTTCTAATTATCTTACACTTATATCCCCTGTTATTCAATAAAGGGTATAACTATCTGTGAAAGTCAAGTGTTTTCTTATTAAGTTACAGAACCATTACCCTGAGTACCGAGGTTAGTTCTAAAGTAATCTGTGAATAGTTCTTTTACAGTTCAACAGCCCTGCCCCTACCACTGGTGGCCGTCACATGGTCACAGCCTAGGTCATAACCAACCGCACTGCTATTTTCTCAACCAATCAAACAGAAAGAAATATGTTTAGATTAAACGTTGGTGTCAATTCCTCAGAGGAAATGACCATAGAAAATTATGTTTTTTTCGATGGCAAGTTCTGCATGGTCTGGTTGGCTCCGAAAGTTCATTGGTTTCTCTTAGACTTTACACGTGTCGATTAAAAAAAGCAATTGTCAAAGTCAAATGTCATCAAAGTCAGTTATCATCTTGGGTATGGCTACATGAACATGTTCACAATGTTTATAACAATTCAGGACTTTTACATAAAAATGCTTATTTGAAAACTTATTATTTTCAGCATGAGATGATCCATGCCTATCTGTTCGTAACAGACAACAACAAGGTCAGTTATTACATTCTTATTATACATCGTTATCATTATAGTCTCCAATTTTTTGTGCCCAATGTTTGGTGGACAGTCTTATATCTGTTAAAATAGATAACCTTAAGAATTTCAGTCCACATGCAACCACAATTCAAATCATTATCCCATCGAACGAAGTTCGGAGGGATATAGGGAATGCCTCCGTCCATCCATCCGGGCAATAACTCAAATACCGTTGGCCCGATTTTGTTCATATTTTGTACACATATACCCTATGGGGTAAAAGTTCTGCGCGAAAGCCGATTTTCAAAATGACCGCTCATTTAAAAATGGCTGCCATTTTAGTGCCGATTTTACATTAATTTAGGTGCAATATGTAAAACTGTAATAGCAATATGTTTTAAATGTAAAAAAATTATATAGGACATTGATAAAGCTAGAAATGTAGACAAGGAGGATTGGCTCCCAGGATCGAAACTCGATATTTTCCAACAATGAAAACGTCGAAATGTCGTTATTTTCTGAAATTAAAACCGACTATAAATTCAAAATAAACAGTTCAAAAGATTCGAACCAATATCTCGATCATTTCTTGTGAGTTTTGGAATTTTTCGTTTGGAAATAAGACCAAAATTCACGATTTAAATGTTGAAGTGAACAAAATGGCGGCTGTTTGAATTCGAATTTTGTATTACGACATACCCATATATGGGACAGAATATCGGTGGTGCACTCTGGGAGCCAATCCTCCTTGAAATGTAGATATTAAAGAAGCACATGGCAGCCATCTTGAAAAATGGCGGCCTTTACTCATTATTTTACGATTTTTGCTGTAACTCAAGAAGTAGTGGAGCGATTTTGTTCATATTTGGTTTTTGAAAAATTTTGAAAAATCATGACACTTTTGGTAGAAGGCGGCCATTTTGAAAAATGGCCGCCATTTTAACGTATTTTATTATAACTAAATAAAAAGTGGTGGAGCGATTTTGTTCATATTTGGTATGTGAATACTATAAGCATGGTACACTGTCTAATGACACTTTTGGTAGAAGGCAGCCATTTTGAAAAATGGCCGCCATTTAAACGTATTTTACTCGGCCTTTACTCATTATTTTACGATTTTTGCTGTAACTTGAAAAGTAGTGTAGCGATTTTGTTCATATTTGGTATGTGAATACTATAAGCATGGCACACTGTCTAATGACACTTTTGGTAGAAGGCGGCCATTTTGAAAATTGCCACCATTTTAAAGTATTTTACTATTACTCAAAAAGTAGTGGAGCGATTTTGTTCATATTTGGTATGTGAATACTATAAAAAAAAAAGCATATTACTTCTTCTGATGACAACTTGGCTAGTGAGCAACCATTTTGAAAATGGTGGCCTCTCTTAATGATATTTGCTATATATTTCTTTTGTAAAAATGCCAGCCATTTCTGTTTGATGGGATTCGCTACGCTTTGGCGTTGCCGTTTTTCTGGTTTATCTTGAAGAAAAATATGTCCATTGTGTCAAGTCCCTGTACTTTAGGTAACCATGAGAATAAGAGTGGGTGTGTGAGTAAAGTGGCTTGATGCAGGACTATATCATGTACATGTAGTAATATTCTGAAATTGCTGATTTATGGATTCACCCATACAATTCTATTGTCGTTATAGGACCATGATGGACATGGGCCAGAGTTCCAAAAACACATGAACAGAATCAACAATGAGACGGGATCTAAAATATCTGTAAGTAATATTAATATCTATTCTAGATGGGCTTTTTGGCTTACCTATTTTTCCAATTTGGAAATGTTTTGTAGGTTATGCTGATTGGATAATATTTTTTACATAATTGTATTTTTTATTGAATTTGGTTTTATGAATTTATATTGTTTGTTAGTTGTTGGCAAACATGGTGATCCTATAGAGTCACCCACCAAATGGGGTTTGTTGTACATTGTCTCTTCTGGGAGGTGTTGATCCTCTTTGCATGGGGGTTTGTTAGGAAACATCACAGATATACAATAAATGACTGCACTAATTCATTTAGGACTACATGTATCGGTGGACATTCTGCACACAGTGTTTGAATTAAGAAGTATAGACCGAAAAGCAGGTGTTATATTGACAAATATACCTACAGGGCTAGGGACAAACGCCTTCTGTTTTGAAAGCTTTTGTGTCAGCCCTAAAGGATATATTTGTCAATATATTACCTGCTCTGAGGTCTGTATAGATTCGAACATGAAAAGTCACTAAAATTTTGGGAATATTCATTATATGACGTCACACATTACTCATATTACCAGGGGTAGTGTTGATGAATATACCCCAGGTAAAATGTTGACTTTGTTCACAGTTTATAGAAAGAATAAAATTCAGTCATGTTCGAATATCTAATTTCATAGGCAATATTGCAAAATGAAGTTAGATTTCTTTTGTAGTAACATCATGTATTCTTCATACTTTTAGATATATCACACATTCCATGATGAGGTAGACCAATACCGCCAGCACTGGTGGCGATGTGATGGTCCCTGTATAACAAGAAAACCATACTTCGGTTATGTACGCCGTGCTATGAATCGTGCCCCCTCCCCTCGGGACCCTTGGTGGGGCCAGCACCAAGCAACTTGTGGCGGCACCTATGTGAAAATTAAGGAACCAGAGGGATATGGGAAAAAGAAGACAAAAGAACCTAAAGAATCAAAAAAAGAAAGTTAGTGCTTTATCATTCCATCTTCCTAATTTATTTATATGTTATATATTTCAATTTATTTCAGTTTATTTTTAGGGGTTCCGTGTTTACTTTGAAATAAAGTTTTGTTAAAGCGTTTGTAAAAATTTATCAAAGCATCGTAGATCAATGTTAAAAATGACCACAAATGCTTAACAATTCAGTTTTGCCAGATCGATTTTTTGAAAGAACCATCATACCAACATGGTGTTCCACATTTTTTGATAAAATATGTTCCTGTATTTCAGAGGTAAAAAGCCCAGTCCCTGCGGGTATGCAGGATATACGTACAGCATTTACGGGAAAGGGACACATACTAACTGACAAACCCACAGGTACCAAGGACAAAGGAAGCTCACAAGTGGTTAAACCCATAGGTAGCACCAAGGACTTTAACAAAGACATTGGTGCATTATCTAAAGCAATTGGCCATGATGGAAATATAAGTAATAAAACTAAATCCGTTAGTCCTGCTCTATTTGGAACTAAATCTAAAGAACCTAGTGTGTTTAGCAGGATCTATGGTTTCAAAGGACGCGATGAGCAAAATGATTCAGGGACTGTCTCAATTTCCAGGGTGAGTCAGCCACCACCTAGCTCAACTATAACAGGTCAAGGTCAAATCTCAGGGACTAAAAATGGTGCAAGTAAGCCAAGTGCAGTATTTCATGAAAGAAAGTTGTCATTTTATAATTGGTGGAATAATGAAGGTAGTTATGAAAGGGCTATTGGAAATACTAATACAACTCCAGGAAGTAAAGACCATGAGACTAGATCGAAGCCCCCAGTATCCAATAGCCCAAGAGTAAAGCCTCAAGTACCAAATAACCCAAAAGTGAAGCCCGCTATATCAAATAGCCCAATAATAAAGCCTACTGTATCAGATAGGCTGAATACATTCACAGGGAAGGGGAAGCAAGCAGCTGTAACTCCAACATCAAAGTTGAGTGGTGGGAATAATCTTCTTAAACAGCTTGCATTAGAGAGGAAACAGAGAAACAATATGGCCGCTCAGCAGACGGCTCAGCAGTCGGCAAAACAGACGGCTCAGCAGACATTATCTGATACTAAAAATGACATATCCAGGAATATTACCAAAACCCCTGATAAAACTGAAACTAGTCCTATTCGAAAAAGAATTGAATCACCAAATACAATATCAAATTATTCAAATAATAGTGCAAAGAAAAGTAAAACTGATATTTTGGGTGGAATTATGAAAAAGGCGGACCAAGTTTTTAACAAAAACAAATCCAACTCAGATTCAGATTGTGACATGGAAAATCTTGTGCTATCTAGTGTGATGAAATCAAAATCAGAAGTCAAGACAGAATCTGAATATGATAATATTAAAGATGTTGGTGCTAGTTCAGGACAACGATCTGAAGAAAAAGAAATGGACTCCAAGAAACGTCACCATAGCAAAGACGCCTCAACAGTTGCTAAGACGTCAAAAAAGTCAAAAGTTGATTACTGTGATACTTCAGATAGTGATGATGAGCCTAGCTTGGATAAAACCAGGATGAAAAACAGGCGTAAGAGTACCATTATAGATGTTGGCTTGTTACCAGATGAACCAAATGGTGAAGAAAGAACTGCAAATGTCTCATTGTCCAAACAATCATTTGGTATTTTACAAATCAGCTCAGACTCAGACTCTGAATTCTTTCCAAAGATGAAGAAAAACAAGTTTAAATCTGTGTCAGCCCGTGGACGGATGAAACGGAAATCGAGCAGTGATTCTGATATATCTGATGTCCAAGTTCAAAAAAATTCAACAAAATCCAAAGTTAATGCTGTATCAAAAATTTCAAAGACCAAAACGACCACAAATAATACAGCAACTAAGTCGAACTCTATCGGAGCATATGTATCAAATGGTGTACTTCAGCGAACTGGTTCAACTTCAACTTCTAAAATGCCATCAGGTTCGAGTACACAAATACCAAAGAAAACAGAATCTGAGCCGCAAGCCTCAATGGTGCCGTGTCCAGTATGTGGTGAATCTATTAAGTCATCAAGTATGAATGAACATCTTGATAACTGTTTGAACTAGTTATACAAAGGTACTAACCAGATTGCATGATACTATGAGTTTGCTTGGCAGTATCATTTAACTTTGTGATATGGTCAGCTCAGTGTGGATCCTTAAAATGTTCACAATGTGATGTGGTCTTGTTATTCATGTCGAGCACTGACCAAAATCTGATTGAATCTCTTGAATTTAAATAATGTCATTCTAATGTCCTCTAATATTGCTCAAATATACATGACATGTACATGCAATTTTTCAATTTATACAACATGATTATCATATCATAATGCACAATTGTTTTATGAGGTTAGTTGTAAAAATTAAGATGCTTTATTGTTATATGAAAAAACTATAATTTATGTATTTATGATATGATGATTCTACAAAGCTGAAATTCTTGTGGAATGGTGATGTTCAGTATAGAAAAAAATGAAATAAATCAAACTTAAAATTGACGAAATCCCCACATATACATGGGCATTTAATGTGCAGAAATTGACTGAGATAAAAATATAAGCAATAAAAAATTATGTAATATCATGACGACTTGATAGATGGCAATCATTTTTTTTATATTTCATTTTGCGCTTTAGTATCAATTCAATGGGGGAGGATGGGCATTCTGTAAACAAAGGGATGGGATGCCACCATATAACCCTACTAGAGCTATTTCTAAGTGTACAAGGCATATTGTCCCCTCCCAATTCGAACAATTTGTTGGGAGTATGAACACTGAAATAGATCACTTGTCTTTAAAGGGTGACGCATATCGTTTAGCAAATCGAACGCTCGTTTCTGGTGTTGCTCACCGTTTAGTATAAAAGGCCCGATCCCGGAATAATACTCAAGGGTTCACAGGTTCGAGATCGTTGTGTCAACACCTCTAACTGTTATATAGCATAAGTATATAATAGATCGTCACACATTTATAAAAGGGTGATTTTTATTTTGACAAATCAATTCCACATTTATGGATGAAGTTTCAGGATCTTCTATTTGTGTATAATAAGGAAAAATTGGCATCTAAATTTCCCCATAACGTAATAGCACACAGCTTGGCATATGAAATATCCTACAAATGAAACAAAGCAAGACAAACCGGTTTCTAATACAAGGATTTATATTGGCTGTTGTACATGTATTCTTTGAACGCAATCACTCTTTGGATAACGTTTTCAAAATCATTATAAACGGATTACTTTATCTCAAAGACAATTTCAATAAACTGGATTTTACAGAACTCCCCTTATTTCTTAAAAATGGACTGATCCAGTTGATTCGCCTGGAGCCGCCATATTGTTTTTATACGGGATGCTAATCGGAACCCTTTAACCATTGATTACATCATGAAAATGAGTGAAATATAAGAATTGTATTCTTAGCTATATCAGAGATTTTGGGCCCCTGGTCTGACAAAGTTGCACCCTGAAATCAACAACCTCTAATTGTTTTTCAAGATGGCCACCATGCTTTTTTAAACAATTTGATGTTCAACTTAATCCATATTCCATTTAATTTATATGTTGTTACTAAATGTTGTTACTACTGTAAAATTGACACTGAAACTGTTGGGCATTTTGAAAATGGCTACTTTTTCTCTCGATAGACCCAATTTTTATACGAATGTTGTGAATTCATATACCTTACAAATATCTATGTTTTAGAGAGTATCTTATACCTTATGTTTATACATAAAATCTTGATTGAAAACCCCAATAAATTATTCAAACAACCTGATGCCTATGAGTTGATAATTGTGTCTGCATATAGCCAGACCGAGTGTAAAGACATAACAATAACAACTTTTTATAAATGCACCATTTATTGGTTCATATAATACAATTCTATGCACAGAGGTATAATAAATAATGTTAGTAGATGTTAAAATTATTAATCTTATCTATTGCCTTATAAAGGGTTATTCATAAGTTTCCAAATACAGGGTGTCTTAAACATGGAACAAGGTTACAGTCGAGTTGATTCCACAATTATTTAATTTTATTTCTTTATATTCTCTAAGTATACAAGAGTTATCAATACTCCATGTGCGAGCACATGTTCATGTATTGTAAATGTACTAGCACATGTTCATATATTGTACATGTACGAGCACATGTTCATGAACTAGCACATGTTCATATATTGTACATGTACTAGCACATGTTCATGTACTGTACATCTACTAGCACATGTTCATGTATTGTACATCTACTAGCACATGTTCACGTATTGTACATCTACTAGCACATGTTCATATATTGTACATGTACTAGCACATGTTCATGTATTGTTCACGTACTAGCACATTTTCATATATTGTTCATGTACTAGCACATGTTCATGTACCGTACATGTACTAGCACATGTTCATGTATTGTACATGTACTAGCACATGTTCAATATTGTACATGTACTAGCACATGTTCATGTACTAGGACATGTTCATGTACCGTACATGAACTAGCATATGTTCATGTACTGTATATGTACAAGCACAGGATAACATACTGGCACATGACTTGTTCATGCATCAGCACATGTTCAACCCATCTCTGGTTATCTGTCTATTATTTTCCTCATAAAAACTATAAATGTAATATTGCAGCATTTATTGGTATTTACAGAGCATATAATACAAATTGTTAATAGATTTATCCTTTCCAATGATATCCAAATTGCTAGTGAGGTTCAAACAGTTGAGCATTGGTTACAATTTCTCAGTAAATGTCAATCAATAGAGTTTAATTATCCAAAGTGAGCCTATTAACTTTACTAGAAAACACATTACATTATTTGGCATTCAGTTACTATAGATATTGTTTACAAATGTTCTTGGCAAAAATTGAAGGCTCTTCTTACATTTAAAAATAAAAAAATGATGTGTTTAGAAAATCACAAATGATAGATTTGCTAACTAAGTTCATTGTGATTTTGTGATACAGGCTGTATCTAGTATATAATATAGTGCAGTATACAACATTTGCCTTTAAGGACTGGTATTTATTAAGTCCTTGGATAACATCTTCTCTCCTCCCTCCTTGTGGGAGAGTATGAGGGAGGGAGGGAGGGAAGGGGGTGAGAAAAATGACTTGACATTATGTTCTATTTTGGTATATTGGTTCCTACTTGTCATAATCCAAAATTTTAACATAATTTCGAGTACCAGTGTATAAAATTTTAGAATACAGGGTGTCTCAAGACAAATGGAACATAAACTTGTTTATTAAACATGTTCTTTGGGACACCCTGTACTGTATTCTCTAGATTGAAAAATATAATTCCTGGCTAAATTCAAGATGAAACGTATATCTAGTGTTGGTTGGTTTACTATGTTAATAGTGATTTGTTTGTATTTATAAGCTATTTACATATTTGTATACAATTTATGTACAATGAGTTATACAATGCTGTATATATAGTAAAACCATTGATTTCCCGACAATTTGATTCAATGAACATTCACTAAACATGAGTGCGTTCCATCAGCAAAATCATGTAAAATTACAAATTTTCAAATATCTTAATTTTGTTTGATGATTTTTGTAAGATAATGTCTATATCGACACATAAGCATCAAACGGTTTTCTTATAACTTATTTTGACGTCTTGAGTATAACAGTGCTGGGTACAACATACAACCGTATATCGGTGGTGGTACTTTGCCCACAGCATTTAGGGATGTCACCAAACACAAAATAATTCTAGTGGTAAAAAGTAAATGTGAATAAATTAAACCCTACCCCATTATACAATAATTTGTATGTTATATACTAGTTCAGTATTTCACACAATTGTCATTCTTAACAAATATATTTTTAATAATTACAAACATCGAAGACCACTTTTGATTTCCAACAGATTCTCTATTCTGTTTATTTTTAAATAATAATAAAAAGAGGTATTTAATTGCAGAGAAAATATAAAAGTTTAATAATGAAAACATTTACATTTATATGAGCTAAATATTTAAATAAAGGTTTTTCACTCCATATGTAGCACACTTCATCATCTGTATTCCATTCAATGCAATGTATATGTATGTACAGTATACATATACAGTATATATATAAATATGTATAGGATATACAGTATCAAAATCATAAACAGTATATTACATTTGAAAAATAATATTTCACACTTAAACAATATATTACTGTATCACCCATCAAACACAATGTTAATTCGGGAGGTGAAGCTATATATTCTTAAGAGAACTTGTACTTGAACATGGAGAATTATGGTCCTCTGGGGAGACCCTTAGTACTTACTTGCCTAATTGAGTATTAAGGTATAAGGCAAACAGTTGAAACTACATGTAGGTCCCTGTATAAAACAATCGAGAGGAGACAGTCATCCCCGGGGATCATTAAATATTACATGTTCGTGTACAGACTCTCTTAATAATACATAGCTTATACGTAGCTAATATTGTGTCACCTTGTCACAAATGCCCTTAAATCAACTCTGTGTTTAAAACTGGTTGAGGATTTTGACCCCACAGATCAGAAATTGAAAGGTATTTCACTGGCCTTAATATTAGGATCAATATCAAGATTATACTTTTGAAAAGAGGAGCAAAATAAGTTCTTAAGCATTGAGCTTACTCAGTCTCATTTTGATTTGAGAATTTATCATTTTATGTAATATTTTCAAATATTTTGTATTTCAATTCATTATTTCATATTTAACCTTGCATCACGTCTCTGATCCATCCATTGCCTAATTTCAAAAATTTAATGGACAATCATCCCCCTTGCTTTACATAGTCAGGATGGCACCCGACCCAAAGTTGTATAATCTAAACATTGCCAACACAAGTCCCTGACCCATAATTCAATTTTAACCAGTAGACCAAAATCCCAGATCACCCCTATTTTCATACCCTATGAATTTGGGTTCTAAAATTATTTCTGCAGCATTTATTGCAAATGATCATGAATTTTAATTTGAAAAAATTTTAGGTTATGTGTTTCACTGGGGGGTATCGTGATGCAACAACACCGTGTTGTTGCATCAAGATGGCCAGACTTCCGGTGTTAGATTTTCGTACGATATTTTGTTTCCCAATTTAAACCCATTTCTAGGACGAGTTTCTCAATCAACCATACACGTGCAGTTAGCGCACGATCTATATTTAAAGAAATTGTCATTAGTATACATGTAGCATCATCAAGAAGCAATAAGTCCACGTTTTTAGTTCCTCACTATTGATGCAACAACACCAAACCGAAGATGCAACAACACTCCTCTAGATTTGAGCAATGATGCAGCAACACCAATTAATAGTATAATTTCAGAAGACCATAAATCTCGAGAGGAACAGATTTTTAAATGCTACGATTGCGACACCGTTACCCATTACCCATTTGCGTTCTTCTCAAGGCATTCAAAATACACGTCCTGCGGGCGAAGATTCTTTACATATATTTTCAAAATTTATACTTTTAAATATCATAATGTAATGGACGTTGTTCTATAACATAGTTCAATCGCCTTTAACATGGCAAGCTACAGTAACCCAATCTATTTTCATAAACCACTGTTCCATAGCTTGATGACCCTGACTCCATTTAGTATCATTCAAAATGGTGGACAAACATCTTTCGTTCTCGGTAAACATGACGAGCTATTGGAAATTATCTGTCATCCATCTATAGAACAGTGATAAACTAGATATAGTAGATGTACGTTACCACTGTTTATCAAAATATAGCTAAAACAGTTTCACTGTAACATTCGTGAGCTTATCGGAGAACATTTCAAAAAGCATGTTAATGAGATGATTGCTTCATCTATGATATGATATGATTCTTTATTTCCTCCAATTTGGAGAGCCAACGAGTAAAAACGTACCCTGCGCGCAGAGTCTAGTTAAACTACGAAGCTCTCTTTTAAGAAGTGAAGTCAAACGAATGCAAAGGGTAGTAAAAACGTCTAATTGACTTTATTAGGGAGGTTTAGTTACACGTTTAATGAAAATCTTGCACGGTGCACATGTAGAAGTATTGCTCTCTGTGGATTCGTTCTCTCCGACTAAGTAAAAAGGTAAACAAAAGTGATAGGATTTAGGGCCCAAAAAGGTAAACTGATAGGGGTACAGTAATCCCAAATTCCCCCCGGGCCCTCGGGACATATCATATTGTCTCTCGGAATAAAATCAATATTGAATCCCTCTTAGTAAATAACCTCTATACAATAGCATTGTATAACTGCAATATCATTAAACCAACACTCATCCTATACAACTCTTGAGAACGATGTACAACTCCTGGATAGCGTACACGACTCCTGAGCAGCGTATACAACTCTTCAACTTGATAAATGACGTCATACTTTGGGTGGGATAACAAAGGATATACAATATACAATTGTAGACCTCTCTTGAGGTCAACTGTCAAAATTGTATACCGATACTGTAAACCTTGAAAGTTCTGTTGACCGAGACCGGAGATCTAGGTCAACAGTACTCTCAGTGTTTACTGCTAAGGTATACACTTTGGTCAGTTGACCGAATAGAGAGGTGAACAATTGTTTGTTAGTCCGAAGAATATAATAATTGGACGAATATATAATCGAATATCAAGTGAACATATTTGATAATTAGAGGTTATGTCACTATCGTGGCATATATGCCCGAGGTCTCAGTGATATATGGCCCGATCTTGGGAGGGACATTGATCTCTGAGAACCGAGGGCATATGTGCCACGATAGTTACATAAACGATTTATAACATACCTATGATGATGTAGACTGGTCAGAGAGTACAGTTTTCTAATAGAATTGACAAACAAATGGTTTGAAAATGATTGAAATGAGTTGCTCGCGCAGTTTTATCTTCGATTGATTGGTTATGACGTCAGCGCCTTGACCAATCAGAAAGTTAGCGGGCGCGGGCTTTTCACAACTTATATTGGCCCGCTGTCTTGTGTACACTTTGCACTATGCATCATCATAGGTATGTTATAAGTAAAGTTATCATATTTTAGCAAAAAATCTCAAAACCGTCGAATACTTGTAATTTTTTACACAACTTATTTTTTCAAAATTAAAAAAAAAATCAACATTCAAAAAACATTTTTTCAAAAGTAGCGGTCAACAGTACCTAGTAGCGGTCAGCAGTACATATTGTTGTCCGCTCATCAACCAATCAGAAATGAGTATTTCAATTGAGGTACAAACAACAAAATGACTGATATCTGTTGTCTTTCCATGATTATATTCTTAGTTATTTGTATACAATGTCCATACGGTAAATCAAGGGCATTTAATTTAGAAAATGTTCGTATAATAATCTTTATTTTTCAGATACAAATACATTAAGAAACCAAACAAAATACGTTTCATTCATGGACCACGGACTCACGCGTTTTATTCATGTCCCGACCAACACCTGTAAACAGGACATAAACAGTTTCTCTTGTTGTTCAATGATACATTATATTGGCGTTTTTGCATCAGCACATTGGTGTTGTTGTATCATCGATAATAAACAGAGTGGTGTTGTTGCATCAATAGTGAGGAATTAAAACCGCGAAATTATAGCTTCTTGATGATGCTACATGTATACTAACGACAGTTTTTCAAAATATAGATCATGCGCTAGCTGCATGTGTATGATTATTGAGCAACTCGTCCTAGAAATGGGTTTAAATTGGGAAAACAAAATATCGTTCGAAAATCGATCACCGGAAGTCTGGCCATCTTGATGCAACAACACGGTGTTGTTGCATCACGATACCCCCCAGTGTGTTTGTTCTTAAGAACTGAAACATCTGGTGAAGACATGGATGTAACACAGACTTAACGCAAGATCATAAGATCTCTTTCATTTATTTTTTTAAATAGTCACTTCAGGTTTTTTCTTTAATTATCCAAGCTCAGATTACTTGAAGGCTTTGGTTCCATTTAATCAGCAGTAAATTCATTGTGTTAAAACATCTAGGCAGATATACATATATACATGATTCTATTTCTGGCTAATTGTCAAGCGCAATCATGCGTGCAGTTCTGTGTTGGTTTATCATTGAGCCCTTGTGCCTTATGCGGAGCCTCGAGGTTGTATATATTTCCATGTCTTGCCTAGTCCCTCGATGGATAGGCCTCTTGTCATTCTTGTAAGCAATCAACAATATAGTTGACTAATGTATGTATATATACTGTATATATTACATGCAGCACCATTTCATTTGACCATTAACATAATTTATGCATTAAACATGCAAATTAGAAAACAGTCTCGCAGTTAATCCCAACCCCCTGTTAATTTGTGGAACAGCTTTTCATCCAGAGTCTGATTCTTATCTCCTGATCGCATTGACAAGAAAATATATCCACCTAGGAACTCATGAACGATTTTACAGTCTGCGGTTAAACATGACATTGCAATGTTCTCTTGGTGTCCCGTGTTTTGGTCCTTGAATTTCACCATAACTTGTTTGATCTCCCAGTTCACGTACCATTCTTCCATTGTGTTGTAGCGCCATGTCTTATTGGCATCTCCAGAGTTAAGGTCCATACGCATTATGCGGTTAGAAGCTACTCCTAATAATTCCTGGAATATAAATGGATGGAATTTTTAATACACAAAATCAAAGGCATGTAGATTCTGTACAAAAAGTTCTATCTATCTGTAAAACATGTATTCAGATAAGATGAACCATGGGCACCCTGGGTATAGTCTGTCACGTGACTTCATGGATGACGTGTGCGCGAGTGATTCGCATTTTCTTTCGCTTGAGGTTTGTTATCACACTTTTTACATGTTTTAAGATTTTGTATCTCTGTGAAACTTGTCCCGTACTATCAATGTCTGAAGACGATCTAATTCACCAAATATCTCATCCAAGCGTGTCCGGTTAAAGAGAAATTCGCACTTTTGTGTCTCGCAAAATGACGTGTGCGCGAGTAAATCGAATTTTACGAAGGATGGGTGCGCGAGTCTAAAATATTTTTATTCACTTGAGACAATTCTGCAAGCTAAGGCAGAATACAACTCACGTGACATTTGTTTTTGTCATCTTAAAGTAGTATGTTAAAGAATAGTTTGCTATTTTGTAGATGTTTCATGTATGGCACATACATGTCTACGTTTAATGACAATAAATGTTTTGAAATAGCTTGTAGGGCTGTCCGGCATTGCAGGTGAATTAAAATTTGAACCAAAAATTGAATTAAATTTTTGGCGGTCTCATAAAACCGGCAGCATATTCATTTATTGACATCCCATACAAGGAGGGGGGTCAGAGTTGTTATGTGGTTACTCGGCATCCGCCACGATCAGAACCATGTAAGGAATAGTAAGGGGAAGCCCATGATACCAAGTAATATCAAATAATTATAGGAGCTTCTAACTTCTTCCGCATCCCCACCCTTGGTATACGCAGCTGACGAAATGGACCGGTATGGGTCAAAAGCTGGACCTGTACGGGTGAACTTTGGGGGTACTTAAAATCATTCGGAGGGATCATATATTTCAACTTAGATACGAAGAAGTCAATATTGAGCAAGTTATAGCTGTTTTAAATTCAAATAAAACCGTTAACCCGTACCGGTCCAGCTTTTGACCCGTACCGATCCATTTTGTCAGCTGCGTATACCAAGGGTGGGGATGCGGAAGAAGTTAGAAGCTCCTATAATTATTTGATATTACTTGGTATCATGGGCTTCCCCTTACTATTCCTTACATGGTTCTGATCGTGGCGGATGCCGAGTAACCACATTACAACTCTGACCCCCCCCCTTGTATGGGATGTCAATTAATGAATATGCTGCCGGTTTTATGAGACCGCCAAAAATTTAATTCAATTTTTGGTTCAAATTTTAATTCACCTGCAATGCCGGACAGCCCTACAAGCTATTTCAAAACATTTATTGTCATTAAACGTAGACATGTATGTGCCATACATGAAACATCTACAAAATAGCAAACTATTCTTGAACATACTACTTTAAGATGACAAAAACAAATGTCACGTGAGTTGTATTCTGCCTAAGCTTGCAGAATTGTCTCAAGTGAATAAAAATATTTAGACTTGCGCACCCATCCTTCGTAAAATTCGATTTACTCGCGCACACGTCATTTTGCGAGACACAAAAGTGCGAATTTCTCTTTAACCGGGACACGCTTGGATGAGATATTTGGTGAATTAGATCGTCTTCAGACATTGATGGTACGGGACAAGTTTCACAGAGATACAAAATCTTCAACATGTAAAAAGTGTGATTACAAACCTCAAGCGAAAGAAAATGCGAATCACTCGCGCACACGTCATCCATGAAGTCACGTGACAGACTATACCCAGGGTGATGGGGTTCCAAGAGAAAACTGGAAACATTCCGATGTATAAAAAAAACATATCGACATATGATTTAAGTAATTAGTATAACCATTCTGGCAATTTTCGCAGCAATTGTGCTCAGGAAATTCACTTCTTTTGGATTATGAAATGAAATAATTTTGTTATCAGCTAAATAATTTGAGATACATCAAAAATATTTACCAATTATTGCATAATGATAGCAATCTTGTAATTTTGATGATTTTGAATATTTTGTCAAATTGCTATCCACAATTAACTACAGTATTAGAGAAACTTGAACTAACGAGGTGAAGTCACAACTCACAACTGATTCTGTATATCGTTATATTCTCGTGAGTATATGATATATTCACTCGTTCCCTTCAGTGACTCGTGAATATATCATATACTCTCTTGAGTATAAACACGATATACGGAATCAACCATTATATAACCTTATATTATGTTATGGTTCTCTAATGTTTTATTCTTTAATGTCACTTTGTAAGGATATACAATGTATGTCAAAACAACCGACCATGATATATAAATATTAAAACGTTTTCCTAATGTTTCAATCATTTGTGGATCATTTAGTCTTTATACACTGATAGTACTGACCTCTTTCTTGCTTCCCCTGAACTTCACAATGAAATAAGTGACACCATATTCTGGCAGGGCTTGCCAAGCCTTGATGTAGTTCATCTTAGCTTCTATCAGATTCATGTCACGCACATTAGCATGGGCCTCTAAGATACGTTGGCTTATCTGGAATAAAAGTTCATTGTTTAGTAACAGTCAAAACAAGCTCTCTCTTTATTGCAAAACTAGATGGTTTGTCAAGGAATTAAATACAAACAAATTGAGTTTGAATTACACTGTAAAATCTTTATGTATAATACAGGGTGTCCGGAAAGTAAAGATACAAATACTCTAATCTTAAGAGATTTAGTTTTTTTGTAATGAAATCGCTACAGATTGTAGAGGAACTACATTACAATACATCTACCAACTTTTATAACATATAGTCTAAATGTGTGAAAGTTACGGTTGTCATGGTTATGGTTGTAAGGGGTATGCGGAGCAGTTCCAGGATATCGATAAATTGTGATAAATTGCTAAAATATAACCATTTGAAATAGTGTTTATTATTGTATTTCTTATCAGTTTTTTGTTTTGTTCAATATTGTATTCTTGCTGCCATAGTATTCTCTTTAGTAAAACGATATCATAGATACATATCAGAACTTTGTAATGTCACAAGTATAATCAAAGAAAAAGAGTATATAAGTGCTTAGAGAAAAGGGTCCCTGGATTAATAGGAAAGTCAATAGTGCACCTCCATGCCTCCACAGTCAATGCTCCAATACACAAAGCAAATAAAACAAGTCTTACAATTGACATTAACCTTTTTGTACAATGGCCCATATTCCCCTGATAATGTTCCGTTGGACTTCTACATTAATGAATATGTTAAAGCAATTTGTGAGAAGTTCAACATAAAAATGAGACTCGGCTGGAAGCCAATGTTATCAGCAATCTTAGAGACTGACAGCAAAGGTTTTGTCAGGTCTTGAATCTCCGGTCAAAATGCGCCAAGAATGTTTAGACAAAGGTGGAAAATACATAATACTGGATAACAGTAGTAATGTCAAATGATTAAATAATGTTACAGTACTAATCCTTTTACTGTTGTGGTACATAATTTGATGCATAATAGCAACAGACGACGGAGTGTCAAGATGATATGAACAGGAGAAAAGAATTATAAAACATAATTGTGACGCTGCTCCACATACCCGCGACTCCTGTTACCATAACAACCATAACTTTTTTATTTTGAAACAATTTATCAAGACAGTTGCAGGATAAATTGTTACAATGTCATTCTACAATCTGTAGCAATTTCATCTCACAATAAGTAAATCTAATGAAATTAGAGCTTTTGTATCTTTACTTTCCGGACACCCTGTATGTATACTAATGTTTGTTACATGTGGATATATATTTTCTACGAGAGTGATCACTCTTTTGGAAGGCTTAGATTAAAACTGCAGGCCTCTACCTTTTAAGTACCTCTCAGAAAATTCATAAAATCTATCTGAGATTATTTATTTTATTTAGAACATTGGGGGCCTTTATACCTTATCTTGAAAGACCCCATAGACATTTTCAATAAAACACTTCACTTACAACTTTATTTTTGATCTTCTTTAAGAACCTAGGAGCCACGAAATCTTCAGGTTGTATATCAACAGTGTTTGGATTAATGGAGGGTCCATGAGATGGGTGTTGCATACTCAAAAATGCAAGGATAGATTTCACCTCTGCGTCGTAGGAACTGTCTGCCATTGTCTTTCCTTTAGATGCTAATTTACATGCTGCCATCCACTTAGCATATTGGTCCTCCTAGAAATGAAAAATCAAAACTTTAGTATTTTTAAAAAAAAAGAATGTACTGAGATACAAGATTAAGTTATTTATAAGAAAATACAGGAAACAAAAAGTAAATTGAAAAATAATATCATTGTACAATTCAAGTTGTAACAATTACATTTAAATAATATGAATCAAATGTTTACATTACATCTATAGGATATAACAAATAAATATTTCAACAATAAATAATAACAAAGTACTCTTACATTTTCACACCTAATCCAATTTTCAGTTAAACCATCTGGAGACGGGACAAATAATTTAATGCCATATTTGGCACTAGCGATATTAACATCTGGACTCACTTCACACCCTACAAAAGTATAAAACATGATTAATTATAATATTATTCAAAAAAACAATGTAAGCAACACTTAAAATAGCTGGCTATATCATAAGTAATGTATAAATATAATAACAAGGCATTAACATGCAAAATGTCACCACAACAAAGTTGGCGACAATAATAATATGTCACCAATTCTGGCGGTGACATAAAGAATGAGTCATATAATGTTGCTTGAGTGAATTTCATATTGAGTTTACTGGATTTTTATGTCATCAGATTAAGTTGGAAATGCATAAAAACAATAGGAAGTTTAAGCTTGCAATGTTTTTCACAACCCAAATGAGAACGGAAAATATTCAAGCAATGTATTTGTATGGGCGATTGGTCATACGTATAGGTTAGTGTTTCAATTTTTTATGTAAGCTTAAACTCTCCATTCACTCCAAAGTACCCAAAAATCTGACAATATCTAGAATAAAAATAATGAATGGTCAAGATCGGGGAAAGTTGAAACACTGGATTAACCCCAACCATAAATAAACTGAATAATAGATTTGGCAAGAAATATATCCCGCTTTCTTGAAAACCAATTAGGGTAATTCAATTGGACCATATCCAAATCAAAACAAAACATATCCTCAATGGTCCACTTCAAGTGATAAATATCTGAAATGTATCCAAATCCTACAACAAATATTTACAGAATTTTAATTTGTGTTATCATAAGTAAGAGGAGAAACTATCAATTTCACCTAATTAGGAAATTCCTAAAATTTTAAAGTATGACAATGAAGCATTAACAAAGAATGAGTTCATACACACATGGATTTCAAGTCTGTTGAAATATAAACAGATTAATAATTTGGTCGTTAAATAATCTTGCAAAGTATATACATGCAGAACTAAGTACTTTCATTGAAGGTTCAAGTTCTACCTTTTTCATACAGTGGTACATATGTGCAAACATTACATGTACATATGCCCATTGGATTTTTTCTTAGCTATTTCCACTTCACTTTTCCATTAATTTTCTGTTTTAAATTTGGGCACCATAAAATGTTATCAAGACGCTGATTGTTGTGGTAGTTACCTTTAAGATTTATTCTGGTCATTGGGTTGGCATCTTCCTTGCTTCTGTACATTGATACATGTGTATCTTTGAATGTGAACCAGTATTTTTTGTAGGCCTTTAATGTGAACTTTTTGGGCCTGAAAAAGTCAAACAAATCTGAATTAATTTCAATGTTGCTTCGTTTCTGATTTTTGTAGTCATATATTATATATTATTCAACAACATAAAACATGATGAAAAACATTTGAAAAAAAATTATGAAGAATTCAAACTGACTATTTCTATTCTATTATATCTTTACTTCAGCCTGGGATACAATAAAATGCACAATATTTATAAGTTTAGATACATCAATAAAAACTTACTTGAAGTGTTTGAGGTAATCGTGCAATTCTGGTATATTTGTGATGTCACCAGGTGATGTGATAGTGGAGCCCTCTAGTGACACCTGGAGGTCCATTAGGGCAGCATCTATATCGTCATCTGCTGATTGGTTAGCAGTGCCATCTACTAAATCTTGGGGCTCTGACACTTGAAGATTCACCTGAGAAATAAAAAAAGAAATCTTGCAGCTTTATAAAGTGTAATCTACTTCCGTTACAAAATGGTTGAATTAAAAGAGTATGCAAAAGTACAAGAAACATTTTTTGCTGTAAAATTCATGAAAAAGTACCATCTATGGTATGACAAATAGATCCTCTGTTTAGAAAATATGTCTCTTATTATTTGGAAAAAAGTGAAAAGATGGGATCCAAGTCCATGGTGTTTTAAAGTTGAATTAATAATATATTGAATTTATACTTAGAGACTTTAATTGAAAGAAAACATATTTAGTGAAAATTGTATTTCCTCATGTTCAACAATGCCACATGATTAGAATTTCTTACCACACCATATGTGATCTTTTTATTCACTGCAAAAGTATCTCTCATTTTATTATTCATTCAAAAAAAATGAATGAAACTTTGAATCTGTTGGTTTCTCTTTATTGTGACCAGACCAATTAAGAATTATGAACTTTTTATTCATGTTCCAGAGATCTTGACAGAAGTTTGACAGAAAATGCATAAGTTTGACAGAAGATGAAGTTTCTCCCTTACCTGTAATTGCAGTGAAGCAAACATCATCATTTCTTCCTCTGTGCAGTCGATTTCCTCAGAGATCAATCCCCATTTAGCCTGCTCATAGATCTGGTTGATACGAACAGCGTCATACTGAAACCATACCACAATACATTATGCTTGATTCCGAAAAAAAAATTTCATACATACAATAATATCAATAGAGAATAATTGCACCCGATTAGGAGAATTCTTGGCATACTGTTTTCAATTTATTTTTTCTTATTTAGTAATTGTTCAGTAATATTATGAATTGTCAGGTTTACATTATAGTCTAGAGTCTGGTATAGTTACTAACCTTTGGATTCAAATCGTAGAAATTGTAGAATTTAAACCTCAGTAATATCAAGTCATTTTCCCTAACACCTTGTTCCATAAGAGATACTGAAGAATCTAGCCAGCCTGCATTGATTCGGGCTTTTTCAGAGTTTGACTTTGGCCTGTAGAGTAAGGTAAGAGCTTCCTTTGTTGGTGTGTTAGGGCTGTTTGCTAGACTGGAATCCATTGCTCCTTCAAATGAGAGACTGTTCATGGACCCTGGGGACATTGTTCCACCCCCATTCCATTGGTACGGGGAGTGAGGGTTGAGTGTGCCATAAGGACTGCCTGGTGTCCCTGGGGTACGCAGTAGTGTCCCCTGCAAATCAACAGAAATTAAAACATATATTAAAGAAGACATCAACATGACAAAATGTCACCATTTTGTAAGTTATTGCAAACTGGTACAGATGCCGAATGCAAATTGTTACAAAAAAAAACACAACATGTCACCACTTCCGGTGGTGGCATCGAATCAAAAAATGTAAATGCAAAGTAGAGTATTGCTGATATTTCAATGACTTAAGCCTCTATCTAAAGAAATGAATAATTTAAAGCATGGGAGCAGACAGTGGGCTATTAATTCAAAATATATCAAATTGCAAATTCGAAAATTTGACACTTGTGGCTAGAGTAATACTTCAATTGAGGTTCTTAATTTAACAAATATTGCTCTTTATACCCCATTCCTAAGGGAAATCTATGAATGAAAATTATGAAGTAACCCTCTCGGGATCAGAAGCTATAAAGTAAGGTGGTGACACCTATCCTACCTGAGGGGTACCGGGAGTTCTGGGTGTTCTATTGTATGGACTTCCTCCTATTGTCATATTGCCATCCATACTGGTATTTGGTGTCAAGTTGCCATTGCTGTTCCCTGCAACTGAATCTCGCATCCTTCGTCGCCTAGCAACTGTAGCTCCTCTGTTCCGCTTAAGGTCATCTTTGTCAAGCTTCCGCATCAATGATAGCTCTTCTGGTCTTCTAATACCTACAGATACATACATAAATAAAAAAGATGAGTTTGTGAACAAATAATCTTTAGGGATTGGTATAAAGGGGAATTTCAAGGAATGAGTGTAGTTGATCCGACTAAATACCTAAAAAAACAGTGTGCTTTGTTCATCCTCTCAATTGATAAATTAGTGATAAATTATCTTTTGTGCCAGACATAGACATTAGAAAGAACAGGCCAACATAACTTCCCATCAAGTCGCTGCCAACACCCACTATTTATCTCCCTGACTCTTGCGTCTCAGGACGTGACATTTGTGGCGACAATAGCGACAAAGGACTTGGCACCGACAAAAGACTTGGCACCGGATAATGAGGAAGCATCTTGATTCTCACAAAATGAAGGATCCTTAATAGTCTATAAGTTAAACCAATACAAACAAGCATTCTTCCCATCAAACCATTTCAAAATAATGATGAGCAGAGAGACTTTATTGAGCAAGAGTCAGTCTGGAAACTGCTGATAAATCAGTTCAATTACCCTCATAGTATCTGATTTATAACATTTATGTCACACTAATTTGTTCCTATTACACAATCCCTGCCTACTTGCTGGATTTATACAGCTTATTCCAATAATACAATTTTATTAGCATTCCTTATATGCAGGTAGAATGTAGAGTGCACTACCCTTCATAAGAGATTGACTATATCTACACTCTTCAAATTAGAGGTATATAGGATATACAGTAAAACCTGACTAATCAGAATAGTACTGGAACCAGCAAAGAAGTGTTCAGATTTGCAAGTGTTCATACTTCAAATACTATAATCTATGGCAGATTAAAAGATAGGATTGAAAAAATCAGAGGATCAAGTAGCATGTTAATTATTCAGTGAATGAACAGATTACAGATTCAAAAGACTTGAATACAGCATGATAAGACACACTTGTTTCATAAATGATATCTTAATCCTCTAATCTTATCTTTGAGCACTCATGCACTGACATTTTCTATGAAGAGGAGCAGAGTAGTTTGAACAATTGAATTGAACTTACACCTTGATAAACCTGTTTCTATCTTGCACAGGGACTTTTAACTATCCATGTCTTCATTTCACATGTACATATTGTAAATTAACACAAGGCATTAACATGACAAAATGTCACCACCTAAAACAATTTGGTCAATTTAAAGCAAGTTGGAAAATACCTTTTGACCTTAAGAAGAACTTCTGAGAACATGTAGATGATTTTGAAAAAAAAATTAGTCAATTTGAAGCAAGTTGAAAAAAAGACCTTTTTGACCTTGAGAAGGTCATTAAAGGTCAAAGATCAAATCTAAAGTCAGATTTGAACTTCTGAGAACTTGTAAAGTCAAATTTGAACTTCTGAAAAGATGTAGATGATTTTGAAAAAAAAAATTGGTCAATTTGAAGCAAGTTGAAAACAGACCTTTTTGACCTTTTTTGACCTTGAGAAGGTCATTAAAGGTCAAATGTCAAATCTAAAGTCAGATTTGAATTTCTGAGAACATGTAGATGATTTTGAAAAAAAGAATTAGTCAATTTGAAGCAAGTTGAAAAAAGACCTTTTTGACCTTTTTTGACCTTGAGAAGGTCAAATGTCAAATCTAAAGTCATATTTAAATTTCTGAGAACATGTAGATGATTTTGAAAAAAAAATTTAGTCAATTTGAAGCAAGATGAAAAAATACCTTTTTGACCTTTTTTGACATTGAGAAGGTCATTGAAGGTCAAATGTTAAATCTAAAGTCAGATTTGAATTTTTGAGAACATGTAGATGATTTTGAAAAAAAAAATTTGTCAATTTGAAGCAAGTTGAAAAAAGATCTTTTTGACCTTTTTTGACTTTGAGAAGGTCATTGAAGGTCAAATGTCATATCTTAAGTCAAATCTAAAGTCAGATTTGAATTTCTGAGAACACGTAGATGATTTGAAATTTTTTTTTAGTCAATTTGAAGCAAGTTGAAAACAGACCTTTTTGACCTTTTTTGACCTTGAGAAGGTCAGATTTGAAGGTCAAATGTCAAATCTTAAGTCAGATTTGAATTTCTGAGAAAACGTAGATGATTTTGAAAAAAAAATTTGGTCAATTTGAAGCAAGTTGAAAACAGACCTTTTTGACCTTTTTTGACCTTGAGAAGGTCATTGAAGGTCAAATGTCAAATCTAAAGTCAGATTTGAAAGTCAAATGTCAAATCTAAAGTCAGATTTGAATTTCTGAGAACATGTAGATGATCTTGAAAAAAAATTGAGTCAATGTGAAGCAAGTTGAAAAAAGACCTTTTTGACCTTGAGAAGGTCATTGAAGGTCAAATGTCAAATCTTAAGTCAGATTTGAATTTCTGAGAACACGTAGATGATTTTGAAAAAATTTTTTAGTCAATTTGAAGCAAGTTGAAAACAGACCTTTTTGACCTTTTTTGACCTTGAGAAGGTCATTGAAGGTCAAATGTCAAATCTAAAGTCAGATTTGAAGGTCAAATGTCAAATCTAAAGTCAGATTTGAATTTCTGAGAACATGTAGATGATTTTGAAAAAAAAATTTAGTCAATGTGAAGCAAGTTGAAAAAAGACCTTTTTGACCTTGAGAAGGTCATTGAAGGTCAAATGTCAAATCTAAAGTCAGATTTGAAGGTCAAATGTCAAATCTAAAGTCAGATTTGAATTTCTGAGAACATGTAGATGATTTTGAAAAAAAAATTTAGTCAATGTGAAGCAAGTTGAAAAAAGACCTTTTTGACCTTGAGAAGGTCATTGAAGGTCAAATGTCAAATCTAAAGTCAGATTTGAAGGTCAAATGTCAAATCTAAAGTCAGATTTGAATTTCTGAGAACATGTAGATGATTTTGAAAAAAAATTTAGTCAATGTGAAGCAAGTTGAAAAAAGACCTTTTTGACCTTGAGAAGGTCATTGAAGGTCAAATGTCAAATCTAAAGTCAGATTTGAACTTCTGAGAAGATGTAGATTATTTAGAAAAAAATTGAAGTCAGTCTAAACAGTATTTGTTAAGTTATAGGAAGTTGTAAGAAATTGTTACAGACGCCGGACGCCAGACGCCGGACGCCAGACGCCGGACGCCAGACGCCGGACGCCAACCACCAACCGCCGTCGCAAAAAAACGGAGACCATAACAATATGTCACCACTTTTTGGTGGTGACATAATAAACCTGTACTTTGTTGTGCTTTTCCGTACTGTACCGTACTGTACCGTACCGTACCGTACCGTACCGTACTGTACCATTATACCTGATTTAACTGACCTTTACTGAAATCAAAACTTCAGGGTACTTCAACATTATATCTCTAAATAAAAATCAAGAAACAATCAAATGAGATGTGTAATGAAATATGATTGACTCATTTTGTACAAGGATGTACCAATTAGATTTCTCAGGTAGCCTGTGGATTTTGAGGAATTTACCCTCAAAATTTTCACTTTGATACTCAAGGAATGTTAAGATAGTAAAACCAATATAAGCCATATTACCATCATAACTGAACTATCATAACTATAATATTCCATCGTAAAAAAACATCAGATCTGTTTTGCTGTTTGAAGTTACATTCATGAGATTCATCGGGCTACAGTATTGTTTCAAATCTCTGTTTTGCCCCCTCCCATGGAGATCTTATGTTTGATACCTTTGGCTCAAGAATCGCTAAGCGAAAGGCATAATGAGGCTAATTAGGCAGATATGTTACTTAACATGCAGTCTTTTGCCAATATATTTCTAAATCTATTAGTCAGAACAATTTCCTGGAAAAGCATATTTATTTCATATAACAAAATCCCTTGGACATATTTTCAATTATTATTTTCAAGGGAATGGTGCCTGATTAGAGTACCAGTAGCCTTAATTTGAAACTCTTCAGAAACGAGAATTCCTGAAAAAGCTTGAAATCAGCATGATTGCAGTTTGAGTTGATGAAACTAATATTTCTCCTCACACCATGTTGGAAACTGAGTCAAAATGATGAAAACATATTTCACCAAAGACTAATTTTCCAGATGCTTATTCAGTGCAGACAACTCCTCATATTAAAATTTCTAATTTTTCTCTGTCTCCAGTTGGCAGATGCCAGAAAGCAGGTTTCTATACTGCTGATGCTTCTGTCTTGTACAAATACAGTAAAACCTGTAAAAACCTATAAAGCAAGGCACCCCTGTAGGTGGGATACCTCTATAAGTAGAACACTGTTCAAGTTCTGTTATCATTAACTTTTTATCATGTGATCCTCTGTAGGTTAAACACCTCCAATGAAGAACACTATTTTAAGGTACCAAAAGTGTTCCTCTCCTCATACAGGTTTTACTGTACATACAATGTATTTTGGCATATATTGGGTGGTATATACAGGTCTTTATCAAGGTCAACATATACTACTTTATTGAAAGTAAACTTAACTCATGAGAACTAAGGATTTACATTACATTCAGCAAGATAATGAATATCTCAACATATTCAATTCACAGACCATAGCAACATGGATATACCTGTTACGTACAACTTTGAAAAAGAACTATTCAAATTGGCACTTTCAGGTTAACGAAAATAAATGAATGATTCAGAAGAGATAACCAGTTTACTATCTCTCAACAAATGTTTCTAATGCTAACTTCAACCTTGAGGCAGATTTATTGGTAAAAAACATCAACCAAAACACCAGTTGAAATACTCAAAATATAAGAGAAAAGGTCAGTTGCCAAGATACTGTTATATGTAACAATCCCCGTTCAAGTACTTCATGTAGGTCAATGATGTCACTAAACCTTTTCTTCTCAAAGTGAAAAAGAGGATTTTACATATGTTTTTCAAATAATTTTTTATAATCCTTATTTGTTTGGATCTTTCTTTTTGTACTCCATAAATCTTATAAAAAGGAAATCAAATTATAAAAAGAAGGGTATGGTACTTTGCCAGTTTCTAAGGACACACGCACTCATATCCTAAAACTAGTAAATGTATAGCTATAATAACAGAATTTATCACCTCTGAGAACCAATGCC